AGACTGTCACACTGCTCACATTGCTTGTAAGTTCGACACTTTGATTGAGAAGATTGACAGAAGAACTGGTAAGAAATTAGAAGAAAACCCTAACTTCATCAAGTCTGGTGATGCTGCTATTGTCAAGATGGTTCCATCCAAGCCAATGTGTGTTGAAGCTTTCTCTGACTACCCACCATTAGGTAGATTTGCTGTTAGAGATATGAGACAAACCGTTGCTGTTGGTGTTATCAAGTCTGTCGAGAAGTCTGACAAGGCCGGTAAGGTCACCAAGGCTGCTCAAAAGGCTACTAAGAAATAAGCTAATTAAAATTTACCAGAAAATGTTTATTATCAGTCCTTTTTACATTATTTGAGTGAAGGTTCTGATTTTTCATTTAACATCTCTGTAGATTTCGATCCAGTTAGTTTTTCATATCAGCTTTTATAGTTAATTAATTTCAACATCATTTGATTTTTCTGAAGTTGTAGGTAATGAAAATATTTCAAAGTTCTTTGTGCCTTGAAAATTAAAAGACGGAGATATCGTATCCTTTTGAACACAAAATCATTTCTACGATCACATGCGCCGGAGTAAAAGAAGTCAATTCTCGGAGTTACATCCATATAAGATAGGATAAGTCAGTGTACCACCAGTCTACTCAAGTTTAGATAATCTTATTGGTGTTATTAATTGTCAATTGGTCTTGGGATGTAAGCTTTGTTTTGTTTCATCAAAGGTGCTCTTTTGCTACACTTTTTTTTTCCAGACCTATAGTTCCCGAGTCAAGAATAGGTACTGTGCCCATAACCGGCCATTTTAACTATGATAGTTGAGCAGAGTCTGAATTATATTAGACTCTGACACGATGTTATCATACGGACGTATAAAAATCTAAAAATGTCTTGAATAGTAATAGCTATTGTCATTAACGGTTAAAATGAGATTCATGTTTCGAAAGTTGTTGACTTTTTCAAGTACATCGACGAGGGAACTGGTTGGTTCACGGATACCGACCAGAAGGTTCGCGTCAAAAGCTGATACATCATCTGCTAACTATGAGGCCGTTTATAATCCTGAGAATAAGATCGCTGACTTGGATACGTTTGCAAGACGTCACATAGGTCCAAGTCCCAAGGAGGTCTCAAAAATGCTCCATAAGATTGGTTATAATGATTTGGATGAATTTTTGAATAAGGCTGTACCTCATCATATTCTCTTCAAGCGAAAGCTTAGGGTTCAGCCAGAGCAAGGATTTACAGAGTCTGAAATGTTAGATCACTTAAATGAACTCGCAAGTAAAAACATAATAGCCAAGTCTTTTATTGGTAAAGGTTATGCAGGTACAAAGTTGCCTCCTGTAATTCAAAGAAACCTTCTTGAAAGTCCAGAATGGTACACCTCATATACTCCATATCAGCCTGAGATATCCCAAGGTAGATTGGAGTCACTTTTGAACTATCAGACTATGGTGACATCTTTAACCGGTATGTCAATGTCGAATGCTTCTTTGTTAGATGAGGGAACTGCGGCTGGAGAAGCGATGTCATTGTCGTTTCATAATTTGAAAGGAAAGAGACCTAAATATGTAGTGGATTCTAATGTGCATCCTCAAACATTGGATGTGATTAGATCACGAGCAACAAATATCAGTGTTCAAATAATTGAGTTGCCTTTATCTACGGAAGAGGGCTTGTATGAGTTGAAAAAAATTGCAACTGAGGTATGTGGTGCTTTGGTTCAGTATCCAGGGACCGACGGATCAATTCATGATTTCTCTGAGGTAGGCAAGCTATTGCATGAGAATAAAGGACTTTTTGCTGTTGCAACTGACTTATTGGCTCTAACTATTTTGAAACCTCCTTCTGAAATAGGTGCCGATATTGCTCTAGGAACTGCCCAAAGATTTGGCGTACCGTTTGGATATGGAGGTCCCCATGCAGCATTTTTTGCCACAAGTGAAAAGTATGCTAGAAAAATTCCGGGAAGGATTGTGGGAATCTCGAAAGACAGATTGGGGAAGCCAGCATTGCGATTGGCATTGCAAACTAGAGAGCAGCACATTAAGCGCGAAAGAGCAACATCTAACATTTGTACAGCTCAAGCTTTGTTGGCAAACATCTCTGCGATGTACGCTGTGTATCACGGACCGAAAGGCTTGAAGGACATAGCTTCAAGAGTTTATGGTTTCACGAGCTTATTAGCCCAAAGTATTTCAAAAAAGCATGAAATATTAAATAATAAATGGTTTGATACTCTAACAATCAAGCTCAATGGTGTCACGAGTGACGAATTATTGAAAGACGCTTTAAGCAATTATAATATTAACATGTTTAAGGTCGATCAATCTACAGTATCGCTCACTTTGGACGAGACGGTTTCAGAGAAAGATTTGGTTGATTTAACTGCAATCTTCACTGGTGAGCCTTTAAATACAAAGAATATTAATGCTTTTCCCAAATTCCCAAAGGAGTTGTCGAGATCAGATGAAATACTAACGAATGAGGTCTTCAATCGTCACCATTCTGAGACTGCAATGCTCCGTTATTTGCATTTATTACAAAGTAAGGACTTATCACTTGCAAATTCTATGATTCCATTGGGCTCATGTACTATGAAGCTCAATGCAACTGTTGAGATGCAATCCTTATCAATTCCAGGGTTTAACTCCATACATCCGTTTGCTCCTCCAAATCAGGCTCAAGGGTACAAGGAGTTAATAAATGAGTTTGAAAAAGATTTGAATGATATAACGGGCTTCGATGCAACTACAATGATGCCTAATTCTGGTGCACAAGGTGAATATACTGGATTGTCGCTAATAAGACAATATCACAAATCAAGAGGAGAATACGAAACGAGAAATATCTGTCTCATTCCAGTCAGTGCTCATGGAACCAACCCTGCTTCTGCCGCGATGTGTGGGTTGAAAGTTGTTCCTATAAAGTGTTTAAATAATGGATCAATTGATTTGAACGATTTGTTATCCAAGGCTGAGAAACATAGCAAAAATCTTTGTTCAATTATGATCACATATCCTTCCACTTATGGATTATTTGGTCCAAGAATTAAGGATGCTATCGATATTGTTCACAATAATGGTGGATTGGTTTACTTGGATGGCGCAAATATGAATGCTGCAGTAGGGTTGACCTCGCCGGGTGATTTGGGTGCTGATGTCTGCCATTTAAATATTCATAAAACCTTTGCATTGAGCCATGGTGGTGGTGGTCCGGGTCAAGCTCCTGTTTGCGTTAAAGAGCATTTGGCTCCGTTTTTACCATCACATATATTTGCAGACACCCCACATTCCACAGACGAATCCATTAGATCTGTGAACTCAACCCCTTATGGGTCAGCATCCGTTCTTCCAGTCTCATATTCGTATATTAAAATGTTGGGTGCTAAAGCATTACCGTACACATCTGCAATTGCAATGTTGAATGCAAACTACATGTTGACTAGACTAAAGGATGATTATAAAATTTTGTTCGTTGACTCTCATGCTTCTACTAATGAAGGATTGAAACACTGTGCTCATGAGTTTATTTTGGATTTAAGAGAATTCAAAGCTATTGGAATAGAAGCGATTGATGTTGCTAAAAGATTACAAGATTATGGTTTCCACGCCCCTACTATGTCATTCCCTGTTGCCGGTACATTGATGATTGAACCGACCGAATCAGAAAATTTAGATGAATTAGATAGATTTGTTGATTCTTTATTATCAATTAGAAGAGAGATAGAGTTATATTCTAAAGGTGAACCTATCGGTAATGTTTTGAAAAATGCTCCCCACTCATTAGAAGATGTTGTGTCTCTGAATGACTGGGAAAGTAGAGGATACTCAAGAGAACAAGCTGCATTTCCATTGCCTTTCTTGAAAGTATCTAAATGCTGGCCCTCTGTCGCTCGTTTAGATGATACTTATGGTGATATGAATTTGTTGTGTACGTGTCCATCTGTCGAAGAGGTGGCTGAGAGGTCATAAGTTTACTTACTAAGACTACTTACCCGTTATTTAGAGCTTTCTTCTTTAGTTGTTTAATATAGTCTATAGCTTCATGTATAAATAGAATGCACATGGATAGAGATAAGATATTATTTATTAGGACTGAATAGACTCGCATCACATATCACGTGCGAGAAAGAAACTAACAAAGTGGTTTTAACAAACGGTCATTACGAATCCTTGGAGATTCACGAGTTATAAAGCTGATGGATTGGTACAATCGTTCGAAGAGAAATTCGATATCAGCTGGTGTTTCTTCTTCATTTTCCCCCAGCTATAATAGCGATGCGTATTTCGGTCCAACACAAATGTCCTCGTATTATGGAAACTACCACCCTTTGCTACCTCCAAGCTCTAATCCAGGCTCCAATCAATCACCCTTGCCATTAGAAAGAAATTCATATTTCCTATCAAAGCTTCCCCTATATTGCTCAGACTGGATGTTCTCGAATGGAGCAAACCTTGATTGTATAGCATTAAGCTCATATAAGGAAGGCTTTACAAATACAATTCAGGTTGTCCATGGACTAGGCTACGGTAAAGAGGCCATGATAATGTGCGAGGAAGATGGTACATCTGGCAGCATACTGCCTACTTTGTCTGAACCCCGAGTTCCAGATGATAAAATAGAAGGGTTCGATTTCCATAAGGTTGCGGAAATAGCATTAGATTATCCTGTGACAAACATACAGTGGGATCCATCGATGCACAACTATAATAGTGGATTTACAGAAAGATTAGCAACATCGTCAGAAGTCTTGAGGCTTTACAAGGTTGAGCATGATGTTCTTGACCACAATAGTGACTACAAATTAGCCCAAACACATATGTTAGTGAACAATACTGCAAGTGGCACATCCAAGGGTAGTGGATATGATCTAGTCAATAAATATCCACCTTTAACGTCTTTTGATTGGAACAAGAGCGATCCGCATATTATAATAACGTCATCAGTGGATACAACTTGCACCGTTTGGGATCTTCACCGTTCGCACTCTGTACAAGATACTACTCAACGTACTACTACAGACACCGCTACAGTCAAAACACAATTAATAGCCCATGATTCTGAGGTTTTTGATGTCAAGTTTTTGCATAACTCAACGAATATTTTTGCATCTGTGGGCAATGATGGTTCTATGAGAATTTTTGATTTGCGTTCACTAGAGCATTCAACGATCATATATGAGCCCCCAGCTGTAAGTCTGAGTTCGTTGAATGTACCCTTATCTGCGGAGCCTCTCTCAAACCTGTTGCATTCTAAAGCATTGCTAAAAGTGTCATGCTCTAATGTCGATCAGCATCATTTAGCAACTTTTGGCGTCAATTCGAACCAAATACTCATCATCGACATGCGTATGCCAGGTGTACCAGTTGCGAATATAGATGGCTCACTGGGATCTACCTCAACTGCAAGTATAAATTCTATTAAGTGGCACCCTACCTCAAACTTACTACTCTCTGGTGGTGACGATTGTCAAGCCTTGGTCTGGGACTGTAATGCGCTCCTGCAGCCAAATCCGGCTTCGGAAGTGACTGCTATTATTGATACACCTGTATTTGCCTACGAGGAAGATTTGGAGGTCAATAACGTCTGCTGGCGGATGGATAAAGGTAATTGGGTAGGCGTCGTAAGCGGCAAAGGATTTCAAGCTGTTCTGATATAGTTGTTCTATATTTGTCAGAGACTATTGTTCGCGTCAGCCGTACTATTGACTGTATACTTCCAAGAAATCAACCTTTAATTTGCAGATCCTGTGACTAGCTAAGGGGGGGCGCATTTTCTATTTTGGGTCTTCCCTGGTTCTCTGGTGGGAACTCACGTGTAGCCAAGCACCCTTCGACCCAACTGGTATCCGCAAGGAGTTATCGATGTCTGAATTACATGAACCATATACAGGCTCTCACATCAACCTACGACCGCCTTCTATAATTAGTATTGTAATTAGTTCTCACGAACTATTAAACAACGGATAAATAAAACATTTCCAATTTTAATAAACACTACATCAACACTACAGAGCACCAAGGAGCTTTCTAAGTGTATCGCAGATCTAATTTTGCGAATAAAGATACTTAAATTCTTCGTTAAGCGACTGTGCGTGTGCGTCGTTCATTTTCATCAGCCTTAATTCAGGAGGGCATCGAGATAGATCTAGGGTATAATACCTCAAAATTTTGGCTTTAAATATCATTAATCGACGTTTTATTTAAGTTGATTGAATGCCTTTGTTTAACTTGGCTGAAAGGAGGGGAAACCTTGGTAATGTTGTGATTGTTAAGGACGAAGAAGGAGAAACTGGTACTTCAGGAAACAGCACCATTAGCGATGACGTATCTTCTCTGATTACGTCCACAGGACAAACGCAATCACTGACAGGCTTGACTACTACCAGTGACAGCGAGCAGCTGTCGCTGTTGGTTAGCCCTAGTCGAACCACAATGCTGTCTTTTACAACGTCTGGGGACGAAACATCGACAGGGGGGCCTAGTGATTTACTGACTTCCAGTTTTTCAAGTGAGGGGCAGAGCACAGACACATCAGAAAGCTCTAGTAGTTCTTCTGAAGTTGTATCGTCAACTGGCGAGTCTTCAAGCTCCATAAAATCCTCTTTCGTTTCAGATCCTTCAAGCTCTAGTGAGCCTTCTAGCACTTCCGATTTCTCAAGCTTTACAGATGCTTCGAGTTCTATTGATGAATTCAGTGAATCATTGAGTTCAACGGAGGCGCTGTCTTCCAGTACACTCGAAAGCTCGCATGAAGTTGATTCTTCAAAGACGCACAAAACTTCATTTCTTGCATCATCTAATGAAGCCTCTGATGAAACCTTCATTTCATCAGTTCCAGAATCGATAGAATCCGAATATTCGGAAGCGTCGTCACATACTTATCATATTTCACTGGAAGTTTCGGACCTGATATCAAAAGCAGTATCATCTTCCTATCATCACTCAATCGCATCCAAAACCTCTCATTCTGAGAATACTTTGTCTTCAGCAGAAACTGAAGGTGGCAGCTCAGCTTATTCCACTAGCAAAGTACATGAAGCATCAACTACAGGAGCTCAAATTGGATCTCTGTCTTATTCGTCTTCCACCTCCATTTACACGTCATCAGGTGTAACAATCACTACTGTTGTTACTGTACCAACCTCAAGTTCTAATAACTCTTCTCAGTCAACAGCTCAACGGAACTCAAAACTTATAGGGGGATTAGTTGGATCCATTGGAGGAACAATAGTTATTGGAATACTTGTGGCTGCATTCTTAATTTTGAAGAAACGTAAAAGATCTTCATTGACAAACCAATCGCCCGATTTTAATGATGAATCTTCTGGTGAGTCTGATTCGTATAACGATAAACATGGCTTTAAAAAAATTTTTGGCTCTAAGGCTATTCCAGGAATTGGCAGCATTAACAAAAGCAAAGGTACCACACAAATTGATTCGAATAATCTTCATCACACCGATCAGAATGATGATTCTGATGATTTTGCATACCGTGGAGTAACAACCAATAACAATTTAGATTCGATTTTGAGGTCATCGGGAACTAATACTGAACGTAATACTAGTGGTGCGCCTAGTAGTTTTGCAGGCCACACTAGATATAATTCGATTAGCAACGAACCTTTAGGTGTCACTCATGAAATGTCTCCCTTTGAACACGAGGAAGCAGACGAACTGAGTACCAGCCAAAATGCACTTCACGAGACAGATGAGTTTAACCCTTCAGACTTTGAAGATGATGATGAATTGCCATTAGTTGATAGAAATAACTTGTTTGATAAAGAGAATGGTAGCAATAACTCTAGATCAAGGTTTTTTGAGGAAATAACTTAGTAGTAATTAAAATGTCGCTAAAACGTGCAATAATATTCTGGAGCATAAATTTACATAAATTCACATAATACATATTCATACATATGGTAACTAAAATCCATTACATTAAATACTATTTAAGTATATCTAACTCAAACAATACTCAAAGTCATTTTGGGGCCAATAGATATCGTCGTCTAGTAAAGCTACATGCAAGGCAACAAATATACCTTCTTAAATGCTGAGACCCATACGTAGTGTCCAATCTTCTCAATATTGAGAAGCTGGATCTTTTAATGAGATGTTTTTCTTGGTAATGCGTTAAGAAGAATTAATCTTGAGAGATAATATTAGTCTCCGAAACATTATTTTTTATCTCTTCTCTACTCCATCCATAGTATGATTTTGCCCTTATGAAACCAAAAGTAAAATTACAAGTGAAAATCAAAAATATGAACCCGAATAGTACCAAGAAGAATTTAAGACCCAAAGGTTCAACCAAAGAGTTCACGATCATACCTAAAGTTTCTGCACTTATCAGTGATGTATTTCCACCATTATGAGGATCCTGATTCATGCACTTGAGCCAATATTTGCACGGCTTCTCTAACGCAGGTACAATCTCGTCTGGTGAACAATTATTTTCCATATATGAACGTCGACATGATGCAATTTCAACAAGGGTACTAGAGGTATGTTGAGATAGCTTGTGGTTAATATCTCTTCTTATGGCACTAACAATTGTGTATAGCAAATAGAAAGCATAACAACTTACGATAAGATTCACAAGAACTTGAAGGTAAGATGAGAGTAAATATGGAATTCTTTCATGGGGTGCTGAGTTTTTTTGCCATGGAGGTGGAAGCGTGAGATAAGCATTTGAATCCTCATCCAACATATATTCTAGGCCATTTTTTTGGGATGGTGAAATATTTCCTGAAGTATTGAACCCTATTCGTATATTATTAGGAGTATTAGTGGCTGAAGGGCTGTTCTGATAGTAATAATGATGGTGATGAACTTGTATTGGGCTCTTTTCCATCCAGGGTGAATACGCAACACCGTTTCGAGAAATGAAATTTTCATCTTGAGACGAGTCAAAAGATTTCAATGCTTCGTTTTGTCTTCTGTAGTAAAAAGATCTACCAAGGGCATTTTCATCCATAAACCTATTAAAATCCGGATTGTATGACGAGTTCTGTTCGTTGATATAACTATCTGATTTGCCATCGATATCTCGATCTTTAACAAAGAAAGCATCTTTATCAGCATCGGACGAGAATGAACTAAGATTTCGTGCTCCTGCGAATCTACTTCTCCATTGATCTCTATGGTCACCAATCTCTTTAACTTGAGAAGAGGTACTGTTTCCAAATGAGCTCAAATCGTATTCATGATCAAAACCCTGCTCACGAGATTCTTCAGATTCCGATGGCAGATACCATGAGGGTGCAGGGAGGTAAAGTTTCGGTTTTCTAGTTGCTAATTTGGCTCCCAAATTAGTTGGAGACAATAAAGAATTCGAAATTGCTGACATTAAACTAGAATTTTCATTAACATCACTATCATCACCATTATCTCTTTTATTTTCTTGCAATTTCTCGGGTTCATCTCCTTTAGGATTAGCCTGGTAAGTAAGGGTCTCCTTGGAGCTGTTGCTCAGAGTAGACTGCTCTAATGGCGTAGATTGGAACGGCATTTTCATATACTTTGAAAGATCTGTAATTGGTGTAAAGCTCCCTGACTGATCTTTTTCAGTATCAGGCATATCTATAGGAGGTGTTGTGAATTTTGTTCTCTCTGAAATATACTTCAGATCAAAAGAGTCATCAATCTCCATCATATCGTTCTCTTCAATTTGATCATCAATACCAGCCTGAGGAGTATAGTATGATGTTGTATCATCTATTGAAAGCGACTGAAGGAAGCTTCCATCAAATTCATAGTTAATCTTTATACTACCTTCTGGCATGCTTACTTCAATAATTCATCGTATTATTTATTTGTTGTATGTGATTTAATGCTAATGTTTACATAAGAGCGCGAGGGCATCGTTTATTACAAAAATTTATTGTAAAGCTTGCAGCAATTGTATAATCAACTGAAAAAGACCAACAAGATGGGATCTAAAAGGAAAAGAGCGGAAAAGCAGAAGGACTTTACAAAGGCTAAGCTAAAAGTAGGCAAAACTGCGGCCAAGCCTGATAATTATACCGATACATCATTCAAATCGAGAACAATTTCTTTGCCAAATCAGTCAATATCCAAGAAGATCAAGTCTGGGCAGTCTAATCAAAGCGAAGACCACGAACTCATAAAATATTTATCATTAACAAAACACCATTCTGCAAGTACCAGGAGGGAAGTCTTACATTATATTGAAACGCATTTACCCTCAGGTCCGTCAATGTACAAACAAATAATCTCAAACATAACGCCTCTATTTCTAGATTCTTCTTTAGAAGTAAGGAAAGGGGCCGTATCTTTACTTTCAGCATGTGCAGAGAGCCAACCTGGGTTATTGGATCTACATCTACGTCCTATAATACTTTTCATACACTCAGCTATGACTCACATTCAATCTGATATTAGAAATAGTTCAACGAAGTTTTTATTAGTTTTAATATCCAAGGCTGGAGATTCCTTGGCTAAAGGATATTTTATAAAGACCATGAAAGCATTTTTCATCCTTTTATCTTGGTCTTTAGACGAAAGTAAGAAATCCGTGTCGCTTGCTGCTTCTTCTGTCAATTCGCTAGGAGGGGCGACGAAGAGAGCTAGAACGCAACATTTGGCAGCTTTCAAACTCTTTTTGAAAGTTTGCTTTTTTTCAAACGAAGATGAGTGTGCTGTTGATCTTGCAAAAATCGTGCAAGTTCATCCACAATCCTACAAATACTTATTACCTCATGCTCCCCAACCATATTCGCCTTTGAAATTGTTCAATAGACACATAATTAACTCGAATATAATCGGAAGTTTCTCAAATGAGCAAAACTCAGATTCCTCAGCTTACTCCTTAGCAGATTTGAATGTTGTTTCAACTGAAGATTTAGATACAAGAAGAAAGGTAATGCTAGATGCATTTTTGTGTCCTCTAGAGACAAACCTCAAGAAGCTTATAAAAGAAGGTGGCGATGTGGGAAGAGAAGCTAATACATGTTTGGAATTAATAGATGAGATATCAAAAGATTCCAAATCTAGCATTAATAATTAGTTTACTCTGCATCTAAAATAAATACTCAATATTATCTAATGCGAATCTCTTGATTTTAAACCTGAACGTAATATTTCAAAATTTGACTAGCTGGTTAGTAGCATCAATGTTGCGAGCAATAATTCCTTTCAAAGTTCTCCGCCCAAGAATATTTCTTGCTTCTAAGAGGGGACCATTGATAGCGCTAAAAGTTTTGCGCCCACTTCATTCTAGTCTGTTTCTCTTAGCGAAATCCAAAAAGTCTAAAAAAGTCAATAAACGAAAAGATGGCCAAACTGACGATGAGACTGTAACAACGGACGTACAGCCTACCATTGACTTCGATGCATCAAAATCTAAATTCGAAAATGTGCTTTCTAGATTTAGCAAGATATCTAATGAAGCTAAAATGGGTAGAACAAATCCAAGAATATTTGATAACTTGAAGGTTGCGACACATTCTGGGGAGACTCCATTTCATGACATTGCTCAAACATCAGTTAAAGGTCGAAACTTCATGATCACAGTTTACGACCCAGCGAACGTTAATAGCATAATTAACTCAGTTTTGGCCTCCGATTTAAACATGAATCCACAAGTTGACCCGTCGAACAAACAAACCTTGAAGGTGCCATTACCTCCATTAACCACTGAAAGCAAGCAGGAAAGTGTGAAAAGCTTAAAATTGGTTTTTGAGAAGTTCAAAAATGGCTCAGGAAAGGCTGGCGACTCGTTAGCATCAATTAGAGGTGATGTGAGGGCCAAATTTCAGAAGCAAGCTAAAAAGAATAAGTCATCAGATGCAGAGTTGAAGGTTTTGAATGATTTTGACCTGATGCATAAGCAATACGTAGAGAAACTCAGTAACGTTTTTAAAGCTGCGGAGCTGGCAATTCTTAAATAAAAAGTCCATACATGCATATATACCTATATGATGCCTTTTCAAAAGACAGTCCCATTTCCAAAAAATAGTCTTTTTTTATACTTTTCACACCACTTAATGATCTTCAAACAATGGTCAATCAAATTTAAAGAATTGATGTTGACATCGGAAAGACAATAAAACTCATACGTATTGTCAGACAACATGAAGCCAGTCATGGACGTTCCTTTTAAATTCCACCTTGCATAAGTTAATTTCTTGTTTTGGTTCTTATTTGTAGAAGAAGTCTGCATGTTCTTGATGTGTGTGACTTCAGAAGTCCCAACTTTTCCATAATATAGTTGAGTGTAGAAATATACAAGTTGCAATATTAAATTCGCATCAACATCGAACCCGAAACGAGAAAGCTCACTCATTATGTACTGGTTATATTTTCTCAGTCTGTAGATGAAATGCTTTATAACTGGAACTTTAAGTTCCTTGATGATAGAAAAGCTCTCTGAGGCCCTCAATTCCGAGGACAAACTTTTTGCAAAAGGTTGATTATTTGAGATCTTTTGGATGAGATACCTTGATATATCTCTCATCTGAAAAAAACTATTCTTGTTACCACTAATCAAAGCCAATGTAAGTCGCTGTGAATTACCTTCAATGTCAACGGATAAATCGAACTGGGTCACGAAAACATAAAGAAATCCATTAGGATTAAAATTAGACATGCAAACTGGAATCCAGAGATTTTCAGAAATGGAAGTATCCTGTACTGCCTCTGAAATCATTGAAAGAAGAATATTTATATCCTTATTAGATAAGTTATGATTCTTAGGTTTCATGTAACTCAATATTAAACCCGGAGGCTTTATTAATAGAGAAAAAAGGAGATCTTCACTTAAGTACACTTCCTTGCTAGCTGAATCCCTCTTAAAATATGAACCGTCATCATTTTGAACGATGGGCTCTTTTTCATCTTTCAATTTTTTACTGGATATTAGTATGGAGCTAAGTTTCTTCCGAGTTGTATTCGTGATTTGTACACCTTGTAACGAAGATTCTAATAATTCACTGATAAAGTAAGCAAACTCACCTATACCACAATTAGCCAGCGTTAGTCCATATGATAGCTTCATACAAAGTTTATCAAAACTTACCAAATCCAAAGGAGAAAGAATCTTACGTAAATCATAATTCATCCTATTATGGAAATTCTTTAAAATAGTAGGCTTAGAAAGAATAGCTAATAGGTAATCATGAAGGCGGCCCAACTGGCGGGCCAAAATTGAGCTCTCAGGACTCTCACCATATATAGTTTCGTGGCTAATTTTACTTATAGCAACAAATACCAAAGGATCCTTGTTCATAAGGGCAATATGAGTACTTTCGTATGTAATTAGTTTCACCTCCTCCCCGAGAGTATCTAGAAATGTGGAGATGAGGGTTGTAATGAGACCCATGTAACCCATCAAGACTTCGTCTCCTCCATTCATAGAGTAAATTGGTTTTCCAGCGGCTGATAAAATGAAGAAATGCTTCAATTTTCCATGAAAAGTTTCAGTATCGTCGCCTTTATCTATCGCTATATACCTCTTGAAAAAGTCTGCTTCATTAAGATTATTTGAATTTTCGAAACTCTGTAAATTCAAAAACGAGAACTCTTTGACTCCTTCTGACGAATCCAAACTTGCCTTCCTGTTCCTTTCATGACTGACCAATTGATGTAAGATATTGTGCAAATCCTCTTCATAATCTTCTTGTTCCTCATCTTCATTTTCATCTCCTGAACCGTAGGACGATAGAGGATAACTATTTTCACTGTTTAGCGAGTGTTTATTCAGACGAATAGTCTGCAAATTATTGATTTCCTGAGAAACTAAACCATCGGAAAATGCAGACTCTGAATTACCTGCGTTCTCTAAATTAACGGCAGTGGTTGGATCGCTTGCAAACTTAATATTCGAGTCCGTTGCAGATGTCAATAAGGCCGTGGAGTTTTTCCTTGCAAGTTTATTCACACTTAGTTTATTCAAATCTAAAGTATCCTGAAGATCATTTTGACTTGAAGTAGATGTATTCAGGCCGGATACACTTTTGATATTATTCATATAACAAGATGTATTATCTTATCAAATAATCTTTTGAACATTAATATGTTACAGTTTTCGAATCGTATATTGCGAAATTTACGGTATCACTATTTATGAATTTAACTTACAAATTGCAAATTACCTAAGAAACATATACCAGATTAGAAAGAGGAACAATAATGATATGCCGACAACTGGTATATATTGTCTTATCAAAGCCTCTAAATTAATTCTTTGTGCTCTTTTTCTGTACTTAATGGAATCATTTCTTAAACTTGAAGATAAGTCACTCATCTTATCAAGGGAATCACCTCTATAAAGTAAATCCTCGATATTTTTAGTCATAACCTTTTTAACGTCAGCTAAATCGTTATTCAACTTATCAATGTTTGATTGTGCTCTTTGATCTTGATAGATTTTTTTGGTTTTGCTTAAAAAAGTATCAAAAGAACTAAAACCATATGGTCTGGCCATACTACTCAATGCTTCTTGACCATGGGAGTTATAAAACTCGTGTGATATCTCCGAGAGATATGAGAATGCTAGCTTTCTTGGATATGACTTATCGCAAATACAGAGATATACAATTGAATTCTGTATTAAATAATGGATATTGTACGGTCCAGATTCGATTGTCGCTTGAGGTTCAGAGTTAGGTGTTATTCTGCTAATTATGATTTTGCATTTCTTTTTCTGATCTAGCAATGCACGATCGTTATTGTCATCCACTGACCCACACAAGGGAAGTGCTGATATCTGTTAGTATTTTCCAATATAATATTTCGAAATGCATTGTTCTTAAGCATCGAGACTGAACAATTTAAATACCCCCATAAAGTAACTTACCATCATAACGGAATATTAATGTAGATTTGACCATAGTAGATCCAATATTCCTTGAATTTTCGTAACTCGAAGAGAGTTCGTCAATTAGTTGACATTTTTATGAAATCTTTTATATACAGGACCACGATACTCCGTGATACAAAAAAAAATAAGGCTCAAAAGGTGATGCTGAAACAAGGATTCATCTCCAAAACATCAGGACTTTATAAACAGTAATAAGAATAGCAAAGATACCAATAACTGATAAAAGAAGAATTAGGATACACTATAACCTAACATGGACTTATCTAAGTTGTCTTCCAATCTTCCCCCTTCAGGACCATTGAATCAGACATCCGTGGATGAGTTAAATAAAGAATTAACAACAGAATTTAGGAATGCCGCAAAATCTGTAGCGGCCCTATATAACACAGCAGTATCCAACGATGATACTTCTAAACCCCAAGTTGAATTTGCTAATGCAGCTAAATCTGTGGCAACATTGTATCGCCTCTCTAACAACTCAAGTTCATTGCTTCACCAAAAGGGTTATTTGGAATGCCTTGACGATATACTAGAAGTTATGACAAATGGAGAGGACGTTGAGAATTGGGTTCTTACTAAGAAAGCAGAGATTAATAATAGTAATACAGGTCTGGAACCAGATCATTCTGACAATGCTAATGAGAATGGCAAAATCAATACCGAACAAATCCAAAAATCATCTGGAATTGCTAACGAGGAATTTCATATACCTTCTAATTATGATTTTTCCTTTGTTCTGGATTTGATTCCTGACCACCATTTCAAACCTAGTTTCCCGCCATTGTCGGTTACACATTCTTTAAAGCAAATGCAAAACTTTAAGAATATGAAAAAGGATTTAATCGCTCGAAAAAAATGTCAAATACTGACTCATGACGAAGTTTCCAATCGCATAGAGACTACTCATGACAGCGGCCCAACTGAAAAATCAAATGATGGAGTTGATGTTTTTAAAAAGCAAGACAAAGAAGAGTCTGTAAAGAAAAGAAGGAAATATAACCCGGCATTAAAGAATTAAGGCAGTGTGCTTCTCTTGACTAAAACATTAGCTCATTGTTTATACCCCATTTGCATTATTAATAGATCGAACGGAATATGAAATTATATAGCATGTCGTTATTACATTATACAAATAATTTAGTCTACTTAGTGATTAAGATTTTGATGAGGATAAATGTAGATGTATTATGCAAAATTATGTACTTAAAATTATCAATGTCCAAATAAACCGTCATCATTGTCCTCAAATTCATCTATGAAATCGTTTTCGGTCAGACTGTCCTCGGACCCTGTGAGGGATTCGGAGTCAGATTCAGACGTAGAATCCCCAATAACAATATCCTCAACCAAGCCTTCCAAAGACAAACAGAGTAATGTATCACCTTTAGCTTGAGTTCCTTTGGCAATCTCGTTTGTAGATTCCACATTACAGTTTATCAATTTAGCCTTGGAATGGATGATGGCATTATTTCCAATGATACAATTCTCAAGCTGAACATCATCATGAATAGTTACTCCATTCAAAATGAGACATCCAGTCAACCTCACTCTTTTGCCGATATTACAATTTGAGCCTATCACAGTTCTTTTCACATTAGTTTTCTCGCCTAATTGCGAGTGCTCGCCGACTAAAGAATCCACACCGACATTCGCTCCAAATTTATCCTTTACTTGGCTTGATTGTAATTGTGCTTTTGAAGCTGCTTCCAATTTCATAAAATACCTATTCGCCTCCATCAAAACTGGAAGGTTATTACTTCTAAAGAAAGTGGCCTGTTGTGGAACAATCATTAACCCGATTGTTTCTTTTTTAACGGAATGTTTCCAAGATCTCCTTGCGAGGTCCCGAATGACTTTCAATATTGGTCTTTCGAAATAGGTTTCAGAAAACTGATCTTGGTTCTCTTCAAAAATTTTAAATATCTTGGATGAGCCAAAAAATATGCCACCATTTAGAAGCTTCGTAGTCACAATCGAATTAAAATACCTCCAACATAATTGAGTTCTTATCTGTAAAGATTTATGATATTTTATATCTTCTGGCATGAAAATATCCAATAAACTAGGATTATCCTCAGATAATTCTGAATAAACTGTGAAGTTCTTTGGAAAAATTTTAGACTTTCTATCCTCTATTTCAAGTTGATTTCTATAATGAACGACTAGCCCCAAATCAGTGTCCGACCTGTTTCTATATGCTTCAATAAGCACTTGAGGAGGTAGATTTGTAATAAAGTCACATGGAAGTAACACGAAATCTTGATCTGGCCGTAATTCCTGAGATTTGCTTAAGAAGGAAATAATCTCACCACTATAGTGGCTATCAAAAGTCAACAACAGTATATTTGGTGAATAGTCAAATATGCTGTCCGTTGACGCTTGTTCATTTTGATTAATTACAGACTTCACCAGAGATTTGTCCCTATAAGCATCAATTGCCTTTTGTATAGGCTCACCTGATATTTCGTCAGATATTACGGTAATTTTAGGAAAATATGCTCTTTCACACCATTCCAAGACATATTCAATCATTGGCACATTAGCAATTGGCAAAAGTGCTTTTGGAGTACCTGTTAATCTTGCACGAGAAAGTGGAGACAAAGCTTTGCCCTCTCCACATAGAATAATAGCATGTAGTTCCATAGCACCCTCCTTTACGAGCTGAAGATCTATATTGTTCTATTGTCCTCCTGTCGTTCAAAATCTAACATAAAATCTTTTCTGATACATCATTATATTGATCACGTGCCGAGTTCATTTTCTCGATATTTGATGTCTGATGTTTGCCACTTCATATAAAGATAACTGGATTTGTTCGACTTGAAGTCATCACTAAAATTCTTTCGCTTTCAATTGTATTATTCAACAGATAGCGAATATGAGTACAGAAGAAAATGACCCCCTTTTAGCCGCGTTAAATGCGGACGATCAACACAATGAGACACAACAAGAATCATTAGATCCAGAAAGAGAGAGAGCACTTGGTAAATTTAAAGATAAATTGATTGAGCACAGAAAATGGGATGCTAGATTGAAGGAGTTGAGAATGAGTATACGGGGCCTAGACAAAGATTTTGATAAGACTGAGAATGATATCAAAGCACTACAATCTGTGGGCCAAATTATTGGCGAGGTTTTGAAACAATTAGATGACGAACGATACATCGTAAAAGCATCCAGTGGCCCAAGGTATATAGTCGGACGCCGAAACACTATAAAGCAAGAGAATTTGAAGAGTGGTGTTCGAGTTTCCTTGGACATGACAACGCTTACAATAATGAGAATATTGCCAAGAGAGGTTGATCCATTAGTTTATAATATGACAACATTCGAACCTGGTGAAATTTCATTCAATGGTATCGGTGGTTTGACTGACCAAATAAGGGAATTGCGTGAAGTAATTGAGCTACCCTTAAAGAACCCAGAATTGTTCACTAGAGTTGGTATCAAGTCACCTAAAGGTGTCTTATTGTATGGCCCACCGGGAACGGGTAAAACTTTGTTAGCTAAGGCCGTTGCAGCTACTATTGGTGCTAATTTCATTTTTTCTCCGGCATCCGCCATAGTTGATAAATATATTGGAGAATCTGCTCGATTGATCAGAGAAATGTTCGCATATGCTAAAGAACATGAACCATGTATTATATTCATGGACGAAATTGATGCAATTGGAGGTCGTCGGTTTAGCGAGGGTACTTCGGCGGATAGAGAAATTCAACGTACGTTGATGGAATTGTTGAATCAAATGGACGGGTTTGACACACTTGGTCAAACTAAAGTGATTATGGCCACCAACAGGCCCGATACTTTGGATCCTGCCTTGCTCAGAGCAGGTAGGTTAGATAGAAAGATTGAGATAGGATTGCCTAATGAAGCGGGGAGATTAGAGATATTCAAGATCCATACATCTAAAGTAGCTAAACACGGGGAGTTTGACTTTGATGCCGCAGTGAAGATGAGTGATGGCTTTAATGGTGCAGATATTAGGAACGTCATAACTGAGGCCGGATTCTTTGCTATCAGAGATGAGAGAGATTATATCGTGCAAAATGACTTAATGAAAGCTGTCAGAAAAGTAGCAGATGTCAAAAAGTTAGAGGGGAAATTAGATTACGAAAAGCTATAAGTTATTTTATAATCAATATAGAATCTATATTTTCCCTGACTCGTTACCATCAAGTAGATTATACTATATACATGCACATTCAACGAATAATAAAATATACTTCTTCTGACATTCGTCATCTACACTTCAGGATCAGATTTCTTTGCCTCAAGGGTCTCAATTTTTTTCATTGTATTCGCAAAATCTGGAATAGTAGTTTTTGATAAAGCATCCAAGTGAGCAAGTAGGGCTGGGTTATCTATCTTGGCAAGATGTTGCGAAATACGATTACCAATATAATCTTGGACCTCTTCTGATAATCTTTGATATGTCTTTGTCGGTCTTTGAGCTTCCTTGGCCAAGTAAATCTTTTGTTCATCCGATAAAGGCATATCAGGAGCATTGATCCTTCTGGCTTGACTATCTGTGAGTATTTTAGATTTATGTTTAGAGTATGGATTCCTCAATTGGCTCAACGCATCTTTGGGAACAGGCAGCTTGGCAATACTTTGAAGCTCATACGATTTTTCGAAAACATCCTCAGCCTTTGTAGAGAGCGAGCCATCCTTAGGATCCTGTGGGGGGCTCGGCCAAGGTACTTCTATTGATTCATGATGTTTCACAAATCTTTTAGGTAACCATTTTTTGTATCTATCATCATAATATCTGTCTTTATAAACTACGCTATTTGCCACAACATAGTAAACATTTCCATTTTCATCCTTGTCCTTTGCTGCAAGTTTTATATGAGAGCGTGGAACATAATCAGGAAAATCCATAAGATGAGTTGTTTGATTTTCGACCCAATTCACCTTGGGCATAATTCTTTTAGAATTGACATCCGACAACAACACAGCATCTAGCTCTGAAGAATACTGGAAGATCGTGGAAACCAACCCCTTATGCTCCCCTTCAGTTATATATGCCAAATCACCGCTGGTAAACCCTATGTCTTCCAATTTATACTTTCTCTCGTTCTTGGGAATTGGGAAGATAGTTGGTTCAAAGGTTGGCAACGTATATTCCTTTTGCTTGGCTTCGTAAACTGCACGAAGAGCCTTCGGATACCTATCGAGGTTCCTCTGAAATCTTTTTCTGGCATTATTCCAAGACATTCTTGATACTGCAATCTTCTTGAGTTTAAGATGTTCTTACAGCTTTTGAAAACCAAAATTAATTTTTGAAAAACTAATTTGCACAGCGCACGATTTTCAGAAATAATGTCATGAGTGCTAAGCTGCAACTTTTGAAAGAATAGAAGTGACGACTTTATGGCTTGCTCGTCATATTGTATAAGGATAACTTAGTTTTAATTTTTTCTCTTCTCCATAAACAGAAATTCTTGTCGAAACAACCTAGGCAACAGACTTAGCTTCAATAAATGAATCTAAATCTACATGTAGCGATCGAAGGCCCTATTAAGTATAACCACATTGGTAATAGGGGGGTCTCTCTTACATATTAGGCTCTAAACTGCTTCGAAATGCTCCTACAAAACTACAAAATAGTAAGATTGAAATTTTTTGCATTTAGATAAACATGTATCTAAAGAACTACGGTTATGTTTCTCTAAGAGTCAAAAAATAAAAAGAAAAACTGCCACAATTATATTGACAGCTAGTCCATGTTAAACATCACTCTGTGCATATATTTATAAATTCTTGTTCGTTAACTAAAGGTTGTTAGTAAATCTATATCTGAAAAATTGTAAAACAAGATACAAAACATCGAAATATTACATACTTTCTCCATCTTCATCTAAATCAAATTCGTCAATCATCGCCCTCAATTCATCATCGCTTAGATTTTCTCCTAATTCTTTCGCTACTCTTCTTAAGTTCCTTAAGCTTATTTTTCCAGTACTGTCGTCATCGAACAACTTAAACGCCCGGCGGATTTCATCTAAGGGATCTCTATTTACTATTTTTTCTCCTACTATATTTCACACCGTTAGTATCAATGGGATCATTCTAACCTATTAGATATTTATAACAAAGTCACTTACCCGCTTGAAAGAAATTCTCGTATGTTATCAAGTTACTGTCATCAGTATCATATTCATGAATAATATCTAGAACTTCCCTTTTACTCAATTCAAATCCAAGTGCTCTGAATGCCACTTTTAGCTCGTGATAGTCTAAGCACCCATCGTTGTTCATGTCAAATAATGAAAATGCCTCTCTTATTTCTTGTTTTTGTTCATTCAATAACTCAAGTTTTAAATTTCCCATGCTTCTTTTCTGGCCACTACCGCTACCAACCGTAGAGGTGATAGATGAATTATTCGGATTAGACATCTAGCCTTCCCTTTTAATATTTCTTATGATACAACTCTAGACTTTTTTTTGCAAAGTGTATCTTTTTCGCGTCTCAACTTTATTATGATATTTATCCCGTTTTGTAGTTACAAACAAAACTATTAAGAATTCATGATAGATGAAATTTTTTTTAGGCCAAAATGTGCTAGTAAAAGATCTTCCAGGCATAGTCAAATTTGTAGGTCCAACAGAGTTTGCTCAAGGAACTTGGATCGGAATTGAACTTGATCAACATGTTGGAAGAAATGACGGATCAGTAAATGGTATAAGATACTTTACATGCGTCAAGCAGGACAAAAATCACGGTATATTTGCAAAAGAAGAAATCGTATCTACTGTCGACGAACATAGAAAGGTTGTTGAATCTGAATTTTTCCAAACAGGTGATGTTGCTGCTTTGGAGAAACTAGTAAGTAGATTACTGGAAAAGTTGAAATATGTATCTAAAAGAATGGAAGAATACAGAGAAAGGGCACTAGCATTACAGGAGTATGCAGATAAATACGCAGATTTGGAGACACGATTAGAGCTGGCTTTAATCGATAGAGATTATTTTGAAGATGCCAATAAGAATCTTCAAATTGAAATTGAAGATGTACGATTTAAATATGAAGATTTGAAGGCAGAATTTCAATTGACGCAAGAAGAATTGGAGCTCAATAAGGAGATTGAAAAAGAAGTTCAGAGTCAAATTGGTGGGACTCAATTATCTGAAACTGAAATCAGCTCTGTGTTGTCGAAAAATAAGCAACTAGAGATTGCATTATTAAATATGCAGAAGATGCTCAACGATAAGGAATTGAAGATGACTACTGAGATCAAAACTTTGAGAAATGAGTTGGTGGCGATGGAAGCAAGTTTGAATGAAGCTAATTTATTATCAGACAAAGCTTTGACCGCAGAGTCAACTATTGGATATTTACGAGAACAGCTAGACTCAGTTTCACAGCTGGAGAAGATAATTGAACATTTAAATTTAGAAAATGACAGTTTAAATCAGAAAATCAAGACACTTTCAAAAGAGGTCGAAGAACTTAACGAATTAAACGAATTGAATAGAGGTTTGGAAGAAACACACGCGCTTATGGAGCAAGACTTACGGAGAGACCTTGAAGAACTCAAGCGAATTGCAATATCAGATAGAAACGCCATATCAGACCTTGAAAAAAAAAACAAGTTTTTGGAAGCAAAACTATTCAAGTTCCTGGATTCTGCCAAAAAGCAGACTATTGAAAATTTGAAGAGCTTCAGTGGTGAAATGGAATCATTGAGGCTAAAGATTTCTAAATACGAAGCAGATGATGTCTTAAACAGATTTTCTTTAAAGATTGCTAATACCCATATAAGTTTTCTTAAAAATCTAAACAGAAATGAACTTGGAAATTCTGAGGATATCGATATTTCGTTACGATTTAAATTCCTCGCTTCTTGTTGTAATATAATTCTGGAATCATTGAGTGGTTTTCCAGATGACTTCTTCTCATCCCCTGATCATGTGCCATTTGTTAAAAGTACAGTCGATGGGTTAGCAGAATATTTGAGTGCTAGTGCCGTGTTATGCGAAGTCAATTCTAGCAATGATCTTTTTCTTGATAGAATTGGAACCATCAATGTTAACCTTGATGCTCTCGAACCTAATGTCGTACAGCTTATCGAAAAGGTTAAACAAGGTGAATTGGCCGACATTTCATTTGAATATTGGAGGTTTTATCCTCGCATGTCACTTGCAGAAATCATAAAAGAGAATCTGGAGCTACTTTTTGTCAAGAAATTTATACTCAAATGTTATTGCAATATCATAGCTCATGAATCAGTTTTCATATTATTATTTCTTCAGAAACTACAGACTTGTGTTGATTCATTATTATGCACAAAAAACACCCCCGCTATTGGTAATTTAAAACTTATGAAATCTAGCATAGATACTCTCTATAAAGATTTGCGTAAGCTTAAAGATTTTACCCTGAAATTAATCTCTGATATCTCCTTGTTAGATAATAGGCTAGAGCTTGATTTTCAGGTTGATGGTGAATTTGCTCGATCTGTTGAAGAAACTTGCATTGATATTCATGAAATTTTCCACGTGTTGACTCAGTTAGATAAAATGGAATCTTCTGATGACGAGTGCTTACTTCTCTTCGAAAGTATAAATTACAATTCGAAATCCAATACTTCAGACATATTTTTGAGTATAAGGAAACACGTAGCATGTGGATTGTCAACTCTTGATATAAACTACTCAACCATAATCTTAAATAAAGATGTGCAAATATCTCTGCAAAGTACGAAAGATAAGAGCTTGCGGGTATCAAGTACAAGCTCTTTAAAGCACACGTCTTTAAATGACCAGCTGGGCGTTTTAGATGAGAATCTAGCGGCGAAGGATAAAATTATACTGGAATTGAATCTCAACATTGACTTACTAGAAAATAATATGCTTTCTCTTAAAACCACTTCTGACCTTCAAATTACACAGCTTCAGGAAACAATCTCTAAACTTAATGAAGAGTACCAAGAGAATAAGACCAAATTTGCTCAACTAGTCGAGTCTTACTCAAGATTAGAGAAGGATATGAAAAGTTTAATAGAATCTAATCGATTAATTGAAGGCGGCCACTCTTTTGAAATGTTTAGTGATGCCGCTTCTGCGCAACAATGCAACCAAAACATAGCATTGTTGGAAGAAACAGTCGCATTAAGAAAGGCTATTAGTATTTTACCGCGTTTATACCAGCTGGATGACGACCACTCTTGGCTCTCAGACCTCCTGCGTGGAAAGCAAAATTATTCAAGGTCTAAACTTAGTAATTGCCTATACTTGTTGAATGAAATAACTGCTTCTTCTAAGCGCATACGATTGAATGACAATAGAAATGCTTGGGAACCTACAGTTGATCTTCCACGATTCATTAAATATCAATTTGAGGAGAAAATGCAGATATACGAAAAATTCAAGAATGATGCTTTAATTTCATTGAATAACTAATTCCAACAAGGAAGACACCTTAGTCCATACTTTCTTCGCTTTTGGACGGCCATTTTGTAGCTTTGTCTATATGATTTCTTGGATAGAGCCATTCGAGGATTACATTTACGAAAATATCAACAATAACACATAATACAAAGAATTTTCCTGCAATAATTCCACAGCAATAATACTTCTGTAATCTCTTAATTAGAGGTTGATTTAGGGTCTCCAAATTCAAAGATCTGTATACATTTTCTGTCCTTCTCGCAATATTTTCCCAGCTGTACATTTTTGCGACTTGTTCATGAAACTTTGAATTATCTATTTGACCAGTCTCAATTAGATGTATGGCTTTTAAAGTTGCTGTTACCAAGGAGTCTTCATCTGGATCTGCAAAGCTCGTCATATGATTAGGAAGAACCTCTGGGATACCTCCCACATTTGTAGTCACCACAAATAGCCCACAAGAGGCAGCTTCTACAATGACCGTTCCAAAAGCCTCGGTCAAGGAAGCATGTAAATATATATCTCCCTGAATCATAACGTCTCTCACTTCCTCATGTTTTACAGCTCCAATCATGGTAACTCTTTCTTGCAAAAAGTACTTCTCTCGCATCTGCTCAAGATCAAGGTATTTGGGTCCATCACCTGCAATCAAAAAATTTACTTCCGGCTTTTGGGCGCATATGCGAGGAATGATTGCAGTTAATAAATCAGCACCTTTGTTCGGAAATAATCTGGAAATTATAACTATTGTTATGGATTTTGAATCTTTAGTGCTCTTAGGTATGTGACTAGGTGTGAAATCGTTTGAAATTACCGCATTTGGAATCACAGATACCAACAATGGGTCTATAGAAGCCCTCAAGACAGTGTTCTCTTTGCAGGTATGAGAAACGCAAATAACATGGCCAATATCGCTCAAAGTGAACTTTAAAATTTTATTACCAACGATAGACCAAATATCTGCAAACCCAAATAGCGAATGATCAGTGAAAACTGTCCGTAGACCTAGAGTACGCCCATGGATAATTGCTTCATGGCATAAGCTAGAATAAGACCCATGTCCATGAACAATGTCTATATCCTCCCTTATAAATATATTTCTCAAAATAGGAAACGCCAGGAAAACAGTTGGAACTGTACAGTTTCTAAAAATCACCTGAAAAGGCACGTAGTAAACCTTGAGACCATTTGCTAAAGTTCGTACTCCATTTCTTGACCCATAATCATGTGTTATAATTATAACTGAATGTCCTAGATTTATCAACTGTTGTGATAAATGATAGACATGGAATTCAACTCCTCCAGCTTGGGGATAGAAAAAATCTGTAACCATTGCTATGTTATATCTCATTTTTCTTTTTGGGTGTCTAAGTCATGATCCTAGTATACAATTATAAAGCGCAATCCTATCTTGAAATATTAAACACTAATGTGATCAATCAATTATCAAATACTCCAAAAACGAGAAAAAAAAAACTACTAGATTATGTGTACAACTTTTCTATAAATTAAATTTAAGTACAAAAATAGAAATAATGATCATGATACATAAGCATCCCTCGGTAGCGCTGCAACTGAGTTTTTGAAATTTATAATACATTGTTGATAGTCCCAATTACTTTGCTCTCCAAGTATAATACCGTACTGTAACGTCAACTTAGTTTCTAGTAACACCTTGACTAGAATATCTTGCTGCATAGGATTCAAATTTGCTTTAACCTCTGGGGGCAAGTCTTCCGCAGAAGGTGTTGGTTGCGGTTGAGGCTGTGGCGATATCGAAGCGGCAGGGGAGAGGTTTTCTCTCGAAGCATGAGGGGTGGCCGAATTTTGCGAATTCCAATCTTGGGATCCAACATCGGGTCTCACCAAGAGAAGGTCACTGGCGATAATCATGCTACCATTTTGACCCGGAATAATAATAAATGTTCTATCGAAGCTTTTATTACTTAGCGGTATCTTTTTATTTTTATGGTGTGTGAACCTGCCTCTTGGACCTGAAGGATTAGTATTGTTCATGTCCACATTTTCAGGTGCTGCAGTTTCTTCAAATGTTCCATGCAAAGTGATCATTATACCATCCAACTGAGGAAACCTAAAACTTTCCATGCAGAATAGAGTAGGTTTTGATACTAGCTCATGACGGCTCTTTGGCAATAATTTAAAGAGTTCATATATTTCGGATTGACCCTTAGCAACTCGTGACATCCTTGACTTTGTCGAAGAAACCCGACTTAGGTTCCGTGATTGTGGAAGATAATATCCAAAGTCTGTGCTATTGTTAAATTGGTTCGTATTAGACTCCAGAGAGTGTGGGTGAGCTGAATCCACTTGCATCGAAAATTGAGATTCATTTTGGTAAAGGATTAACAATTCCTGTCTGTTATTGTCCCAGAGTTTATAGTAATTGGCAACGAAATTCGTTGATATATTTTGAATTTCATCATCTTGAAAAAACATCCCTTGAGAGGGTTCAAATGGGAATGTCAAATTAGTCATCAAAACTTGTTCGTTTCTTATAATTTCACCATTTAATACAATAAGGCGAGGGAAAATTCTCATCAATTCGGTTTTGAGATTAACTAAGTCATTTGGATTATGTAAATTGAGAATAGGATTCTCCGTTATAATGAGCTCTCTTAAGAAGTTAAGTTTATGTTTCCATGTCTCGAAGGACTTCAAACGAGACAAGTTATTGTTCAGTAATGACAAGTTCTCAAGCATAGGAAAGGTATACGCAAGTGATGATATCATCGAAAGGTCTGTTAATTCATTACCTGAGAGGTCGACGCTCGTCAAGCTTAATTTTAGCTCCTTTGCAACCTTCATCAATGCTGGGAAAAACTTCGAAGTTGTTGAGAGAGACGCGAAAAAACCTTTGGAAACTAAACTTGGATCCTGCTTCACAGCTGCTAAGTTCAACATTCGTATTTCAGGTTGATATCTAGACCGTAAAAATCCAGTAATAACTTCAATTGTATTATTAGAATTAGTATTAGTAGACCCCAATGTACTACCAATAGAATTTGCGTCCGCTACTTTTGTAATTCTCAATGATTGGCCAGCGAACTTTACACCACTCCACTTACAGAGCTCATCAGCATCATTCGATGATTTGACATAACCCTTAAGGATACCACTGCCCGGGTCAACAGAAAAATTTCTAACCACAATCTTACACTTTCTCGAGATAAAGTTAATACAATCATCAGGACTGGCACCGTTCCATCCTAATATCTCAACCGGGACCGAATTGGCAGAAAGAAAAGAATCGACATTTTGTTGACTTGGATTTCTGTTATTAAAATTACTTTGGAAACCGCCTCTGCCTCTTCCACGGTAACTCATTATATTGAGCAGATGAAGCTTAAAGTAAGAATTAGATATATCCAAATTTTTCATTTTCAAATTTACTAGAGCTTGAAATGTGTTATACACTACCACATCAATGGCAAGTCTTCAATCCTACAGTGTTGTGCAATAATTACTAGTATTTTACCGCTTAACGGCAACCCAGTTGCCGAAAGATTTATTTCGATGGATTGACTAAAGAAACCTCCTCTTAAGGCAATTCGTTATGTAAGGTACCAACAATTCCGTACTTATTTTCAAAGTGCTGCTCCCAACCATCCAAAGATTCTATTTCTAATTCAGATAAATCATTCAAAGAATCAATGGGCGCATCGATTGGGGTTAAGTATTCCATTTCAAAAGAATTCTTCGCTAAACCACGAGAAGCGTCTCGGCCAGCAAAGTTCTCATACGGACCACCAGGACCATAAAAAGCAGATCCCTGGGTAACATCATAAATCTTTCCACGCACAGCAATAAAGATCTTGGGATGATCTGATCCATTATACTTCTGTAATTTTTCTGGAGTAAACTTGCCAGCAATAATAGCCTCATCCTGTTCTTCAGCTCCAATCGGGTCAGCAGACAACATTGATGTAAAGATCTTTCTAGCCATATAGAGAACAAATAAAATAACAATTATAGTCGCAAGCATATCAACTTTAGCAAGGTTAACTTTAAACGTGTATCTTCTCTTCCCTGTTCGATAGTGTTTACTTATCCTTTGAAGGGTGTCACAATCAGAAACCAACCATTGCACGTGAATTATTAACTACGTATTTTAGTACTCTTCGCACATGACCCGACTGTTATGCCTTTTACTTTCCAGAAATTTACTCTAAATGAATCACCATCAGCATAGTAGCTCACTTTAACAATGAAAAGAGATATAATATCGCTAGATAGCATTACCGTCAACAATTTGGGGGTTTTTAAGAAGATAAATGAAGTTACCTTACCTACGTCTTATCCAGATCAATGGTACAAAGAAGCCTTAAAATCTGATCAAATCTCAATTTTGGCATATTACACCGAGTTGCCAGTGGGAGCTCTTAAAGCTAAGCCTGTCAATACATCGCATAAGCCTACGTCATTTGAAGAAGCACGAAGACAACAATTGGAGCCTAAAATGCTCCCTAATGCTGTTTATGTTGAGAGCTTAGCAGTTCTTGAAGCTTATAGGAACTTGGGTATCGGGCAAAAATTACTTAGCTATGTGATAGAGGAGACTAAGAAAAAATACATTCATGAAATTATTGTTCATGTACATATTAAAAATGTGGAAGCAATTGATTGGTATATTAAGAAGGGATTTAAGAAGTCTGAGCTGGTAGTAGAAGGTTATTACGCTAAACAAGGACTTGAATATCCTGATGCCTTTGTGTTATACAAAAAAGTCTAATATATATTTAATAGATCTCTTTATAATTTTTATCGTGAATGTCTCTATGATGACGATGAATTTCATAAACATTGAATTATACTCTACTTGCCTTTAACTTCGTCACTTTCATCTTCAGTGTCCGTGTTTATGTCAGTGAAAATACTTTCATTATCTGCATCACTTTCATAGTCTTCTTCATATTCCCCATCCTTTGTTGATTTTTTGACATTTCCTCCTCTTAATGCAGCTAAAGCTCCAGCTAATGTATCTTCCTCTGGATCTGAAATATCACTGTCATCAGAATCTTCATCATTCTCTCTTTCTAGCTTAACTGGCTTCTTGAAAGGAGGTCTTTCTACAACCATGGACACAGGTATATCCACGTCTGAGCCAAAATATGCATTGTTTTTTAAAATAACTCTGTAATGGTATGTTCCAACGCTTGATGGTGAGGTCATTGGGAATGGAATTTTAAAAGAGCCCACAATTGCGTCACCATTTTTCCATGATTCTTGATCAAGCTCAATATTACTTAAGTCGATATTTTCAAGCTTCGCTGTGGTGCTTCCCTCCAACAATTTTCCATCTTTTTGAGCAATAAAGTAACCAGACCAGTTATTTTGAATATTTTTAGGAAAGTATGGGGCATAAGAATATGGCAATTGTGGCTGTTTATCATTTGACTCCAAAGGATTTCTCAAGTAGTCGAATGTCTCTTCCTCTATTAGCTCTTCCTCTGGTACATTAGGAATAGACTTTAACTTTGGTGACTTAACCAAAAATTGAAGAACTAAGTGAGCACTAGATGAGGGTGGAACAACTTCTTCGCCAGGTACTTTAAATTCAGATTTGATGATACGTAAACTTGGAATACGAGAAGCGACGCTTAACGATTTTTGTACCTTTTGTGAGTCTTCTATACCTAAAATCTTCTTCGCTTCATCCTCCGATAACGTCATCAATTTACCTAACTTTTTAATTTCCTGACTCTCAACAGTCTTTGAATTTACATATGGAAGCTGAAGTAATTCCTGATATTTTCCAGTGGGCCGTACTGCTTGAATTACGGACTTTTGAAGATCAAAAGCCGCAAGAACAATATCTGTGTGTCTGAATATAACAGCAATGTCAATCAATCCATTAATTAGATTTGGCAACATTGAAATGATTTTTAAGCTCTCAGCCTCAGAAATTGATTCGAATTCACGGTGCATATATTTTAAGATAATTTCTTTCACTTCTGATGGGCTTAAATGAGTAAAGGAAGATTTAATCTCATTGCTCGAACAAATCCAATCCAAAAGATAAGTTGGTGTAATCACTATTGCTGGATTTTTATCAGCTAGCTTTCTTGTGAATAAAGCAGCGGTATCCACATGTAATCCCTTTCTTGTATGAGACTTTACATTCTTCCACCAAGTTCCAACTATCAATGGTAAAAAGAATCCGATCAATAAGAAATAAACCACAATCATCACTGGAGAATATTTACCTTCAACAAGAAATTTTGGAATAGCAATTCCATGAAAGATCTCTTGGGGACCATCAGGATGACCATATTTTAAAAAATTGTCCCTTGTCGTTTCATCAGTCAAGGCTTTATAAGCCAAGTTAATTCTGATGAAAGCGGCTTCCATTTCCTCTTTAACTGTGTCCGTTATATCTTTCGGAAGTTTATCTGGGTGAAATGTTAAAGATAATTTTCTGTAGCGGCTCTTAATTTCCCTTTCGGTGGCAGAAGCTGAGATTTCCAAGATTGAATAAGGGTCGAATATACCTTGCATATTAGCTTCTTTGGTGAAATTCGCTCCAATGTAGTACACTAAGATCCACCCAGTAATTATGAAAACCAAGGTCTTGTTAAAGATCCTGGCAGATTTTTGTCCACTTTGGAACTTATTCACTTCAGCAGAGTTTTCAGTTCCAATTGTTTTTGAATTTTCCAAAATAGAACCCTTAATGGACAGATTTACACTCCTGGGATCATCGTGATCAAATACATTGTATATCCATTTGAATGTAACTGGAATCAATATGAATGTGAGAACAGCCAAGACAAAATATGGCCAGGTCTCGCCCTCTTCATCATATATATACTCTGATGCCATAATCGAACTTAGTTGTTATTCTTCTAGTTCATATAGTAATGTTTCAGAACTGTAGAATTTCTTACAACGAACCTCGCTACTATTTCAAAATCTGAACTTGCATCGACGTGTTACATACAATAAAAAAAACAGCACTACACGACCTACAGAGGAACGTATACACTATCAATAAAAAAATTAACTAGTTGAATATTATTATTGAAGTTAATTATTAGGCTAAAACATTATAGAAACTGACTCCCTATTTCCTATTTCATATCACTTAGTGATGAAACAAACGGATTGGATTCTCAACATAAACAATGTCATTAGAATCAGCAGCAGCAAATACGGCATGGTCCATGACCGAACCAGATGGAGCAGCGATATATTTAACTCCAGACCTTGCGGCTCTGTAAACATTATCTGGGAAAGGAAAGAAAGCATCCGATGACAATGCTACATCCTTTAATTTGGCTGACCATTCATCTCTTTCGCTCTCAGTAAAAGGTTCAGGCAATTCGGCAAACTTGGACTCATATTCAGATTTCTCAGGTTCAGTTTTTGGAATTTGGCCAGTAACAAACAAATCTATAGCGTTGGACTTTTCTGGTCTCTTAACTCCTTTAGCCCATTTGAAACCCAATACTTTTGGATGTTGTCTAAACCACCAGTTATCGGCTTTGTCACCAGCCAATCTAGTACAGTGAATACGAGATTGTTGACCAGCACCCAAACCAATTACCATACCATTCTTAGCGTAACAAACTGAGTTGGATTGAGTATACTTTACCGCAATTGTAGCGACGGTTAAATCGAGAATACCTTGTTCAGTTAAGTCTTTATTCTTAGACACAATTTCCTTGAAAGTAGAGCCCTTAATTATAGCGTCATTTCTTTTCTGTTGTAAAGTAATTCCGTACACTTGTCTTGATTCCATAGGTTCTGGAGTGTAGTTAGGATCAATCTGAAGGATACAGTATTTACCACCTTTCTTCTTTTTCAAGATTTCAAGTGCTTCTGGGGAATACCCAGGAGCAATAACCGCATCAGAAACTTCTTTGGAAATGATTTGGGCAGTAGGCAAATCAACAATGTTAGATAAGGCAATAGAATCACCAAAAGAGGACATTCTGTCAGCACCTCTAGCTCTTGCGTAAGCATTTGCCAAAGGTGACAAGTTTTCAATATCTTCAACAAAGTATATTTTCTTTTCTACGTCAGATAATGGTAAACCAACAGCAGCACCAGCTGGAGAGACATGTTTAAATGAAGCAGCTGCAGGTAAGTTTAATGATGCCGATAATTCCTTGACTAATGGCCACGAGTTCAAAGCGTCTAACAAGTTTATGTACCCCGGAGATCCTCCCAAAACTTTGAATGGAAGTTCACCACAGGAAACAAATGCTTGAGCTGGCTTCTGGTGGGGGTTGGCACCATATCTTAATGGCAATTGAGAAATGTTTTCGGAATACTGTTTTCTGAAAAAATCAGAAATAGTGACATCATAATCAGCAGTATGTTCGAATGCCTTCAACGCGTATGTATTCCTAGCTTGAGCACTAATATCTCCAATCTTCAATTGTTCTAAGAAGCCAGCATAATCCCTGGGATCAGACAAAATAACAACTCTCGCATGGTTCTTTGCAGCGGCTCTCAATAAAGTAACACCTCCAATATCAATCTCCTCGACTGCTTCATCGATAGTGACAGCAGCTTTTGACACGGTCTCCTTGAATGGATACAAATTACAGACAACATAGTCAACCTTTTCAATTCCTTGAGCCTGTAAATCTTGCTCATCGCTGCTTTGATTTCTTGCCAAAATACCCCCGTGAACAGCAGGATGTAATGTTTTTACTCTACCACCCAACATTTCTGGAGCATGTGTAATCGATGAGACATCTTCAACTGGGAAACCAGCTTCACGAATCATCTTGGCTGTTCCCCCAGATGCTAAAATACGGACGTCAGCAGCCGCTAATCCCTTAGCCAAATCTAACAATCCAGTCTTATCATAAACGGATACTATAGCTGTTTTCTTATGTGGCATAATGAATTCAATTTATGCTCCTAGATAAAATGCTTTGTCTTTAGGAAATATTGCCTAATTGAATGAATCCTAGAAGTACAGTCTAACTATGGATACTTCGCAAGAATCTAGTTAAAGACGAAGAAAAAATTTTTTTGTACGTAGATATGAACTGAAATATGGAGTGAAAATTTCGCACACAAATTAAATCAAATTAATTAAGTAATAAAGTTGACTCTGAAGCACTACAAAAAAGATTGAAAGATGCCAGCATGAGTTCACCACTAAATCGAAACACCTAATTCAGTTTTTATTAGTTTGAAATAGAGTTATTTACAAGTACTTTTGAAAAGTTTTAAGTAAGAAGTTCGTATTATTAAGGAAAATTACACCTAAATTAAATAGTGAATTATAGTCCCAAGCAACCGTTGAACGCTAAAGAGTCTCTGGCGAAAACGCATACAAACAATATTAAGAACGCAATTACTTTCTGTATCTCCACAAAGATAAAGTATTGTGTTTCTTCCAGGTGTGATGACGACCGGCTTGGGTATTGTGGTATAAGTGACCCTTGTTGATACCTCTGGACTTCTTACCAGCAGCAGTCAATCCTCTTGCTTCTCTGTGTTTGTGAACAGGGTTAGCGATCCAGTTGTACCTAGCATCTCTTCTAATAGCTTTGTGAGAAGGATCAACTAAGATAACTTCGAAGTACTTATAGGTAGAGTCCTGGTTGATCCAGTAAGAGTTCAAAACTCTCAAGTTAGCAGCACGACGGCCAACTCTCTCTTCTGCAGTAGACTTCAATGACTTTTGGTATTTCAATTGGTTAACACCTTGATTGGTTGGTTTACCGTATGTAGCACCCTTTGGAACAGGCTTCTTTCTACCACCTCTTCTGACTCTAATTCTGTAGATAACAAAACCTTGCTTGGCTTTGTAACCTAATCTTCTAGCCTTGTCAGGTCTAGACGGTCTTGAAGCTCTGTGGATAACAGTTCTTTGTCTGTATTCCCAGCATCTAACACGATACAAGAAACGCATAACATCAGACTGCTTCTTTCTTTGTAATTCTTCCAAGTATTTGTAGGCACCCATGTTTCCTATAGTTTTATCTTTTTATCGGTAATACGTATCGACAAAATTTATAAATGACAACTGTTTTCAAGTTGGAAAGTGAAAAATTTTCCAGATAGATCCAACATGCGATACATGAAAATTATTCATGACACAAAACAACCCATCATAGACAATTTTTCAAAATGTGAAAATCGTTCCATACTCAAATTTACTCCCTGCTAAAAAAATTTCTGCATCTGACTGAGCAGTCATCGAGCTGGTAAATTTCGTATTATCATATAAAACTATATAACATATAGAGGGGAATTGAAAAGATTGGCTCACGATGTAAACACCTTCAAGTCCTAAAGTTTTTTGGCCATCTCAGTGAGCTCCTTACCCTCGTAAATTTGAACGTCAGGTGAGCTATTTGAAGTAGCTTTTGAAGCTAAATCAACAGCGATCTTTCCCAACTCTTTGCCATATATGGGGTATGTAGGAAATGCAAACATATTACCGTGAGTTAATTCCCCGAACTTGACCATTAAAGAAACTAAGAGTCCCTTTGAAGTTTCTCTCTGTCCTAATAAAAGACCTGGACGCAATATGATTGTCCTGGGAAATTTAAGATCAAGAACTTCCTTTTCAATGCGGCCCTTGGTCTTAAAATACAAGAAAAAAGAGTCAGGATTGGCTCCCATGGATGAAATCAATACAAAGGTCTTCACTCCAGCTTTCTTCGCAGCTTTCGCACACTCTACATTGATGCCTTGATCAATCTCCACGAACTTCTTAGCAGACCCTGCAGCTGCTCTTGTAGTTCCAAATGCGGAGAAATAAGCATCACCCTCTGTACTTTCAATTATATCGCCCCATTTACTAGAGTCCTTCTCGACGATGGCTTCTATTTTGTCACTATTGATGCTTGGCTCACGACGACTTACTGTAGTTACGTGCTTATAATGATCTGACTCCAGAAGATGAGCCAATATTTGATTGCCCACCAAGCCTGTTGATCCAAGGAGAATTGCACTCATTGCTTATTATCTTCTAAATATTGTGTGCAGCGTTTATCAAACATTCGATTTGTATTTTTGCCATCATCTTTGGTCACCACAAAGCAAAACCAACTCAAATGCAGGATTTACTATTAGGTTAACCCCTCTCCTCTCGCGCAGTATACCAGTAAGTAAGAGAAGACAGTGTCCCTATTAATTGCGTCGTGAAATCGCTGGCCAAGCACGGCGTTATTATTGCGCAGTAACAGGGAGGAGTTCTTGCAGTTATCTACCATGTCCAGTGCACCGTGATTCGGAACTCCTGGACTCTTGTAAGGGAAAACATTTTTTCCGCCGAACCTCTACACAGTGCGGTACCTTCACCATGGTGGTCCGTGTACTGCTGCTTGCTTGGCCGCTGATGTTTATGGGCGATGACGGCGGGATCGTCTTTTTATTGTAAGCCAATACATAGCCAGAGACGAGAGAGCAAAGCAACCAAAGTTCTATTCAACCGATTACCAAAGATGGATAAACTTGCGAGTGGTACGATCATGTGCAAAACTAAAAAAAGAGTATGGTCAAGTGCGTTTATCTTCTCGCTATCAGAGATAGTATAACTCGGATTATGGATTTGATTCAAGCACTTCATTTAAGCTATAAAATTCAAATACTACTATTGAAGTCGATCAGAGAGTTGCCGCTATTCCGAGTAAGTCGCTCGCTATTTAATTGTCTTTAGGCACGTCATATTTTACTTGGCCGTCTTTGCCGATAGATGCAGATATTTAAATGAAACTGTTTCTGTTGTTACATATTTCTCTATTTGCTTTTGTATCACTTTTTATACGCACATCGATAGTTTGCTGACGTTAGATAGTCACCGAAAAACTAAAAGCTGGAGGAAGTGCACTTATCGTAGGAAAACAGAAGAGTTCTCTGTGAATCGCTGACGGATATTCAGATATCAGATACCACTCGCTCCACTGTAGACTCTACAGTTATTTGAATAAGATATAGAGATAATAAAGACAAGAAACAGAAATACGGCTTGCGCCACTTCACGACCAGTTGGCTTTTATAAGGACTTGACCGTGCAAGAAACTATCAAGTATGACAAACATATTTCCCACAAATCATTTCAAGTTTAATAATATATCAGATACGGACAAAATGACAAGTCGTTCTAGTGAGGGAGATTATGGTAGTGAATCTGAACACCATCGACACAATCACTCCAAAGCACCACATCCCGTCAATAATGTGGATGACTATGCATTTACACAATCCCTTTTTGACCACTACCATATCAAGCCTCATGTAATGAACCATGTTCAAACAAAGGCTGATATTAATACAGGGCTCAATCATGATTCTGGAAATTATGAATTTGATAGTGGGAGGTCCGGATTTGATGATAACTATTCAAGCAATCATTCATTCAACTCATCGGGATTTTCATCTGGCAAGCCGGATGAAAACCTGACCAATATGAACTATTTTGAATACAACACCTCTACCCCATCCACGGGGTATGATGCCCATCCAAGAAGAAGTATCCATGTGTTGGAGCGAGCCTCTCAAAATCCAGTCATCCAAGAGCCAAATTCAAACCGTAATTCAATACCCAGTTCTAGTGCAAATATAAATCCTAATGCGAACCATAATGATCACTTGTCAGAAGACGAAGTTGTGCGACCCACCTCACATCCCGTTGGCATGGAGAAATCATCGAGGGAATCTACATCTAAATCTGATACACTTAGTAATGAAGAATTTAATACTTATTTTGATTTCACTAATTCTGACTTTCAGGATTATAATAATAATCATAATGTCGATCATATTGAAGAGTACAAAAGACGTGTTAATATAGAAAACCCAGTTGCTGAAAAATTAATCAACAAGCCTGCTGAAGTGACTCCAAAGTCAGATGATGTAAAATCTTCCAAACGAAGTAAGAATCCTGGATTTCATATACCTTTAGACAACATCAATAGCAATCCGATGGCATCCAACAAATTTTCAGCATTCATATCTTCATCTCACTCAGATTCAAACTTCCATAATTACTTCGATGCACCTCCAACATTTGAATCAGACTTCGAGGTAATCAACAATAACAATCCGAACTCAGTTATCACTCCATCTATGAATCCAGCTATCTCTGATGCTCATGGATATTTCGGTTTAAGTGCCACCCCAACCATACTTGCTCAGAAGAAAGAGACATCTCCTAGTAATGATTTAGATAACTCAACAGTTGACCGGCAGTTGTACGAATCTTATCTTTTGGCCAATGAGCTTAACTCCGCGGGCGACGCAACAGGTGAAAGGTTTCACCCTGATCTTAGGGGCTTTAACTTTGACGTAAACCCTAGAAGTGAACCTCCAGAGCGAGAAGAAAGCTTCAAACCACTTGCATTTGAGCCTTTAAATCCAAGCACAACTTTCGAAGAGCTGGAAAAGGAGGGAAATGAATCAGACAGGGATAAATCAAAAGTTCTGTATTTGAATCTCACGAGGCCTGGTTTTCAACGTGAAAATTCAAATCAGAGTCTCTCTAGTGTTGGTTCCGCCCCCGGTTCAAAGGATAAGCCGAAGAAAAAGAAAGCACCCAAAGGAGCTATCTGCTCTGTATGCGACAAATACATAAGCAGGGACTTGACGAGGCATATGAGAATACACAATGACGTTGGAAGATTTCAATGTGTATATCCTAAATTCATGTGCAATCATAAAACACAATATTTCAATAGACCCTATGATTACAAGAAACATTTACTACACATGCACTTTAAGTTTGATGATCCTAGGGGAAAGACTGCTAACACGTTGACTGATAAGTTGCCAATGATGGGAACTTGCCAGGCTTGTGGAGCCAGATTTATGGCTAACGACTGGCTCGATCTGCATGTTTTGACCAATGATTCATCCAAAAAATGCTCATTCGTTGAAAGTAAGTAAAGTTGTTGAATAAATGATGAAGACTTCTCTATTTACCCCCTTAATCTTAAGGAGGGCGACTTTTTCTGATATTTACGATCAATGTACGTTGTAGCGTGAACCTTAGATATCGAACTGTTGCAAAACGGGATCTAAATATTGCGCACAAAAATGTGCCTAATTTGTTCTAGTAAAAATATTTGCTCATGGGACCCAAAACTACTCTTCATTTTCACATATATATATACTAAAATGTACATATTGAAAATTTATAAATGTTGAACGAAACATAGTCATTGAAATATTGATATAGAAAGATTCATATCAAATATGGAATTTGTACGTCGCATGGGAGACATGCAAATGTCTTCCTCTGCAATGTCAAGCACTCTGACAATGGCTTCTACTATGCTGATGGCTACCGATCTGGGGTCTATGGAATCTGATGATATGACCTCAATGCACATGTTCTTTACCACTCACTACAAAAATTATCCCGTCTTATTTGAAAGTCTCGCAGCAGCAAACGGGGGCCAGGCATTTGGAATATTCTTGTTACTTTTCGTTGTTGGAATCCTACTTAAAGGGTGTGAGTTTTTGAAGAATTACTTGGAACAGGTTGTATGGAAGAATCCTGTTTACATCGAATGTCACCCAGGAGAACAAGTGGTATCAAATGAGACCACAAAGAGCGGGGATTGCTGCGGTACAAAGGAAGGTTTCAGTGAAGGTGAAGAAAGAAGCTATGGACAAGAATCCTCTGAAGAAATTACTCCGAGAAATAATTTAAGAATTGCCTCTATAATGGTCAGAAATGCGATAAGGCTAGCCTTGTGCATTATTCCGGAATTATTTGGCTTTGCGTTAATGTTAGCTACCATGTCATTCACCTTGACCTATTTCTTTGCCGTAGTTCTTGGACTAGGAATTGGTCGATTTTCATTTGATTTACTATCTGATAGATTAAACTTAAAACCCTTTTCACAGAGCGGAATGCACTGCTGAAATAGAAATTTATAAAATGCATACATGATTTTAAAGGAAACTTAGTTTCAGAATAGATTAATAATATACACCCATTTAGCTTGAACTTAATGTAAGGATTCCTCCATTTTTTTTATTAAGTCATTATACTTCGATTTGTTGAAGTTCGACCCATTACCATCTGCCAACTTTTCGCTATATATAAGCCTCGCCAAATTATAGAGTTCTCCCAAGGCAAACTCGTCTGGCTCTGATTTCACGGTACTAAGCAAAGTATATTCATTCATAGTAAAGAGATTAAAATATGAGGAGGAACGCGAAAAGTCAACCGGCTCAGAATTTCTCATAAGGTTCTTGATGGTTTGTTGAAGTGTAAGGATATTCAACATTATCCGCTTAATTCCATTGCTGTTGATCTTTTTGATCATTTCGGATCCCTGGATAAGTAACCTATCAACAAGTTCTGGGAAACCAACAAAAATACTTTGAATTTCAACTTCATTAAGAGACATCGATAACTTATTGTGAAGCGAGAAAAGATCTTTACTAAGCTGTCCTATGAACAGATCTGAGTCAGCTGGCTCCGTGACCAAGCACCAATTATTCTGCTTGAACGAGTTACCTATGTAATAAATTGCCCTGCTTCTCAAGTCATACCTTAATGCTAAAATGCAATTGTATCTCACAGTTTCTAGGCCCTTTATAAGTTCGTTAAACTGAAAAGTTCTTTCAGAATTTAGAGCTATGAAAATATCTTGCAGCCTAAGATCTCCTTCACTAGTTTTTGAGTTTAGGCTCGCTCTTCCATTCTCTAAAAAGCACCATTCATGTTTCAATCTGTCAATCGCAGGAACGTGAACAGTATCATCTTCACTGCCATCAACAGAATAATTTGATTCTCTTTTCATAGCCGGCAACCAAGTCAATATCCAACTTGTTGTCAAGAACAAACAACATATGTGGCTAATAGAATCACTGTCGAGGTAGTCATCTTTAGAGATTTCAAAAACATTGCTAGAGCTCTCGCTGTCGTGAAGAATTATCTGAGTTTCCTTAAAGCAAAGACCCGAATAGTTAAGCTCAGTTTCACTCAATGCAGCTTGTAATATGAGTTTTGAAACCTCAGTCAACGCTGGCATATGCATCCAAGAACCTATTTGCAGAGTGGGTTTAGCTGAGTAGGTTGCATTTAAGCCACTTATGGAACTGCTCCTTTCTCCTGCCAATACAATATCATAAAAATTGATATAAGCATCTGTCATCTTTTGAACAAGGCTCAATGCAAGGTCACTAAAATCTGGTCTATAAGACAAAGAAGTATTCAATAAAGAACACAAGTTCAAAAAAACGTCTTTGAAATCGAAGGCGTTTAAATAAATGATTGATGTCAGACTTCCAGACGTGTTAAATGTTCTGACTGGGTCTGATAAATCAACATTACTTAAAGAAATCGTTTCCTTCTTGAAAATTTCCAAAGGTTCCAAAGCACGTGGTTCGTGATCAGAGTATGATGTTATATCAAACATTGTGGTTCTGAACTGTTGCTCCAATTCTAGCCTCAAGTATTTCAAAAATGAATATTTCATAAAAGTCGTAAAAAAGTTAATAGCTGCATTTGGTTCTAGCACCAACATCTGGCTCTCACCTTGCTTTATTTGAAATAGTTTTTCAGACCCAGCAACAAATATCAACAAGAATTCTAAGACAATCCTCATGTTGAGGAGATTTCTGGGAACAAGAACTTCTACCATTACGTTGAAAGTGTCTGTCTTTATATAGGGAGACATATTATCTACGAGATCATACTCCGGCTTATTTTCTTTAGACTGTAAAACCCCAGGAAACATATTGTCGAGAATAATCTGTAGGTCATCTCTTGACTTTTGGGAGTTGTTATCATGTAATGCATTCTCAAGTTTAAAAAGATCTGATTTTACAAGGCTGTTGAAGGTTTTATCATTCTTAATAGTAGGAAGTTTATCCTTTATTCCTGAAGGTATAGTCTGGTCGTTATGGATATAGTTTATCATCAATGCCTGTAATTCCTTTTGAAAAACGTTCCAAACTGAATGGAAATCATAGAACTCAGAAGGTACTAAGTTAGAACCAGACGAGTATGAAGCGGTAGATCTGGCTGTCCCTGGGATACTCTGTCCTTTGATTATAAGATCTATTATTTCGCTGATAATTCTATGCTTCTGTAAAACGGCTAAGCTCATAATGAAGACACCACCAAACAAATCCTGCAAAACTGAAACAGATGCATCATTGAAAGAATTGGCACCAATAGACTCAGATGCCCTCATATCATCCAAATTTTGAAGCTTATTGAGTTTATTGAGTTGCTGTGCATTTTTGTGTTTAACTTCCTCTGTTGTTCTGTCAAATAACCCGTGTATTTCCAGTTGGTTGTTACCAATCAATATTTCCAGTATTTGGTTTAGACGGTTCAACTTGAACGCGGTATTTAACAACATATAAATGTAGTGAAAAGATTCTGTGATGGGATTCAGACTGGAGTCTAATAAAATAGAATAGTCAACTTCACTCCCATTACTCTTAAAATGATTGTGTATCTTGGGTAATTGAGTTTTGATGAATATCTCAGTTGGTTCGTTGATACAATCTGCTATTTCAGATATGTCTAAGTTCGCTGAATTGTATATGTACTGTTCTAGACTGAACAGACTCGAGAACATTGTTTTGAATGAGGAGAGTCTAGGATTATCGGAGTACACCAAGTTTTGCCAAGAATAAAGTGAAGTATCTGCGTTAGGTACAATTGAGACATTTTTAAAATACAATTCGTTCTGCAATTCATCCACAATCATGTTAAACAAGTTGTTTGATTGCATCTCAAGATAGTTGTGCACACCATTCATTGCGGCCAAAGACCATAATTTATACTTTTCGGCTTTGTTGTATGCATTGTGAATTGTATCATAAACTAAATGAATTTTCTTATCATTTACCAATTGGTCTATCTTTTCTGGGATTGAGTTCAATTCCTCAATTGCTTCCAAAATGTCGAGCATTTCTGCATACTTGAGTGAGGATTGATTCAATTCACTGAGTACATCCGATCGATTATGAATGTCCTTCGTTGTCGTTTCTAATATGTTTCGAATCTGAGAAGAGTCTTCTTGTGACTCATCTAAGGCGGATAATAGCATGTGGTAAGATCCAATACTATTATTGAAAAGTTCATGATGATCATTCACAACATGCTTTAATGTCGTGCGTGTTTGTTTAGAAAGCCCTTGAAATTCCAGATACCTATGTGCCAACCCAACGGAAGTATCGTCAAGAAGAGCGACTGCCATTTCAATTGGGTTGGCATTTTCTTGAAGACATTGTGGCCATTCATACTTGAGTAAGTTAAAAAGCTCCTTTAGTTCGAATACCGACTCTTTGGATTTAGTGGACTTTTGTTCAAAAGTGGGACCATCTATGGCCATACTCAAAGATCTATTACGTGACCTCATATGCTGCGATCTATCTGATTTTAGTTAGTTGGATGCAATGTAGATGTAATATTAGGCTACATTTTTAGAGCGATCGATGTTAAAAATCTACTGCCTTTGTGTAACTCTCAGTGATTTATATAAACATTAAAGAAGTTCCAAGATTTGGCTGTAAGAGAATAATGATTGTAAAATGCTGGACCCAAAAGTCATTGAGATCTCAGATGACACTATTAACTCAAGTGTTGAGGTTATAGAGATGTAAGTATGTTGTCCATAATATATTGATATATCAATATACTAACGAATGCAGTAGTAGTTCTATTCATGAGTCTGACACTAATTGCACTACTGTCAAAGAAACAGCTTGTAGAGACTGGAAGGAGACAGTCAAAGGCTCAAATGACAATAGCGTTATAGATTTTAGGCGACCTTCTAAGAGGTCGAACAATCTATTCATTCTTTCTTCCTCACCTGTTGCTTCTCCAAGAATGGGTACTACTCAAAAAAGATCAGTAATCAACGCGTTAGAATGCCAACTAGATACTTGTACCTACTCCAAAAAGACTGATATATTAGACTTGAAAAACTGGATATCAGAATCTGACGATTCTGGAGTTTCGAATTGTTATGTTTCAAACGGTGATGGAAGTCAATGGGAACCCTCGTCGACTACTCTTCCCAAAGTTTCCCAAACATCTGACGCAATAGATGACCAGAGTTCAAGTTTTCCCAGCGATTTTAATCTATTAGATGAAATGAATACCCATGCTAACGCAAAGTGTACTGCTCTGCCAAAGAAGGAGAGCAAAAAAAAATCTAATAACACATTAAAAGTTGGAGAGAATACTTTTTCTTTAAAGGTATTAAGGACTCTAAATAAGGTATCGAGGAAGAAAGAAGATCTTCTCTCTGAAATGATCATTGAAGTTCCATCGTTTGTTGAAAAAGATTATTTTAAGCTGGAATATTTACGACAGGTTTTTGCTGGAACGGAAATTTCATTAATAGATTCAAGTTTACCATTGATCTCTTGGCGGCGAAAATTAAGATCAGAATATGACTCTAATGCTGACCTCTTTGTCCCTTGTGAGCCGAAAAAAGTCAAAGAAAGAGTGCTAGTACTCTATTTCAAAGCTCAAGAGTTCACAAATTACTTGAGGACAGGCGAAATAAATAAACTATTAGACGACTGCAAAGCTGATTTCAAACTGAGCTATCTGCACTCAGTGCCTCATATTATCTTCATGGTAGAAGGATATGATAACTTCTTGAATAAATTGAAAGCTCACGAGAATCTGAAGTATAAATCAGCCGTTTTGGGCTCAATGAATTGCGATACTCAGGTCAAGAAAAGACGAAAACAAAATACAGAGGATGTAATTGATCAGCTGGCAAAAGAAATCGAATATATGGCGAATGAAGCTGAAGTGCAACTAGGTGTCAATATTTTTCCCGTCAAGAATAGTTCAGAGGCCGTGGAATGGCTACACTCTTTCACTTATACAATATCTAATGCATTATATGATAAATTTAATAGAAATGAATCGTTAGCAAACTTAGGAACCGTGAGATCTGGTTCTGATCTGAAATCCACGTTTCTACAAACGATGAAACAATTCAATCTCATGACAGAACCAAGGGCTGAGAAACTATTTGGTTATTTTGGTTCTCTCTCCTCGGTTTATTCTAAATACAGATTTAGCTCAACGCTAGGGACAGATGCTCAAGGCAAAAATATCGTCCCACCATCTACAGATCTCGCTATGCGAAAACTCTTTACGTCTCACGATCCGAACGAGATTATATACGAATGAAATGAAAGGTTGATATGCATTAAAAACTAAAATTCTATAAGTTTCGCAGTTATTGTAATCGTAAGCATGAAATTCTCATGAAAGTAAAATACTCATTAACTCAAAATCTTTTTAACAGAGTGGTAATCTTCATTGAGTTGAGGTTCAAGCACCTTGATATTCTCTAAACCATTGGATAACTCTGCGATTTCTGTAGAAGAAAACTCATAGTGTAATAATGATAGCTGTGATGTAATACTCAAAATTTTATCAATACAACCAATATGGCCATCACTTTTCATCAACAGTGTGAGCCTCTCGATAATTTTATCCTCATGGATTCGATCTTCAGACTTCTTATCCAAACCATTGGACAAGACAGCAGAGACCAATGACAAGACCCTCAAGGTAAGTTTGTGGTTATCCTCTGGAATCCTAATAATATCCCATCCATTTTCTTTCACAAACTGCTCATACCCTGGTTTAAAGTTTCTAATATATGACGATATCGCAAACAAAGATTTCGCTAATAAATCATCTGGTGAATTTGTATCTGAGCATATATTAATTAGTTTCGAAAGTCCATCATGTTTACTGAAATCATCCTGTGCTTTAGGATTATTTTGAACAGATATACCAATACATGAAGCCGCATAAACTCTTTGTATAGCTGGCTTATCTTCCGCAAGTTGCTCGATTAAGGAGGGCCATAAGTTGAGGTTTTCAATGTTATTAGCGTTATCCATATTCTCAATCAACATCTCGAAATTTTCAAATGCAATCTCCTTGTTTTGTTCAGTTGTTTCCTCGTTGCATATAGCCGCCATAGAATGCTTCATTAAAGTTGGTTCATCAGGTCCCCCAAATAGTTGATGGAGCATTTTAGGGTCTGGTTGGCCCATCTTGTTTATGGCATCTTGATCCCCTGACTGCTGGGCAATTGACCATTTCAAAAGTTTATCCATTATTGTTAATCGCTTGACTTAGTCAAATCTGCTACACAAGGCTTCACATGTATAAATAGCTTCTTAATTCAAGTCACATTGATGTGAGCTAATGTCGTACTGTATTCTAGAAGTTTCTGCGACACTGTTCTAGAAAGCGCAAAAAACGACATTTAATAGTTAATAAAAAAGCTGCTCTGTTGCACATCTCGGGTCCAAAGGAGTACACCCAATTTGGCAGTTTCAGAAAGGGTTGTCAAACGTGTCTAACATAGTGTGTGAGTAGAGGTAGATATTTTCAGTACTCCTGTGTTTTTCTTATCCTTTCATGGGATATTCACCTCTTTTTTTTGAAATTGCTTCACAGTAACGGGCTTTAGATATCCGCCGGGGTAATATTTCGTTTCGTAGAATTCCGAGCATCCACTATACCGTGAGAACCCACTTGGTATATAATATTTAAGCAACCTTATTCCTCTAAATTGAGAAGTGTAAGTTAAAATACTCAATTGATATCAATTAAGAATAGTCTTAAACGTAAGAATATAGTATAATGTCGTTGTCGAATAAATTGTCTGTTAAGGATTTAAGTATCACTGGAAAGAGAGTTTTCATCAGAGTTGATTTCAACGTTCCTTTGGATGGTAAGACTATCACAAATAACCAACGTATTGTCGCTGCATTACCAACCATCAAGTATGTTCTTGAACACAAGCCAAAGGCTGTTATCTTGGCTTCTCACTTGGGAAGGCCGAACGGTGAAAGAAACGAGAAGTTCTCATTAGCTCCAGTCGCTACCGAGTTGGAAAAGTTATTGGGCAAAAAAGTCAACTTTTTGGATGACTGTGTTGGTGAAAAAGTTGAGAAGGCTGTCAATTCCGGTGAGGATGGTTCCATTTTCTTATTAGAAAACTTAAGATTCCACCCTGAGGAAGAAGGTTCAACTAAAAAGGATGGAAAAAAGATAAAGGCTCCCGCAGAAGACGTGAAGAAGTTTAGAGAGCAATTGACTGCCTTAGCTGACTTGTATGTGAATGATGCATTCGGTACTGCCCATAGGGCTCACTCTTCGATGGTCGGTCTTGATTTGCCTCAGCGTGCCGCAGGTTTCTTAATGGCAAAGGAATTAGAGTACTTCGCAAAGGCTTTGGAAAATCCTGTACGTCCTTTCTTGGCTATCTTGGGTGGTGCAAAGATCTCAGATAAGATTCAATTGATTGACAATTTGTTAGACAAAGTCGATTTATTGATTATTGGTGGAGGAATGGCTTTCACTTTTAAGAAGGTTTTGGATAACATGAAAATTGGTAACTCATTGTTCGATGAAGAAGGTTCTAAGAATGTGGAGAATTTAATTGCCAAAGCTAAAAAGAATAATGTTAAGGTTGTCTTGCCTGTTGATTTCGTCGTAGGAGACAAGTTTGATAAAGATGCAAAGGTTTCAACTGCCACTGAGAAGGAGGGGATTCCAGATGGTTGGATGGGATTGGATATTGGTCCAAAGTCTCAGAAATTGTTTGCTGAAACCGTTGCTCAGGCTAAAACAATTGTTTGGAATGGACCACCTGGTGTTTTCGAATTCCAAAACTTTGCTGCTGGTACCAAGTCCTTATTAGATGCCGCGGTTAAATCTGCTGAAAATGGTAACACCGTTATCATTGGTGGCGGTGACACTGCTACAGTCGCCAAGAAGTACGGTGTTGTAGATAAATTGTCCCATGTCTCCACTGGTGGAGGAGCTTCTCTTGAATTATTGGAAGGTAAGGAATTGCCAGGTGTTGCCGCAATATCTGACAAATGAATTTAGTTAGTATATTATATATGTAATGAACAATGAGGTATGCATTCTGTTACGTTCGTGTACTACAGTGGTATAATAAACAAAAGCGAGCTCTATAAGGTAGTATATAACAAACATCTTACAATTTCGACGCACCATTCATAACATCTTTCCAAGATCCTTCAGTCAATTCTGTATACCCATTCTTGCGCAACCAGTATATAACGTCACGACCATCTTCTCCTTTAGGGAGTTTCTGATTTTTGAATTGCGCCTTTGGGACTTTGAAGTTGTGGCTTGCTTCAATTTTACTGATTTTTATAAACTGAGGGATGGCATATTTAGGTAAGGTCTTATCAACATGTTTGAATATCTTATCCAACACTTCTTTATCATCCAAGCCATCGATGGGTTCAACCACTGCAAATCCTGCTCTTCCTTCATGATTTGGAACTCTTACACCAACAACAACAGATTGTTTAATAGCACCAGAGCCCATTAATTCATTCTCAACTTCGGTCGCAGAAACATTCTCAGACTTCCAGCGGAACGTATCTCCCAATCTATCAACAAAGTACAATAAGCCATCTTCATCCATTCTCAAAAGATCGCCACTTCTAAACCATGCGTCGCCTTTTTTAAACACATTGGTAATAATTTTCGAAGAAGTCGCCTTTTTGTTACCATAATAACCTTGGAAGGATGTTTCTGGGTTTTTCGCATTGACAATTCTCATCAATAACTCACCAGGTTCATTTTTTCCCGGACGCGTAGCAAACCCTGTTTTCGGGTCTCTCCAAATTTCATTTTCGTCCTCAGGATCCATCTTCACCAATTTCTGTTGAAGGGACAAAATGAGGTTGATTAGTGATCCATATTTTCTACACGCTCCAACACCAAATTCACCATACTGCAAATTCGTAGTAGCTATCGGAGATTCCGTTGACGCATAAAATTCGCCAATGGCTTTTATATGGAACCTTTTTTTGAACTCGAGCCATATATCCGGACGTAACCCATTACCATATGCTATAGTAACCTTGTGAGCCTGCTGGTCAGGATGAGGCTTGGAGTGTAATAAATAACGGCATGTTTCACCGACATACTGAATGTGCGTGGCGCCCGTAAGTTTTGCTTGGGTCCAAAATGACGTTGCCGAGAACTTCTGGGATATAGAAACACAACCACCCGCTAATAAGGTCGGACAAACACCCAACATTGCAGCTGTAGAATGATATAGTGGCATAGCGGTCAAGACTGTAGAATTTGAATTTATCTTCATAATATGTCCAAAAAAACACGACGCCATGAATGCCTTTCTCCATGACATTATAGCAGATTTGGGTAAGCCAGTTGTGCCGGACGTGTAGATCAAGGCGCAACACGAAAAATCACTATCATCTGGTCTTCTAGTGTTATCAGGAGCTCTGTATTTCGGTCTTGAACTTTCTTGCAAAACTCTAAGCAATTCGCGTTCATTAATGTAGTGAAGTTTAACATGTGGTAACTCTTCATTAATGGCGCTTTCTGTATCTCTGATGGGACCAGCGCAATCCGGGTCAATAAAAACTTGAGTGACGTTTGAAATCTTTAAACAATGGACTAATGGCTTATCCTTAGTGTTGAAATTCAAGAACGCCGGTATTGCTCCAATATTCCACAAGGAGAGCCATAATATTATAAAAAGTGGTTTGTTCATACAATCCACACCTATTGTTTGATCAGCCGTAACACCAAAATCATTTTTAAGCATGTAGGAGAATCGCAATACCATATCGTACAATTCCTTATATGTATATCTTTCTAGCGTGAATTGCTCATCATAAATAGGGAATCCATTCTCATCCTTCTTCGGAGGAGGAGCATTCTTTTTGGGTCTAGGAAAAGAAACAGCCCAATTATTTGGGTGTTTCAAGACAGACTTCTCAAAAGGATACCAATAACTTGCCTTTCCTCTATAACAGTCCAAAGCGTATGGTATTGCTTTGCTTAACACTTTTCGTACTAATAAGATATCATCCTTGACGTGATACTTAGCATCAAGTAATTGCGAAGCTAAGACTGCTGCCGCTGCGATCTCTATACCCGACATGTTAAAATTGTTTAGATTAAATACTCAACTAATTTTGCAATGATTAAACGTAGCGAAGGGGAGTTGTATCGAATTTATAGTCTCCGCAGACTCCCATGAGATACTGATTTGGTAATTGTCCCGTGATTTTTACAAATAGATACCAAAAAAAATTAGGCAACAGCGAATTGGCACAAAGGATAGATACAGGGTATATAAAAGGAGTCTGTTGATTCTTATTATGGTCTATTGCAATAAGTGCTAATAATTCTACCATTTACAACCTATATATCATATCATGAAGTTTTTCTAAACGTTTACCTTTGCTCGGTTAATATTCAAATGATATCACATGGGTGCGAAAAAACTAAAACCCTCTTTGCTTCCCCTTGACGGGCGGGATAACCGCAAGACTACAACATTGTCATTGTTGTGTCTCAGAAACGGCTGAAGATACTATTCCTGCAAGGATAGAAAGCTACTAACTAGAGTTCAGGGAAGGTTTAATTTAGTGAGATGTCGTATTTTATCTTCTCCGTAACATTATTTTGTAAATGTAATCCAAAAGAAGAAATGACAAACTTCCCCGACAACTTTTATGCTATTGTTTGAAGGTGTAGAAGCTTGGGTTTGAACATGGTTTCCAATTTTTTCTTTTTACCTATTCATGTCGTTTTATATCTATCAAGAAAAATATCTGTGATAATATCCGAATAAGTTACAACGCCTTACAGATACAGAACTTTCTGAATTGAAATAATTGTTTGAAAGGCACATTTTTGTTCGAGCATCCATTGAACCTGAAGATTATATTGTTTGACATATCATACAAGTTGATCTCAGTGTTTGCTACAATAGAGACATAATTATTTTAGGACTGCCACCTCACTTAACATTGATTCATATATAAAGAAAAAGGCGTGAATTTATCCTATGTTCTTCATAAATGTCAATTGGCATGTAAGCTTAAGCTTAGAGTGGACTCGGTGTTTCTATAGTATAGCCTTTTCGCAATTTTTGTTCTTTATTTTGAAAAAATACATATTATTCTTCAAAATAACTATATAAGAGCATAAGTTAGGGATATGTCATGAAACAGAAAACAAGAATCCTACACTAATCTGAAAATTAGTGCTATATCAAAGATCTTAGCTCTTTGTTTTCTTTTAATTTTATCAAATCATCTTGCTGCCATATTTTGCAACTCTCTTCTTTTTCTGCCTCTTTGATCTCGCACATATTAGTTTGGCCAATTTTTTACTGGCTCAAAAATTTCCAAATATCACAAATTATCTTTCTCAAAGAAAACGTAGCACCAAACAAGGAAAGAGGACGAATATCCTGGCAGAATGTTTGCTCGACCAAGCTTGTTCTTTACGAAGAATACGATGGTATTGAAAGTTCTATCTCAAACCAGAGTGTCTAGGGCATCTATTATACCAGTCCAGAAGCCTTCTAATTTTTCATCGATATTTTCAAACTTGAGATTTGTAAGAGGACATTCTTCTATGACTTTAAGGAATGGGGGAATAGAGCAGTTCTCAAAAAATGCATCTATTAATATTAATTTTAATAAGGAAAGCAAAGTTGTAGCTAACAGGGCAGTTGGTTACTGGTTATTAGGAACTTCTACTTTAGTGTTTGGTATCGTTGTGTTAGGAGGCCTTACAAGATTGACGGAATCGGGATTATCTATCACTGAGTGGAAACCAGTAACGGGGGTTCTTCCTCCCTTAAATGAGGAGCGGTGGTTGCAAGAATTCATGAAATATCAAGAGTCACCCGAATTTAAGCAGCTAAACTCGCATATAACGTTAAGCGAATTCAAATTCATTTACAGTATGGAGTGGGGTCATAGGCTTGTTGGTAGATTCATTGGATTATTTTTTGTGCTCCCTGCATTATATTTTTGGAAAACTGGTAAGTTTAATTCACTCACTACTAAACGAGTGGTAGGGTTAACTGCTTTATTGGGATTGCAAGGAGTCATAGGATGGTGGATGGTTAAATCAGGTTTGGATGAGGCTCAATTAGCAGAAAGAAGATCTAAGCCGACTGTGTCTCAATACAGACTTACTACCCATCTTGGGGCAGCCTTTTTGATGTATTTGGGTGTTTTATGGGCAGGTATGGATGTATTAAATGAAAATAAACTCATCAAGGACTCGATCAAGTCTCCTGAGTCTTTGAAAAATTTTTTATCTAAAATTCAGAATCCAGCTTTAAAAAAGTATAGATATATTGCAACAGGTTTACTAAGTTTGACTTTCCTAACGGCTTTGTCGGGCGGAATGGTTGCTGGCTTAGATGCTGGATTGATTTATAACACTTTTCCTCATATGGGTGATGACTATTTGCCAACTATTAACGAATTGATGTCGCCAATATTTGCGCATAAGGCTGACAAGTCTGACTTGTGGTGGAGAAATCTTCTTGAAAATCCTACTACAGTTCAGCTCGTTCATCGTTGTTTTGCGATCACAACTTTTTTCTCTGTTTTAGCTGCTCACGTCTCAGTTGCTAGACATAAAGAGCTTTTTCCAAAGGCTGCTTTAACGCTGAATCGTATCCTAATGGGAATAGTAACCCTTCAAGCTGCCCTCGGAATTAGTACTTTAGTTTATTTGGTTCCAATTCCCCTCGCCGCTGCTCACCAGGCAGGTGCCTTAGCTTTGTTGACTTCGTGTTTGGTATTTTTGACCAAATTGAAAAGACCAAGAGCTCAAGTAGTATCTTACATTAATAAATCGTTGAAACAAAAGCTTCTCAAGAAGCAATGATGCTGATAATGACTTTAATAATACAATTGTACATAGTATTTACATGGAAAATATATTTACCATATGCGTTTACTTGACATTTCGTATCTTTTTACTTCTTCTAAACCATCGTCATCAAGATTGTCACGGCCGCTGCGCTTGTTTAGGATTTGTCGATTACGCAACTCCTCGATAGTTGGAGGAACTGATTCATCATGGTCATAAAGGTAAGATCGTGTAGTCGGATTGATAGAAGATGCTTCTGAATTAGGAATGCCAGGAAGAAATGACAAATCTATGGGAGAAGAAAGAAGAGACTTCTCAGCTTTGGGACTTGAGTCAGGTGAGCTTTGATATGCGTCTTTATCATCATTTTCTGATATAGCAGTCGGCGAATGTGAAGATGTTATTGGGGACAAGCTACTATAAGTAATCGTGTCTTCTCCTTCTGGAGGGTCCACTCTCGATACTTTGAACGAGGAGGTTGACTGGTTATGCTTTTCAGAGGACAGCTCCATTTCACGATGTAAATTTTCTTTGATCGTACTATGAGCTTGAAACTCACCTTCAATACTAATAGCCCATTTCAAAATAATTAGACCTAAGATCAATCTGATGAATAAAACAATGAAAAAAGTCGTCAATATGAGTATGGCTTTCACTAAATACGCGTAGACTTGCAGTGTCTCGCTGGAAACTACAAGCAATTGTTTGAAGTCTGGAAGAGTCATTCGAAGAAAACAAACAACAGATGCAAGCAACGGTAGCCCGATCCTCTTCGTTAGCACAATATAATCTGACAAATCATTCAGTAGATTAGCAGCCGGATTTGGAGTAGTTTTGAATACTTGCAAAAAATCCAAACTTAAAACATGAAGAAACTTTCGATAGACCCTTGGCCTGATCTTATTAAATTTCGTGATATAGCAATGCTTTAGCCAATCGACAAAAATTTCGCTCCCAATTACTACGATGCTGGGGCCAAATATGGCACCAAACCAAGTATTCCAACTTTTCCAACTGTTTGGTATTAATCCCATCTGTGTACTATTTATCTGAAGCAAATTCCTCAACGCTATTATGCTAAGCATCAAAGACAATTGGAATCGTTCTGTTAAATCAGCCATTGATATTTGAAATAGTCCCTCTCGATCAAATTTCTTGAAAACAGAACCTTTTAGCTCAGCAAATTGATTAGAAAGAAGCAATGTTAATAAGGCATTAGAGTAAGAATTGGCAGCCACATTCAATGAAACTGTTTGATAGATGAGGATGTAGGCATGTGATGTCAAATAAATGAGTGATATAAGGAAGAAGATGAAGAGTTTTGCCCCGTTTTTTCTCAAATCCTCATATGAAGCCATTGGTGTAGAATATAAAATTGCAAGAATATCTTGCCCAATAGAAGAACACAATTTTTCCGCTACCTCCAAGACACCAAACATGACATAAAGCTTGATATGTGCTTGACCCCTTACATCATGATACATTCTGGATATATCCAAATTGGGGGGACTTAATAAAAAAACAGACATTCCAATCATCAGTAGAGTAATAATATCTCTTTTAACCCAATGTAATTTTTTTATAATGAAGGAGCTACGAAACTGTGACGTCTGATTGAAGTTAGCAATACAGTCGCAGATACCAGCGTAGGAAAGAATGATTATCTTAAGGGGAACAAGGGAAAATACTGTTAAGACTGAATTCAAACACACAAGTAACCCGAATATCATAAATCGCTCTAAAACAAGAGGCACTTTGATTAAACTTGAGAGCTGCTCGTATGACTGTTGAGCCTCAGCCTGAAGAGGGTCTTGCTCATTAAGTTTGTCCCCATGTTGAGGCAAGTTCAACTCGACTTTCAACAATCGATATAATGATAGCAAGCTTGTAGGCTCTGAGCCCCTGAGTGTATGATACAAGCGATTATTTGAAATGAAGTTTAAAAAGGAAGTCGCCGTAGATGACCTTGATCTGCTTCGCCCTGTGTAATTAATCGATCTTGACCTTGATCTTGACCTTGATCTTGATCTTGAGTCGTTTGAGCAGCCCAATCGTGAGATAGAAGAAGAAGGCCCATCCAGCAGGCCACTTTGCTTGCTGGTAGCTTTATATAGGGCCATAAGGAGAATCTACTAAAATCTTCTTTTCAGCTCTGCTCTTTGATCTTAATATTATGCTTGATGTCTCTTTGTTAAAGGTTTCTTGATTACTGCATTTGAAGTTAGGTGAAGTCACGAGCAAATTATTATCGAAGATCGCTGCGATATCGATATAGAATCTCAAGTTGGGAGTGGTTCGTCTGATAATTCATAGTGGAAGGAAATCTCCAGCCATGAACCTACTAAGCTTAAACGATTTTTTGGCTCTGATAGAGTCTTTCCCTAAAAGAGATCTTCTAAGCCCTCAAGAAGCTTCAAAGCTTCTCCTTATCATTACTGAGCTTCTCGTTGACCATAATGTGGAACCAGCTTTGCTCAAGTTTTTAAGCAGATTTTTAACTCAACAGTCATATGATGACATTGTGGAGGAGAGGAATATAGAGCATGAATGTGGTTACATACTATGCAACAATGCACCTCAACAGAGAGTTCGTCGATTATCGGCTAACGGTAATGGTACCATTTCAGCGTCGTTGAATGATCCTACAGCTTCGACGAAATTTCAAATATATAACAGAAAGCCTTCAATGATTCTTCCAAACACTTACTTAAGCCAGTATTGTTGCAAGGAGCACTACCAAGCATCATTATTCTATCGAAATCAACTTTCTAGTGAGGCCATGTTTGCGAGAAAAGATATTTTGATTGCATCTCCATTCCCACCGAATTATCCTTCGACTTGGTATGAAAACGGAATCACATGTTTAGAGGAAGTGCTAGCAAAGCATGCTGAGTTAAAGGGGCAAGGAAAGACTTTGAGTGATGTGATCACCATGATGAATGGTCTTAGTATGGCCGATGGCCACCCTAGTGATGAAACGAATGATTTAATTAAATTGGTGGAAGATTTTCAGATAATTGAGAGAGATGGTGATACAAACGATGATGACAATGAATTAAACGACTATGACAATTATGACAAGAATAAGCTTTCAAAATCTACCGATGATTATCTTACTAGCAATAAAAGCTTTGGAGGCTATGTAGTATAATATTGTTAGCATGTGTCGAGAAATTCGCAGTAAATACTCTTATTTACAATCGAGCTTCTACTTAATAAATGCATTAAAATTTGAACTTTTTATCGAAACTTTCCCCATTCCTGTAGCTATGAAATCCAACGTCATCTAGAAGATCACCCAATCTCTTGTTCATGCCAGTTCTTTCTAATAAAGGAATCCCTTTTTGGTTCTTCCTATTTCGAGACATATCATATTGATGATATTCGGGGTAAGACTTCAGACATAGCTCTTTCAGATTAAGGAGATCAGAATGCTTGAAGATATTATTCTGCTTCAATTTCTTTAAAAGAGTTTCATATTTTCCTATCTGATGGTCATAATGGGAATTCATAGATTTTTGGAGACTTGATTGTTGTAAAAAGATTGGAGAATTTTTTTCTTTCAATGACTTGTAATGTTGGAAATATCGGTCGAGCTGACTCCTAAGTTCTTTAGTAGCAAGGTTCAAATCTTTTTTCCAACTTAAAATATGTTTTTGGATACTTCTATCAATATCCAGGGAAGAAACTGACGAAGTGTTCGGCTTATTATTTTTTGCTAACTCCACAAAAGACTCCCAGATTCCTTCACCCTCTGCGAGTGTCTCATAGTAGTATTTGGGCCAAACTTTTTCGTGCTCGCCCCATCCTTTACTACCTCTGACGCTGTAACTTCCATCGTCGAATTTCGGCTCGCTTAAAGATTGGTCACCTAAAGACAGCTCCCAGACAGTAACTATTCTTGATAACTTCATCAGATGCTTAATGTCCAAGGCAACCTTTTTGAGCGGCTCAAGTCGTGGATAAGGCATTCTTATGAACGGAATAGACATGGGACCTGCTTCAGTTAAATTTATTTGTACTCTGTAAGGACCTTTCACGTTTACTATATTTTTTAAATCATTGAAATGATGATATATATTTATATCATACTCAATGCTAGGTTTTATTATGCTTTCAACATATTCAGGATCATACGCATCTTTTATAAGGGTTCTCTTTGTCGAGCCGGGTATAAATAGTTTTGATTTGATATCTGTTTCATTAGCAGCGTAATACTCTTTTACATATGGCAAAAGAAAGGGATTGGGCAACTCCAGTCGTTGTTGTCTTGGTTTGATATATCGACGGAGAACTTTTTCAGAGTTTTCATAGCTAGTGCGTAGCTGCAGTTTACCAAGCTTGAAATTCCACAGTCTTTGTCTTAATTTAAATTTGATGTCTTTTGGTGGGTTGAGCGCAATCGAAGGAGATATGGTTTGTTTCATCAAGACAGGTAACTCTTTATTCCTATTAATATCAATTTCCTGTTTATTTCGAAGATATTGAAGTCGCCATTGCTGATTTACAAACAGTTGATCACGATACGCATCCAAGAGTTTCAACAAAATGGACCAAGAGTCTCGCTTGTTCATCAAGACTTGAGCTAAAAGCTGCTCAAGCTCTATAGCGATGAGAAATTTTTCAGTAAATATATTCGGATTCTTCAACGAACTTGTCTCAGAAAGCAGGAAACCTTCTCTAATAGCATAATTTAACTCACTGTATATCTTTTTAACATGTTTATGGGGATAGAAGCAAATACTTTGTTCTTCTGTGATGCCATTGATATCGATCAGCTCAAGTGCAGATGGAGGCAATTTTTCTAGCTTTTTTAACGACCTGATTAATGATCTGTAGGTGGAAGTTACTGCTTTCCTATGGGTAATTTTTCCCCAAAAAGATGCTCTCGTCATCAGAAGAATTATCAGCCTGGTCTTGAGAATGCATAGGCCACTTATAACGGTAAAGGCATTCGCGCTAAAAATATTGAAAAAAGATACTGCTCTTGATTAGGCTTTATTGTAGGAAACCTATATAATTGACAATGGTAAGCACCTAAATCCAAAGGATGGATATTAATTTCAGTACTAACAATGTTTAGCCTCCCAAAACTTCGAAGATTAGCCAATTGACTATCTTAAAGTTTAAACGAGACAGAACTACATGGGTGATACCTTTGGACTTAACTATAAAGAATAATTTTACCTTGAAAGTATTTAAAGAGAAGCTAAAGGAGTCGATAAACTCATCAGGAGGGCTAATTATAAATGATTCTGAGTCGAGAGCCTCTGATTATGAAGCTGAAAATGAAGAAGAAATGGCAATACCAGTACCTAAGTCTGGCTATGCAGATGAGATGGATGTTGCTCTGGACGACGACTTAAATGTTGTGCATCAAATTGGCATAGAAGAAATAAGATTAGCGATTCCTAAAGACAAACTGTCGCCTTATGATAACCAATGGATCGAACTTCATGAGGATGAAAGTTTACAGCGCATTTTGTTTAGTGATTATGATATCATCGCATTTCGCTACACAGGGGATGAAAATTTCACAATACGTGAAGCAGCATACGTAGAGTGAAAGTGAGATTTTAATTTTACGGCAATAGTTCGTTTATCTTATGTTGAATAAAATGACTAAATTAAATTCTACGGACTGAGTATATTGTTCTTCCTAGTCTAGTATTTGCCGGAAACTGGACTGCTATTAACCGTTCCACTTACTTTTCTTATGCTTCCAGGAGTTATTCTATTATGATTCGGGGAGTACTGTCCCTTATTTGGACTATTAGAATTTGTCCTCGAGCTAGAACGAGTTTTGGGGTATTTGACATTATGCACAGGCGATGAATGTGGCGAGGAAGACAATGTTGTGCTTACTGTTCTGGTTGTAGTTGTTGTAGTAGTCTTAGTTAACAGAACGGGTTGATTTTGACTATTGACAGAAATTGATCTGAGAACTTTCCAGTCATTATTGGAAGTGTTTCTCTTGCGGGGAGCGTTGATCTCGCCACCTACTGGAGTTTCCAGATCTTCATCCACATTATATTGACCAGTATTGAATCTCCTCGAGGGACTTTGAATTCCTTGCATGGATGCTGTACCTTCCTCATCCGAATTATTAATTATTTCAACAACTCCTTCCAGTTCATCTTCAAAGCACTTTCTTGGCTGACCAGGTGATTCCATAGGGACAGCAGTCTGTATTTTTGCTGCCAAGGCGCCACTTATTTTCCTCCTTCTTATTGGTGTGTGAAATGAAGAATCTGGTTGAGTGACCGATGAATTTATTTGTTGCTGGTGTAATTTCCTTTGCTTTGCTTCTTGTCTCATCCTAGTTTTGTATTCTTCGTAAGAACACAATGAATACAAGCCTCCCAAAAATTCATCAGGCTGGTTGTCCAATACCATTGTGTGCCTCCAATCCCTGAAATCGTTCTGGTGCAAGTACAACCAATGTTGCTGTGGTCCAACTACCATTCCCGGCCTGATCATCCTCATGTACCCGATACATTCATTCGCGGTAAAACCATTAGTATATATCAAGTGAGCACCAATAAGACAGCCTGTTCTTCCCAAACCAGCTTTGCAGTGAACAGCTATTTTACCGCCTTTATTAATAACACATTCTGCCGCACCAATAAACTTTTGAACATATTCCAAGGTCGGACATGTTCCGTCATCAAAAATCATATCGATATGTTTAATACCTCTCTTTGTAAACTCTGAGGCGTCATATAAATGCGAGTTTAGTCTGACGACTAATTGGACGTTATTTGCTATGAAGTAATTAAGAACCTCCCTAAATGGTTCATTAAGGTAACCTGGTCTCTTTTGTTGTGGGGAAGCAAATGCAATAAAATCTTTCGATATAACATTAAAGTCACCTTGATCAACTCTTTCATATTGTTCATATTCCTCTAAATTAAAGGAAGTCAAATCAATCATACCTCGGCCCTTGGCTCTCCACATTCCATATACAATATCCTGAATCGATATTTCAAAATCAGCATTTGAGTATCCAGCATCTCTGAAACACTGTAATGGTGGATCAATTTGACATAAAGGTTGCAAAACTTGGTGAGGAGACCAAGATTGAACAAGAATTAAATAACAACTAAGTAAGCATGCTGCATTTGCTCTATCTTTAGGATTTGTGGAACTGTAAAATACGATAGCCTTGCCTTGGTTTGTTTCCTCATTCAAGAGGTTGTGCAATACTACAGCAAATCTGTAAAGGCTCCCGATATGCAATGGACCAAAATCCAAATGAAAAGCGTTATACGGTAATGCATCTTCCACCGTGAAATAAACCAACTTATCAGAGTCTGTCGGAGTATAATCATAAGCTCCAAGGTAGATACGACCTTAACATAGGTTAGTATAATTTCGAATTTCGTAATAAAGTTAACTTAAAAAATCACTTACTCTTCAAAAACTCTATGAGAGGGATATTCTGCTTGCTTTTGGCCATAACACTTGCACATGTAACAATTCTTTATAAAGATAAATTAGATTATTATCCAATTGAATTAGACTCGCGTTAGTTACACTTTCTGATAGAAGAATGCAGACTAGAAACTATGACCAAAGAACAATAATTCACGCGTTGAAATAGTATGAAAGGAATACTCAATAGGTAAAACAACCAAGACAAATTCTCTTATGAGTGAGCGCTGACTTCTTTCTTTCTAGAGAGTTGTTTACGTTTTTTTGATAATTGCTTCTGTGTTATTGATTTCGCCATGCGCGCACGACACTTCCATATTAAGATATGGCTCCAAGCGAGATTATGGTAATCCAAGATATACCTGTGAAAGATGGTAAGTTTGGAACAACGGAACAATGGGGTTATAGAAGCACTCTGAATGTCAAACCCCAGCTTCAGCTATACAACTGAATGTATATTTTACTGACTACTTAGGCTCCCTCGTTATACAGTTTCTCTCTGGAAACCTTATCGACCCTTAGAAAGTTCAGATTTGGAAGTGCCAGATCGAAAAACATACAAGCTATCATATGTAAGTGTTAAACTCTCTATGGCTTTTACAAACAAACTATACTAACTAAATAAAGACACAATTGATAAACAAAGCTACGAAATAAAGCAGGAAGATGATGGCCAAGTTATTGAAAGTATAGATGAATTGAAAGAAGAATTGCCAGATAATTCCCCTAGATATGTCGTGCTTTCGTATCCATTCACTACTTCTGATGGTATACTTAAAGCTCCGTTGGTAATGCTTTACTGGATTCCTCCAACCAGTGGACAAGATAGTAGAATGCTCTACGCCGGTGCTGTTGAAATGATGAGAGAAAAAGCAGGGGTTTCAAAGTAAGTATAAATAGATATCATAATCTTGGTTCATAAGATACTAACGAAGGTAGACTTATAAAGATTGAAGAAGAGGAAGACTTCGATAATATTGAAGACCAATTATAAGAAGATATATGTATGTGTAACTCTTGGCTAAAATAGAAAGCTGCTTTTTCTGGTATCTTGAATGATGATATCAAGCCCAGCATAGGCTATGAAAGACCCATTTTATTAATTCCTGACACTATATACTTGATAATATAAATCCTTTTGTACTGGATTCTGAAATATACGCTTATGTATAGTAAAACTAGTCCTTCAAAATTATCTGTGCATGCACGATTTTTACATTCAAAAAATTTTTTTTAGACTTCAGTTATGAAAATTTTCAACTAAATTTATATCATATTTTCAGATACACTTTAAAAGATATTCAAATAGAAATCAGGCAAAATGGCTCGTATGCACTCATCTGTATGTGACTTTAGAGAATCATTCTATTATATGCTTGGCTCGGTGATGTTTGATTATACTAGTCATCTAACAATTAAGGTCTTATCAAAAGTTGAAGTTCGCTCTTTTCAAAATTAGAATTTCAATAGAAGCTTTTGGTATTTGATACTTTCTTGTTTTCTTTTCATGATCAAACATTGCTAGGCTCTAGGAGTGGTTTTGTCTGACAAGAAGTTGGAGTCCATCACTGCTGACAAAATTTTTCAAAATTTCAGCCTTCCAAGAGACCTAAGAGCAATTAGGAATTATAGAGCATTTATACTAACAATATTTAGGGAAAAGGTATTTCCTCCTCTGCTACCCCTTACTCTAGAAATCCACCAGCTTGGTTCAAGTTGTCCTCTGAGGATGTCGTTGAACAAATCATCAAGTACGCCAGGAAAGGTTTAACCCCTTCCCAAATTGGTGTTATCTTGAGAGATGCTCACGGAGTTTCCCAGGCTAAAGTTGTCACTGGTAACAAAATTATGAGAATCTTGAAATCAAATGGTTTAGCTCCAGAAATCCCAGAAGATTTATACTTCTTGATCAAGAAAGCTGTCAATGTCAGAAAGCACTTGGAGAGAAACAGAAAAGACAAGGATTCCAAATTTAGATTGATTTTAATCGAATCCAGAATCCACAGATTGGCTAGATACTATAGAACTGTTGCAGTATTACCTCCAAACTGGAAGTACGAGTCTGCTACTGCTTCTGCTTTAGTCAACTAAGTAACGTGGGATGCTTAGCATTGTATTTTATATACGTTCTTAATAATACAAAGTAAAACATATGGGTAGTGCAATCGTGTAATAAGTGCGTAATATTTATCGTAATGCAAACATAAGAGATAGAGTAGGTACCACTCTTGATATTATCATAACTCACCACAGTCAAAGGATAAACTATGGGGGTAAGGTTGTCTTTATTGGCACCTTCTGCTCCGACTGTTGCCATTTCATCTTATGTCGATGTAATAGATAATTTGAAATATATTGAGGTAATAAACAACTCTCGATTTCTCAAGACGATAAAGGCAATTGATATATCGACAGGAAATTTAGTAGTAGTGAAAATACTAATAAAACCTTCTGATGGTCTCCAGACACACTCAATTCACTTACAAGAGGTCCAGGAATTAATTGCAAAAGAGTCACTGCTTTTGTGCCAACTGAAAAGTATATTGCCATGGCACAGGATAATTGAAACAGATAGAGCAGGTTATTTGATAAGGCAATTAGTTAAGACAAATCTATATGATAGGCTATCACTCAGGCCATTCCTTGAACCAATTGAAAAGTTGTTTTTTGTATTTCAAATGCTTAAAATTATAGAAAGCATACACACCCATTTGCATATCCATCATGGAGATTTAAAATTAGAGAACTTTCTTGTCACATCATGGAACTGGCTCATGTTGACAGACTTTGCAGCATATACGAAGCCAACATATATTCCGGAAGATAATCCTAATCAGTTTTATTTCTATTTCGATACATCGGACAGAAGAGCTTGTTACCTTGCACCCGAGAGATTCTACAATTCAAAGAAGCACACACACCCTAAACAAAACATAAACGATAATGGAGCATTTAGTGGTAAGGATCAACTTACAGATTCAATGGACCTATTTAGTTTAGGGTGCATAATAGTCGAATTATATTCCGATGGTGAACCTACTTTTACCTTGTCACAAGCATTTCGATACATGAAGGAGCAATACAAACCTGATCTAAGTGGTATTGAAAATAAACATATAAAAGATATTGTGAGCCGTTTGCTTGTGAAGAGCCCCACAAGCCGTCCCTCTGCTACAACGGTTTTGGAGGAATACAGGAACATATGCTTTCCGGGATTCTTCTACGATTTTTTATTTGAATTCATGTCAGAACTTAATAACAACGACTTGTTTGTAGTTCCTGAAAATCAAACTAATGTATCTTCGAGTGATTTGAGGATAGAAAAGATTTACAATAGTTATGAACTAATAGCTAAGGAGCTAAATTTTAGTTACGATGTTCTGACGTCAACTGATTCCGAAGACATCACGAATCAATTGTCTCTTAATCTACCTGGCATTCCATCCAATTACAAGCTTCGCCCAATGTCAGCATTTTCTGGTAATGAATATCTGGACGAAGCATCTTTAATAATTTTGAATTACGTTTTTTCGATGATGAAATCTTTGCGGAGAACGTCATCGAAACTAAAGGCATGTGAACTAATAGTTGCATTGTCTGAAAGAATCAGCGATGAATGTAAGCTAGATAGATCCTTGCCGTACCTCACTACATTACTTGAAGAATCCACTGAGCAACCTCTATCGAACTTTCCTTCGAATATGACAGCGGCAAAAATTAATGAAATACAGGACTTCTCAGCTAATGTGGTGAGTCTTGCACTAATGTCGATAACTACTATCCTATCCTTGTGTACATATATTACTCCGCTTAATGTTTTGCTATTCACAGAGTATCTTTTACCTAAATTATCAAGACTTACTCGTTCAAATTTCAAAGAAGACCAAATGACATTAATCAAAATAACATTGGCTTCTTGTGTTCCAAGTTTAGCAGAAATTGCTAAAAGGTTTTGGATGATGTCAAATACCTTCAAAAGTGATGTGCTTAAGTCCCATAATGCAAAACTCAAGACATATTCTATCGCAAATGCTGACGAAGACCTATATAACACGTTTAGTATTCCCAAAGAGCAACTTGATTTGGAATTTGAAAATCTATCCTTGCAATTACTCACAGACCCAAAACCTCAAGTGAAGATAAGTTTAGTCAATAGCATTTTACCGTTATGCAGATATTTCGGAATTGATAAAACAAATGACATTTTATTACCTCACTTGATCACTTATCTAAATGGAACCAGCTTTGAATTAAGATTAGCCTTTTTGTCGTCAATGTTGCAAGTGGGCCCTTTTGTGGGTGTATTGTCTTTTGAACAATATCTACTACCGTTATTAGTCCAGACCCTAAAAGACCAGGAGCAGTTCGTGGTCTTGAAGGTTTTGGAGGTGTTTTGTCACTTTGTCGATATAAAATTAATAAATCCAAAAGTTGAGTTCAACGCTTTGGATATTTATAAAGAGCTTTTAACAAGTAGCATAAGATTATTGTTGCATCCAAACGAATGGATTCGTCAATCTGTACTCAATTTGATTTTAGCTATTAGTTCAAATTTGACTGACGCGGATAGATACTGCTTTCTTTACCCCCACATTAAAGGTTTTTTAACTTATGATATAACCACTATTGACTGGAATTCTTTATATCCTTGTGTGAGCCAACCATTGGCAAGGCAAGTCTTTGAAACAGCGATTACCTGGTCTCTCAATGCGACTAATAAGTCATTGTTTTGGCGCCAAAAAAACTTGTCAGCTGCTTATGACTTGAGTACTAGCAAAAAGAAAAAAATCATTTCTTACTCCAAAAACATGGGAAAATCAGTTTATTTGCCTAAATCTAATACTGATTCAACTTTCTCCCCGCTGAACGAAAATACTTCCAATGTTCTTTTGTCTCCAGAGGATAAAAGGTGGATCATCAAGTTAAAAGCCGTGGGACTTCATGATAAAGACTTATGGAAAGTGTTTGTACTCAGAGATTACATTTTTCATGTTAGTAGAATACCTGCTACCAACGCAACTGAGTATGAGAGCGCATTTTTGGAATACTCAAGGAATATGAATATTTCGCCACGAAATATCTTCTTTGAAACCTATTTCAAATCTGAGCCAATCGCCCCAATATCATCCTCGGAGGGACCTAAGTCATCAAACTCAGATGAAGGCAGCACGTCTCGAAGATCTTACAATTCTTCCTTATTGACTAACTTCAGCAAAGTCAAAGCGTCTTTACAAACAGTACAAGCAAACGTTTTTGGCGAGTTGGAAACTAAGCATGATTCGGTTCACGGATCCTCAAATGCCCATATGCATCATGATCATTCAGCATCCAACCTAAACTCCACTAACCGCGTCTTTAGCATCAACAATTCAAAAGTCATCACAGCTAACACCCAACATAACTACAAAGGAGAGAACCCATACATCTTGAAATATTTGGCCACTGTTGATTTAGAACCGGTTTTGGATAGCTTCCCAGAGTTCGGTCCATTGATCAAGGACACCAAATTTTCTACAAAAGAGGATTGGAGCCCAAAAGGGGTATGTGTAGCTAACATCAACACAAACATTGAAAGCAAGGATATTGATTCCTTAACTTGCGTTGCAGTGGGGCCGACATCAGAATTTTTCGTTACCGGCTCAGAATCTGGTCTCGTAAGAGTCTGGGATACCTTTAAGCTTGAAAAGATATCTAGCCTGAGGAAACCAAGCACGTCAATCAATTTTCAATCCGCCATAACATCAATCAATTTTCTAAAAAATAGATTTGTTATTTCCGTTACAACTAAGAGTGGAATGATTAATCTTTTGAAAATAGATGTTACACGATCCAAAAATAAAAGGATTACAAAGTATTCTAAACCGTCACTAATAAGGTCACATCAGATGAACATAGAAGAGGACGGTTTTTTTATACATTCAGAATTATTTGAAGATTCAAAGCAATGTATGCTCTTGGGAATCACGTCTACTTCAAAATTAATCGGATTTGATTTGATTAAGATGGAGAAAAAAATTGAACTTCAAAATCCTTTAATAAATGGAGTTGTAAATACCTTCATACATGATGATAAGTGTTCCTGGATATTAGTGGGATTCAGTACTGGTATTTTATGTCTCTGGGATTGTAGGTTTAGTTGCATACTTAAAACCTGGAGAGTATCTCAGAACAAAGATAACATTGAAATTAAAAAGTTAGTTTTGTTACCGAGTGAGATGAAATTTGATTGGCTCGCAAGAACAAGAAAAGACCTAGACTATTTTGCAATGATAGGAGGTAGTAACGAATCATGCATCACTATCTGGGAAATCCCATCATTTGAATGTCGATGTGTTTTAAACCCAAACACTGTCAGATCAGACACTATGAGCTTTTCGCTTCAGGAGGTAACCACAAACTCAGATTTGTTGTCGGCTTCAGATATCTTGTCATCTTTAACAGCTTTCAGCCGTGATGAAACCATCGATTACAAAATGACGAAGGACTTGAATATAACTAAAATTGCATCAAAATTCTACTTAGCAAGCACAACCTTCGATAAGCGTATTACACTTTGGAATCTTGAAGATCCGGTGGCGTCGATTTCAATTAATAATGGGTCAAGTACCCAATTTGTTGTCAAAAAAGGTTCAAATTATAATTCTATTGGTCAAGTTACAAAAGAAAAGGGCTTGGAAAGGACATCCGAAGACACAATTCGTGGCTTTATGAATCTGAATATTACACATGAAGACGTCATTAATGGGATAGAAGTAATTTCGAAGCCTTCGAACATGATAATTTCAGTAGACCGTAGCGGCTACATTAACTTATATAAATAGCGGAATTGTTCCGTTGGCCTGTTGTCTTCTCCTGCATCTAGCTAGATATTTTAGCCTGTATATTACATGCCATTCAATTTTTGTTTAACTTTGTAGCTGGAATAAATTTCGAATGCCCCCATGTTTGCGACGCTAGTAATTATTCACGGTCTTTTAACATAAAAACGCTGGGATGTCATCTTCTGAGGTCCAAGGATTTCAAGTCGCTTTAGAGGAGGCTCGTAAGAGTAAGTAGCTACTTGATCTAGTCTCAGCTAGTTCTCAACTAACATATTTAAGGCTATGAAGAAGAAGGGATTCCTATTGGAGCTGCCCTTGTCGATGAAGATGGTACTGTTCTTGGAAGGGGCCACAATATGCGAGTACAGAAATCATCACCAACATTACACGCAGAAATAGCAGCCTTGGAAAATGCCGGCAGATTAAGTGCCAGCGTTTACAGAGGATGTACCATGTACACTACGTTATCACCTTGTGATATGTGCTCTGGTGCATGTATTTTATATGGAATTAAGAGAGTTGTTTTAGGTGAAAACTCAACTTTTGTTGGAGCGGAAAAGCTTTTAGAATCCAAAGGAGTCAAAATAGAGAACTTGAACAACGAAGAATGTAAGCATTTGATGGCCAGTTTCATTAAGAAACATCCCGAAGAATGGGCTGAGGATATTGGTGAATGAGTTTACTAAGTCATTTATAGATTTTAATAATTTATATAGAAGATGAATATCGCGATATCATTTTTGTGAATATAAATTTTATAGATATTTTTAAATATATTTGTATTTGAATTTAAAGATGGATGCTATATCTGATACTGTATTCACTGATTTAACGGTTAATAGTTCATCTAGCGATGATCCGTCATTACTTACAGTAGTGCTTGACATATCGCCTAAGGGTTGGTTTAAATTAAAGGATAGAATGACGATTCAGGAAGCCACTAAATATTTGTTAGTATTTTTAAACGCACATTTGTCTCTCAATAATTCAAACAAAGTTGCATTTATAGCCAGTGGTCCTAGTCACTCCAAATTTTTGTACCCTAATCCTGAAAAGAATTATGACGAAGTAGTAGGAGCAAAAGAAAATGATGGGAACAGCTCAGTTGGACAAAGTGAAGATGGAAGAAAAAAGCTGAAACCAGAGTTGATCAACAAGGATATGTATCGACAATTCAGGATAGTGGATGAGGCAGTGTTGGAGGAATTGAATGAATGCCTAGAGGAAATTGGTGATAAAATTACCGAAGACACACTGTCTACTTTATCTGGTGCTATAAGCATGGCACTTACATACACTAACAGAATACTTAGAGTAGATCTGTCTATTTCGACGTCCACGGCTTCTGCAATAAGCTCCACGGCACATATGACAGCCTCTGGCTCCTCTGACTTAGTAGTACCTAATGCGACTACAAGCTCTTTGACCTCCATGAAATCAAGATTACTTATAGTCACTACAAGAGATGATGACAACTTAAGATATATTCCCATCATGAACTCTATCTTTGCTGCTCAAAAAATGAGACTATCTATAGATGTTGCAAATTTAGGAAGCAAAAGTTCCTCTTATTTACAACAGGCTGCTGATGCTACCAATGGAGTATACTTGCATATCAGTGACCCTCAAGGATTAATTCAAATATTATCCACCGCATTCTTTATCGAGCCTTCAATAAGACCGTTGATAATACTACCTACCAATTCAAATGTCAATTACAGAGCAAGCTGTTTTATTACCGGAAAATCGGTCGACTTGGGTTATGTATGTTCTGTGTGTCTCTGTATAATGAGTATCATTCCAGAAAATGATATGTGCCCAACTTGTGGCTTAAAATTTGACGCCAAAGTTCTCGAGCAATTGAGAAGGGGTCCCTCATTTCTTGGAAAGAGAAGAAAACTAGACTCAACTGCCGCTGCATAATCAACTAAAAATATAAATGTATATTATTGGTCATATTTAATTCCATTATTTATCACCCCGAAATCGAAATCTTTAGGGTAATGATGCTTGTCTATCATATGTAATCGTCTCTTTTTAGGTGTAGAGAAAAATCTTTTGCAGCCTTCATCGGAATATTGCAAACACTTGAAGATCTTCGTCCCCTGTTCTTGTTTAATTTTCAAAAGAGGGTTGTGATTCTCATCTATGTGGAGATTCAAAAAATACTCCGATGGGAACTTACGTTTACATTCAATACAAATGTAATTATGTGAAGTGACAATATGATTTTCGTACTCATAATAGTTTGAAAACAGGATGGAGTTACTAGGACAAGATGGTAGATCGCAAGTCATAGGAAGCCTTGGCTCCGTAGGAATCCCTCCCGTATCAATTTCTAATTCATTTTCTTCTTGCCTCTTACGTTTTCCCATCGCAAAACGTATGTTAAGCTAAATTTCTCATACGTTTTTTCGAATACGATAACTTCATCAAATTCGTATCAAAGAATATAACTTTTTTTTTTTAAATTGGTAAATAAGTCATAAAGATGGCAAATTGTGAGATAGCTTAGTATGGACAACTTAAAATTCAATGATAGCGCAGCTAAACGTCAAAAAATTCTACCTGAAGCTTTATCTCGGACGACTAAAGGAGACCTAGATCCTATCTTTTTCCAGCATGCGGCGTTTCCAATGGTTGTGAAACAATTTGAAGACGACGATGTCTCAAGAGAAGTATTTGAGTATTTGAACAGTGTCAGAAAAGAGGCTGAAGCTGATCAATGTATTCATTTTGCGGAAGATAAGACACAGTCATTTGAGCAGAACGACCTGCGAAACCATCGAACGAGAGATGCTTCTAAGGAGGAGAGTGCTCACAGAGAGGGTTTACGTTTATCAGAAAATGTCGAAGTTTCGAACGAATGGAAACTGAAAGTTATGACAGCACTTTTAGATTTGAAAGAACAGACAAGAAATATGAGAGACAAAATCCTACTCACAGACTCTTCTGAGATAATAATACCCCTGAATGCATCTTCATGGAGGCGACTAGTGTTTCAAAGCCCCGTACCTCCAATTGAGTTTTTCATTATACAGTTAGATCACCTAACTATAATTAAATTAGTAATATACTTCACAAAATGGCTAAGTGGTTCTATTGATCAAAATCTTTCACGGTGGATTTGGCTGTTGTTTATTCGACTTGATGCCCCTTTAGATGTCAATGAAACATCAATTATTAGGGATCTAGGCAAGAAGGCACTTAAATTGTGCAATCATAAAAGATTCCACGAGTTTTCAGAGCTATCAAGAATCACAATTAAAACTACTTTAGTCATTGTTAGTGAATACTTTGGACAGCGTGATCTCTTAGACTAAAGAAGTGTCAACAGATCTTTAAGATAAAAATCCAGTACTATAACATGTCTATTTGACTTAATTTTGTATATGCACTCAAAAATATATACGTCCAATATTTTTGAAATAAAATTACTTTGATATATCAACTAAAAAATACAAGAACGCAATGGCACCGAAGATAAGAGAGGATTTAGTTATACCGTAAGTATAGTAATTATATAAGTCATAAATCAGGTTACTAATATGTCATTAGATACCGTCATGTACCAGCAAAGCCAAGGGACGAAGCATCTGGCATGATTACCCAAGCATTGCCAATGGCGGCCATGTTCATGAGAAATAAGCTTTTATCTTGGTCAGCATTATTTATCGCGCTACAGTCGTATTTAAATGAGCCATCTAACAAAGTTGAAACTTCGGAAGGTTCTCAGCCTCCTCTTTTAAGAGTTCTTTTTGCTATAATTGCGCTCGCGACATGTTACCTTGATCTTTTATTTCCTAAGTATGGACCAGGAGCACAGAAGGCAAGGCAGGTTGTTAGTACTGCTTCATCTACATTGAGCTCAATTGCTTCCACTGCTACGAAATAGTTGAAATCTAATTCTTTATATTAAAAGTCCTAATATACACAATATTTAATATTACAAGAATGTGCCAAAACGTAAACAGCATTAAGCTAAGGATGCTAAAAGGATGGAAACTAGGGCCAATTAAATACGGCACTGTCTGTTCCCTTATAAGAAACACAGAACTTCAGTGAGCTTGAATTCCAGCTAATATCACATATTCCAACTTGTAAGCCTTTCTCATTCGAAAACTTATCAGATATATCTAAATTATAAATACCAAGAAAAGTTACTGTACTCGAATTACCGGTGCTACCTATTGAAATGCCCCAGACTGAAACTCTTCCATAGTCATCTCCCACTACCAACCACTCTTTGTTGGGCGATAAACTAACGTTGAATAATAGAGGCTCCTGAAGACTTTTCAATTTTGCGTATTCCTCTGATCTAAAGTTCTCCAAAAGAGTCAAGATATTCGTTGAATATATGCAATTGCCGTTTGATGCATCCCAAATGTTAACTACTCCCTCCATAGAAACACTTACCAAGTTGCCGTGATCTAACCATTCCAAGCCAATGATTGGACTCAGATGCCTCTTAAAGGTATTGTTATCAGAGCCAACGTTCAATTCAACACACTCCTTAGTAGAACTATTCATCCATACCTTAATCAGATAGTTAAAATCTGAACATGATGCCAAAAATTTGGATCCATGATCAAAGGCTAAGAAACTGATGTAATTATTATGACCACTCAACTGTCCAACTTGTAGTATTTCTGGCTGAACCACGAATCCCTTCAGTACAGAATAAATGTTAATGGTATTGGTTGGGGATGTAAGGGCGAACTTATCATCAGTAAGCCAACATGCAATGGGAGGCGACGTCAGTATAGACTGTTCCACAACTGTGGGACTTGACTTCATTTTAGTGATTAAATTCATGGTGATCCCATCCCAAAGGTTCACTTGACCGTTAGCATTCACAGACAAAAAATATTGCCCATCTTCATTCCACCTCAAATCCGTAACTAATGTATTCGAAGTATTCACCTCCAAATTGTCATTTGGCATTTTACTTATGATTTCATTCCCTATCGATGGATTAGCGACATTTTTTAATTTTCCATCTGGAGACCAAGCACGAAGCTCACCGTTAATGCTGACAGTGACGATTGCGTTTCCCTTAGGAGACCATGACACTAAATTTATCTCATCTTCAGTACCCAATATATTCGGATGCATTAAAGTAACTGATTCCAATACGCAGTCGTCCTTTATTGCGTTTATAATGGCAGTTGAATCCATCTTACCAAATGCAAAGACATCTACAGTCGGATTCCACTCACAGGTTAAGCTTTCTGGAAACTTTAGAGCCGGTGAGAGTGTTTTCGATTCGAAGTTGTTCTCTAAGTGACTCCCAAAATTACCTTCAGTTACGAAACTCTTCTCACTTTCTTTCTCCTCTTCCATTTCTATATCTCTGTAATTATTACGACTAGACTCATCTTTAGAATATGAGTCTACATAGTCATTCTTATTTCTTAATGTTTGGCTATCCAGGTGTATTCCACTACTTCTTTCATTATCCAACTCGTCTTCTAACAATGCACCAAATAGTGAGAGTTTTTCCTTTGATTGGCCGTCTGATATATCCTCCTCAGATAAGCCAAACAATATTCCCTTTTGAACTAAGTTGACGAGACATCCTGGTTTTACTTTCGATATTATTGATGAATTGTTATTGTCCTCGTGAGATAGACAGAGAGAGTGTTTCTCCAAAGCATAAGCCGCAAGCTCAAACCCTGATTCCAGGAGATACCGCCAAACTAAATAGTTAAGTTCAGTACTAGTAAGTGACATCTATGTATGATGAATCTTCAGCAATCTCTTTTAATTATCTATTTATCAAAAGCTGGTATTTGCGAAGAAGTTTGGTTAAGTTTCTTACACAAAATTGATGTATTGTCGTAATACTGAGGTGGTACTATAATAATAATTATAATCGAGTATTTTACTCGAAAGGAGGTTAAATATTGTATAAAGATGGCATTAAGTACACGGGAGCAACACCGTAAGAGCAGAGCCCCATGGCAAAGCTCTGGTCATACTTCTAAGCTTAGCAATCCGTATTCTAGAGCCAATGCAGTTAATACTACTCAAGACAGTCTGGACACTTTACAATTACCTCATCAAACTGGATCGAGAAAGAATACGAGACGTTTAAGCATACATGCCTCAGCTGCTGCCCAAGCTCATGGTCGTTCACTTCCACAAGGAGCACAGTTCGATGCCAGTAATCTTCCTCCAGTTCCAAAATTTAACCAAAACGATAACGGCAGCGCAGATTCCTTACTTCTGGTGGAGAAAGAAAAAGGAAACGAATTCGCTGATATAGAGAAGAAAATTTTCAAGGAACTCTCGAATGGTACCGCGACGGAGATCGACGATTACTATAAGGTATTGGTGAAGCAGAAGAGCCTTATTACAAAAGATATAAAGACTAGCATTAATCAAAATCAGCAAAACATTATTGAGCTAACAAAAGAACTCAGGGACACCCAAGATGAATTGGTCCACCTTCGTATCTCGACCAAACAATTATATGAAGTTTTGGACGAGTTCAAGGAGAGCGCGGAAAGGCGAATGGAACTTGAAATACCCAGGACTCCTCTGCAATCAAAATCGTCAAAAGCTAAAAGAAAGGATCGCTCATCGGTAATGGTGCTTAAAAAGATGTGGGCAACGGAATTACAATCTTTATTCAAGCATGTCGAGGGTGCATCGAAGTTTGTTCAGCCATTGCCGGGCAGACATGTGTTAGCAGAAAGCGGAAGATGGTATGAAGTCAATGTTGGAACATGGAAGCCAGTGAAGGCGGCACATTTATTTATATTGAATGATTTGTTCTTGATTGCAGTAAAAAAAGGTTCTCAGGAAGGCGGAAATGAAAGTCGCTTACAAGCGATTCAATGCTTACCGCTATCAGAAACAAAGTTGTCTGATATGACTTCTTCACAAGCCCAGAAAGATGAAGGAAAAACTTACTTTATTGGCATTAAGTCCAAAGCACTTAGCTATGTATTTCAGACGGATCGATATGATCATTTCTTGAAAATCACGGAAGCGTATAATAAAGGAATTAGCGAATCTTTTCATAGGAAAAGGCTTATGGATGCTGAAAGATACATGGGAGGAGCCACAGACCTTGGGCAGACTGAAGATGAAAAGCGACAGTTGAGGGAATCGCTTCGAAATTCTGGCATAGCAGACTCTCCACATGACGAAAAAAGACGAAGTGGCCCCCAAAGACAAAGCTCAGAAGTCATTTTGCAGGATATATCAGCTCGAGTTCATTCGCGAAATAGATCTCATGACTTTGAAAGCGTACCTGGGCAAAAATTTGGTGACAACAATACTCAGACATTTAATGACTTAAGGAAGTTAGAAGATCGATTAGACGAAGTGGACGTGGAGATCTCAAATAATAGACATGCTGAATCCGTGGGTTTGATTAAGTATATCGAGAATAAGCTAGACACAATAGAGAAAGATGTGAATGGAATTGAAAATATCCACCTGTCAAATTCAGTAGACGAACTCAAGCTTCTTATTGATGTGATTAAATTGAAAATAAATACGAGAAAGTTGAGAATTCAGCAAAGTTTGGCTTTCGATTTACATGATAATATTGATCGTCTCACGCACTCAGAGGTATATCAAATAATTGAATATTTTTATATCTTCAATCAGCTTAACAAGGTAATCTCATTATATTTACAGGGGTCTAGTGATTACCTTGCTTCTATAATGTCTAAACTTGCAATTGGTGTTCAGGGTTCGACTGTAATTGATGTCGTGAATTATGTGTCTAATCTGATTATCGTTAGTGCCTCGATAATTAAAAGAACTATTATCGCTTATCAAGAGTGTGTGATTCCAATCTTAAAAAAGGATAAGCAAAGTAATGTAGATTCTAGTGGTCTAATTAATTGGTGCATAGAAGAAGCAACACAATTATCAGAATCTGTTAAAAAACACTTGTATGGTACACTTCTCGTTTCTGCCGGGCCAGATCCAGAAACTGGGGAAACAAAGTATAAGGTGAAAGATGAGCAATTGTTTAAAGAATTTATTGATAATACAAAACCCTATTTAGATAATTTGAAATCTGTTGGAGTTAATATCAACTTTCTTTTTGATGATATCTTTGAATTATATAATTGATTACGTATATGAAAAGATAATATATAGTATCATAATTTCATGTATAATTTTGACAAGTCAGAATGCTTTCTCCAGTATGGACTTCTTTTTTTGACGATGTATAATGACACCGAAGCAACAAGTAAAATTCCCATCAAAATCGAGAACAAAATTCCAGGGCCAATGGCATTCAAGAGGGGTTCTACCACAAACGTAGCAGTAGCGGCAAGTATTTGCCTGATAAGGTTGTTAAGTGCAACGCCAGTGGCACCCTTTCCTGGCAAAGACTGAACTATAAATGTGACAGTAGCTCCAATGATAAGCATTGAAGCAAAACCAAAAATTGCTGTTCCAACTAAGGGAACAACCCAGTGTTCGCCATACCTAATAGACCAGCCAAAAATTAGGCATGCAGCGGGAAACAAAGCAACTGCAGTTACTACATTCCACGAAATTCTTGCCTCCGGTACCAAATTTCCATTATGTTTCTTTGCATAGTTGTTAAGTAATCTATCGTTCCACCTTCCTCCAAAGACCGATGCTATTATGTAAGTCACTGAATTAGGGATATACATCAAACCAATTATTATAGAGCTGAAATTATATGGCTCTTTCGCATATGCATATGATATAGTCATGTTGAAGAAATACACCACCGCAAAAGTTGTGGCAGAATAAGTAATAGTCCATGCAACCGGTGGATAAGTCAATAATACAACAGCATGAGTTGGTCTTATAATTAAATCATACAAAGTCGAACCAAATCTCTTCCATTTGTTTGCCCCTTCTTCGTCATTCGATGCACGATTACTATATTGAGATAACTCCCGTTTCAAAGTTTCGTCAACAATTTTCTTCGAATATTGTGATCTTTCTGTGGTTAATCTGGTTAAACTTGGCATGACGGGATCAATCATAGGATACTCAGATGTCAGACGTATACTAGGCTGAGAAACTGTTCTTTCAATTTCCTCCATCTCTTGTGATATATCCAGTTCGTTTTCGGACTTCATTTTCTCCTGTAACATTTTACTTATAGCTCCAATATTATCACTTTTTCTCAACGTCTCTGGAAGAAGAAACATTATAGTCATAACACTGATTCCAGAAACGATTACTAAAACCCACTGAGTTGCTCGCCAGCCCCACACCTCGCCAACCACACCACCGAGGATTGGAGCAGCAAAGGGTCCGACTAAAGGACCCAAATAATATATCCCCATACTAAATCCCATTTCTTCTGGAATGAAAAGATCGCTAACTGTCCCAGCCCCCACAGCTTGAACAGAAGCAGAACAACCACCCTGTAGAACTCTAAATATGATCAAGGCACCGATACTGGGCGATAAAGAAGCGCCAATTGAAAATGCCAAAAACATGGAGAAAGATATCAAATAAACATTTCGCCTACCATATATTTCTGAAAATGATGACCACCACATAGGAAATATGCCCAAAGATAATAGATAAATTCCAACGGAAACATTAACTATAGCCTGCGTCGTATTTAAATCGATACAGATGTCGTCAATAGCTGGCAACATGATTGAAGTTCCCATGGGTCCAGTAACAGCCGCAAATGCTATAACCAGAACGATTGCAAATTTGATTTTTCTGGGATAATCTCTAGCATCTTCGTACTCAGGAATGAGAGAAAGTTGCAGAAGCAATCCTCTCCTTTTTGAAATTGAAATCCTACTAGCCTTCCTTGAAGCCCTACTTACTTTAGATCGATTTGAACTAATCCTGCTAGTACCTATTTGAGCTTCATTCTGTTGCTCTTCGTTGAGATATCTTGCTGTATTTTCATGATGTAAGGATCGCGGTCCATGGTTTCGGTCAGACGAGCTTATCGATTGCTGTGTTTCTAGTGTATCTAGCGACTCCAAGTCTGAAGGTAGACCATCATTCATATCTCTTTTAATGTGATAACTTGGTATGTTCTCAGCATCTATTAGCTTTAAAATGATACTACACCTCTTCACAATATGACATTTGCATAATTCTTTTGGCTTTGGTATCGTAAAAATTTAGAGCTTTTGATCTCGTTCAAACCGATTTTGAACCGACCAAAAATGATCGGCTTCAATATCTAGCCGAACTTCAATTGCAGCTACTTGATAACACTAGAAATATCTAAATTGAATTAACCGGCGCATCTCTTCTTTTGCTTCCACCACGCTGCATGGAAGATACTTTCACTATTACTTTCAAGATTCGACTATGCCCACCAATGCACTATGATCCCTAACGTTCTTCGTACTTGGCCAATAGTCAAAGGTATTAATGGGTCCAACGAACGCTCACAACCGCTTACATGTTCCGTAAGTAAATTAACCAGGGGAGACATTATTGACGTGCGATATTGTGAGTGGCAACATCAATATTCAATAACTAGCAGAGACATATTACAACTGTTTGGCATAGAGCTGACTCGTGGCGTAAATAATTAATCAGAATAGAGTTTCGTGTGCTCATCATGAGCTCATTAAGACATCTGTGGCCAGTGGCCGTCGCAAGAGTTACTATCCTAGGAATTACTTTCATCACAGGATGTCTATCAATTGTGTACACCCAGTTCATAGGATTGAAAATCTTTCGAGATGATGCCGGTAAGAAACAAACACTAATCAATGTGACAAAGAATTATTTCGTAATATTGATAAGTTTCATCACTGCCTTGATTAATCCTTGTAAGCTATCTATAACGTACGACGTTAAAAGTATGCCACCGGGAGACAAGTTTAGTGTTTCAAGTAATGGATCTTTATCGAGCATTTTAGTTCCAAACTCTATCTTGATCTCGAATCACCAGATATATACTGATTGGTTGTTTTTATGGTTCATATCATATACTGCAAAATTGGGTGACTCAGTGTACATAATATTGAAAGACCTTTCAAAAATTCCTATTTTGGGCTATGGTATGAGGAATTACAACTTCTTGTTCTTATCGCGGAAGTGGGCCAGAGATAAAATAGTACTCACAAATCAATTATTGAGTATCGGAGCGAATGCAAGAGGTGTTGGTCCTGCCAATGGTGTTACTCATGTTTCTTCAACTCATACTTCGAATTCCAATGAGTTTGGCAATGTCATAAAGTGGCCGCAAGGCTCAAACGAGAGACAGATATGGCCTTATCAAATAATTTTGTTTCCGGAGGGGACAGTAATTGCACGAAATACAAGAGAAAGGTCTGATAAATACTGCAGAAAGAAGAATCTTCCCATAATGAAACATGTACTCATACCTAGAATAAGGGGATTGTTTTTGGTTTTGAAAAAGTTGAGGGATTCTGTAGAAGTTGTGTACGATATCACTACCGGCTATTCGGATCTTAAAGCTGATGAGTATGGTGAAGATAAATTCTCTTTAAAACGATTTTATGTGTTGGGTAAGGGCCCAAAAATGATTAATTATCATATCAGAGCATTCTATGTGAAAGATATTCCATTAGGAGAAGATTGTGAAGATATTGACGATGTCAATGAAGAAGATTTGAAAAAGTTCGAGGATTGGTTGTTCAAAATTTGGTATGAAAAAGATAAACTCATGGATAATTTTTTCAATTATGGTCACTTCCATGATCCATTAGATTTGGAAGAGGCTGATCTTGCTAAAAAAAATACCGTTGTTGCCGATTTCAAGCTTAAGTCGGCCTTAGAAATCATTTCTCCCTTCATTCCTGCTTTGGTATCTCTTTTATTATTGAGAATATTATGGGTACTAGTGAAACTGATCATTTGGGGAGGCTTTGTCTGATGTCGTGTTGATTTTCAGGCCACATTATTATTACTCGTAATAAATATTGCGTGAGTTCGTGCGGTGGCGAAAATACATCAAAATTTCCTACTCTATTGCTGCAACCATTTTGAAACAAGTAAAGAAGATGTTTCAAGGAGGAAACGAAGAGCCTGATAATCGTGAGCATATATAAAGATATATTTATATAAATATACATCAAAATATAATGTGAGCTTTCTAGATTATAATATAGTCAACATCTATTCCATTCAATTCACAATGTTTTCACTTATAGGAAAAATACCAAAACTTATTACAGTAATTTCTTTATTCATATCGGTATTTTTGTTAAGCTTTCTTTTAATGGGTTGCCTAGATACTTCTAGCACATATTCTGACGTCTACTTTGCAAGCTTAAGCTATAATAAGTCGTCCGGATTTTACTCAGAGGTGGAAGCAAAGTATAAGGACTCAAATTCTTCGAGCACTTTAGCTAAAATGAGCGTAAGAATAGGCTATATAGCTACCTGTGTTGCATTGGATGGAAAATTTACTTGTACGTCTTTCGGATCTTTACTGAAGCTCTCCTCATATTCGGGGATTTCCCTTTTGGAAGATGCTGATGACGCAAACGATATGGATCTCGTGAAGATAGCGAAAGATATAAATGAGACGTGCCATCCCCGTGTACTAATGGCAGCTATTATTATTACATTAGTCTTATTGGTTGTACTGTGTTATGTCTCTATCCCGTTGTTGCCAGGGAAAAATCTTGGTAGAAAGTTTATCTGCCTCCTATCTTCCGCTAATGTTTTACTATGGGGCCTTGGTGCTATGCTTCAACACCAAGCAGCTAATACAAGTAAACAGATAGTAGGTTCGGCATCCATGAACATCGTAAGTGCTAGCATTGGCAAAAGAGCAGAAGCAATGTCCTGGACGGCTTTCTCCTTCTTGTTGATAGTATGTCTTGGAAGCTTCTTCACTTATATCAGAGAGATCAGAAAATCCTCTCTTGCAATGGATCCCAAGGTTTAAGGCCATAGGTTTGCAAGAGAGTGTATACACTTGGTGTACAAATAAGCTAAAGCGAAATATTCTAAACTGTAATAGTTTTGCAGCCAGAAAGGAGGACGCTTTAATAAATAATAGGGTTTTCTTTTAAAACCAAAAAAAGATTAATTTCATGAAATTTCCAAACGAAATCTTCTATCACCAAATGTAGAAAGTAGCCTATCCTTTTCTTAACCACTTGTACTATCATAGCCTCTGAAGTAGTGAAATCATGGGTCATATCAAGATATCACGTGCTTTGCATGTGATATTTCAAAAAATTGGTAAATTGAATTTCCAGTTTTTTCTCAATCTCGATAACCGTCAGATTTTAAGTATAAACAGAGGTATTACTTCGGAGAACTTGATTTCTGAGTAATTGCATTGAGCTAAGAAGTTGTGTTTTTCATAATAAGAGGTTGATAAATGTCATACACGGAGCAATTAGACACTTTTGTGTCTAGGCTTAATGATAATGCCGATTACAAAACAGCTCATGGTGTGCTCTCTGAATTACTCGACATGATAGAAACGTTCAATGGAGCGGCAGAATATGAATACTTCTTGTCCAACTTAATACCAATATTCATAAAATACTTGAATGAAGTTCCAGTATCGTTCAAGAGCCACTCACCTGAGCACAAGTTGAGGAATTCAATATTGGAAATTCTTCATAGATCAATCATGAACGAAACTTTCCAACCGTATTCAGAGCAAATTTTAGATACATTGCTTAAAACTCTAGTTCAGGAAAATGAAGACAATGGTGTTTTATGTATGAAGATAGTGACAAGCTTACACAAAGCTTATAAGAACAATTTATCTGCTAAAGTGACTCCATTCATTGATATTATAAATCAAATTTACGACAATATGCCTCAGACTCTTAAGGAAAATGTTAGCTTTAATCCAAATAACTCGTATCAAGAGTCAGAGAGCAAGGAAATGTCTCCGCCATCTTTTTCTGACGAACCTTCATCCAAAACATTAAATGGAGCGATGCATTCGTTCAAGACATTATCAGAATGCCCCATCACGATGGTATCATTGTATTCATCGTATAAAAATCTTGTCCAGACTTCATTACCGACGTTTTTACCAAGAATTTTAAATTTGTTGACTCTACAGGTTGACGAACAACGCGAGTATAGAGCAGAAGCGGAAAAGGAAAACAAGGTAGTAACATCGATATCCCCAAAAATAAAGAACAGACAGGCTTTTAGTGACTTTGTTTTGGGTCAGGTAAAGGCGGCATCGTTCTTAGCGTATGTATTCATAAGAGGTTATGCTAATCAACACTTGTCACAGAATCAGGCGAAAGTAGTGCCTGATGTGATATTACGCCTTTTACAAGATTGTCCGGCTGAATTATCAGTTGCAAGGAAGGAATTACTACATGCAACAAGACACATATTATCTACTCCTTTTAGGATGCAATTTATTCCCAAAATTGAATTGCTTTTTGATGAAAAAATATTAATAGGTGATGGCTTAACTTCATTTGAAACATTGAGGCCATTAGCATACTCTACGGTTGCTGACTTTATACATAATGTAAGAAATGAGCTTACTCCGAAACAGATATGGTCAACCGTTCGAATATATTGTGGCTTGCTTGAGGACGATTCTCTTGCTTTAACTGTTCAGATCATGAGTGCTAAGCTTTTACTTAATTTAGTAGAAAGGATAATGCGTTTACCTAATAAATTGGAAGGTCGACAATTATTCATGATAATTATTGCTTCATATGCAAAGCGTTTCAAGAGTTTAAATAGAAAGTACTCTCATATTTTGAGAAAGCATAAAGAGTACGAGGAGAAACGGAACCTAAAGGAAATTGAAACTCAAGCAGCAATTCAAAGGTATTCCTCGAAAAAGACGGAGGCCAACAGTGAGGTTGTCGAATCAAAATTAAAGGAAGATAGAGATATTGAGATGGAAAAGGCTGACGACGAAAGTGAGACTGACAACAAGAATGAGATTTCAGGAAATCAAGTCATGGAAAATATGACAGACCCTTCATCTATCGATGTATTCGATCTTGAAATTTCTTTAATCTCGCCATCACCATTTCCAAACAATACTGACCTATTAAAAGATGCAAGATACTTGTTTCGTACGTTAATGACTTTCCTTAAGTCGGTGATTTTCGGATTGAAAAATTGCAATCCTCCAGTACCTCCACAACCGAATCAATCCGATGCTAAAAACTCAGGACAAATTGTGAATTATGACAAATGGAATGACTCTGCTAAAATAATCTCGTATGAAGAAGTGAACATATTAAGACAACTTTTTAGAGGCGGAATAAGTTGCTTGCGCTTTTTTTCTGCAGCTAAGCCTAAGCAAAACATCCCTCAATCGAAGGCATTTGATTTTTCGACAGGAGGGCCTAATTTACCAATTACCTCTTCGAAGGAAGAGAAAGATCTTATGGAAATATTAGCTACCATATTTATCCATATCGATCCTGCATCGTTTAATGAGATTGTAAGCTTTGAACTTCCATTTATGTTTGAATCAATGCTTGATAATGCGGCGTTGCTTCATTTACCTCAGTTCTTTCTTGCCAGTGAAGTTACTTCTGCTAACTTTTTAGGAATCCTCATATCCTTTCTCAAATCAAGGCTTGATCAGCTTGGAAAGGTGGAATTAGTGAAGTCTAATATCTTGATAAGGCTATTCAAGTTATGTTTCATGTCTGTAAATTTATTCCCAACTACGAATGAAGGTGTTATCTTACCCCATTTGAATTATTTGATATTAGAATCTTTAAAGTTAGCTACAAAAGCAGAGGAACCAATTGTATATTCATATTTGATCAGGATTTTGTTTCGAAGTATCAGTGGCGGCAGGTTCGAGAATCTTTATAAAGAAATACTTCCAATTCTACCATTTCTATTGGAGAGCTTAAATAAGATGATATCGAATGCTCGGCGACCATATGAGCGTGACATTTATGTTGAATTATGCTTAACTGTACCTGTGAGATTGTCAGTGCTTGTTCCACACTTAAATTATTTGACCCGACCTTTAGTGTATGCTCTCAATGGTTCACAAGAACTAGTTAGCCAAGGATTACGGACTTTTGAGCTCTGTGTTGATAACTTGACTGCAGAGTACTTCGACCCTATGATAGAACCAGTCATTGATGAAATCATGGCTGCACTATGGAAGCATTTAGAGCCGGTGCCATATCACCATCAACATTCACATACTGCGATTCGAATTTTAGGAAAGCTCGGCGGGAGAAATCACAAGCATTTCAAGCCATGCAGTAAGCTAATAACAGAGTCACTGGTAAATCAGGAGATTCGTGCACTTTTCGATATTGATGGTCTTGATGGTCGGATTCCTGTTTCAGTTACCCCAGGAATAGAATCGGCTATAAAGTTATTGGAGGACCCAAGGTTGAAGGTCCACTATAGAATGAGTGCTTTTAAGTATCTATCGAGCATTTTGAAGTTGTTTATTGATACGACCCCCATCCCAGATAATTATTCATCTTATGTTTTTCAATGTGTTTCTGATTTGAAATCAGAGAGTATGGAAATTGTGAAGCTAGAACCTTCGGACATAAGAGATGAAAACAAACTACAAAGGCAACAGCAGTTGTGTGGAAGACTACTTGAGGTTTTATATTTTTCGATTTCCATTCCTGAAATTGCTGAAGAGGCTGGCATATTAATAGATGGCCTTACTCGCCACTTTATATTTCTTTACTTGGGCTCATCTGTTATCGAGAAGATAAAAAAAGAACGTCCCTTTTCCGTAGACGACAATGAAGGTAGGGCGTACATTAGTGAATCTATATTCCTTGATGCATTGATGTATGCGCTAAGTTTCTGGGATAAGACTGTGCGAAACAAGGCTGTTGAAGTAATCAAGAATATTTATCAAATAACGGCTACAATTTTCGACTCAGAGGATGATGCTTTGATATCGCCCATATTTAGGTCTATGTTCTATAAGTTCACTCACTGTTGTTATGATGAGTACTATCATACAAAATTGGGAGGTATTATAGGTCTTAAAACGATGTTTGAAGAATTGCACATCCTTCCAAGCTGGTTTTTCAAGCGTCAATTTGAACTAGTCCGAGCCATATTTTCAATTTTAAGAGACACTCCTGAAACAGCTCCTTTTGAGGTAAGGCAGCTTGCAAAAGAACTCGTGTTAAAACTCTTGCATGATTGTAATGTTGGTCTTGCTAAGGAAACAATTTTAGAGAAACCATTTCAAACTCTTGTGGGTGCTTTGGTTTATGATTTAGCCAGCGCAAGTCCTATAGTGAGGGAGGTTGCCCAAGAATCACTAAAAGTGCTCTCAGATACTACTTCTGTGCCTATTTCTACTATTATGGGTCCTTGTAAACATCTCTTGTTGACACCAATATTTGGAAAACCTTTGAGAGCACTTCCTTTCTCAATGCAAATTGGTAATATTGATGCAATCACGTTTTGTTTGAAATTAGAAGATTCATTTCTAACGTTTAATGAGGAATTGAACAGGCTTCTTCTAGAAGCATTAGCACTAGTTGATGCCGAAGATGAATCATTAGCTAATGTTCATCGCCTTCACGAGTATCGAACCTCAAAACAGTTAATAGAGTTGCGGGTTGTGTGTATTCGTCTACTCTCACTTGCACTCACAAAGCCAGACTTTTCCTTAGGGTCTTTAGCGGAAGCCAGAATACGTATCTTGGGTGTTTTTTTTAAAGCACTCTGCAACAGATCTACAGAAATAATCTCGGCGGCTCACCTTGGATTGAAAGCCAGCCTTCAAGAAAACGCTAAGTTACCCAAAGAACTCTTGCAAAATGGACTTCGTCCAATGCTAATGAACTTATCTGATCATAAGAAGTTGACAGTGTCAGGTCTCGAGGCGCTTGCTCGTCTTTTAGAACTATTGATTTCTTACTTCAGGGTAGAAATTGGTAGAAAGCTTTTAGACCATTTGATGGCTTGGGCCCAAATAAATACCCTAAGACAGATCGCTGGTCTGGATTTAGAAAATAATCACACTGTGCAAATTGTCATTGCTATTTTGAATATTTTTCATCTATTGCCAGCTAAGGCTTACACATTTATGGAAGAAATCATCAACACTTTACAGTACTTGGAGGGCCACCTTGACCGCCATCAGAGTTCTCCGTTTAGAGTTCCTGTTGCCAAGTTTTTGAACCGCTTTTCCGAAAACTGTATCGAGTATTTCACCGTGCACTTGAAAAACCGAAAACTTGGTAATATGCTAGCTTCTATTGCAGGAATGACTGGCTGCTCTGAAATTCGCAAGGTCGCTAAACTTAAACTCATTGATATTATCGAAGAACTTAAAAGCGAGACTGATGGAGATATAAAAGTGGTAAAATTTTCTAATATCGTTGATCTTTTGGTTTCAATCACTGCGTGCGAGCCAGAATGGTTAGATTCGAATAAGGGGATACTAATGACACTTTTTTCTCTAGTCGATGACATATTCAGTATCGAGCATTCATCTCCTTTAGTCTCTACGAACCATTTTCAAACCGACCAAGCAATCAATAAGCTTGATAATCTTCTAATTCAATATTTGAGAAGAAACAGTGAGGAGTATGACTTGGTCTTTGAGATTATCGACCGACTTTTACTTCTTCAGAAAAAGATGCCTTGTGATTTTGAAGATTTTCTTCTTGAAACAGTAGTTTGTTCTAATGAAGTTAAACGTCGTGATACTTACCTAGAAAAATGCATCTTCTTTATCTCTGAAGCATCTAATTCTATGAAAGCAAAGATATTTGTTTTAAAAAAGATCTTCAATTCTATCTTGATGTACGAATCAAAGAAAAATGGTAACATTAATGCGTTCTTTGAGTCTGAGCATACTCCTAAATGGTTAACATTAATTTGCGACAATATCTGGAAATCTACCAATGACATAATTACGGATCATACTTCGGGCACGATGGATAACTATAGATATCAGTTGCTTGAGATGACCGCCATCCTTTTAAAATTAGCACCTGATTTCATTAGCGACTTCCGCAAAGACATCATTAAGTTCAGTTGGAACTACATCAAGCTTGAGGATAACATCACAAAACAGGTTGCCTATGTTACTACCTCGTATTTTATAGCAGCTTATGATACACCAGAGAAGTTAGCTACGCAGGTATTTGTTGCTCTATTGCGCACGCATCAGACCGATTCAAGACATCTAGTAAGACAAGCGCTTGATATCTTAGCGCCCATTATGCCAGAGAGGATGGCTGAAGATCCTCCTATTAGCTGGTTGAAATGGCCACGTCGTGTCATTTCTGAGGATGGTTTCAATGTTACACAAGTATTGAATGTCTATCAGTTTATTGTTCAGCATCCTGATCTTTTCTTCATTGCACGTGAGCATTTCATATCGAATATAATTACTGCCATGGGGAAATTGACTATTTTAGCTAACCCGGCAGTAGAAAATCAAGTTTTGGCGATTGAATTAGCCGAGCTCATTTTAAAATGGGAAACAAAGGCTAAAATACTGTCTAATGGTAACCATGAGAAGGCCGAACTGGAATCGAAGGTAGCTAATAGTGATTTCACCACGTCCTCGAGCTATACGATACCCTTTGGCCAAAAGGAAGCATGTGTAACGTTCTTGATAAGATACGTTTGTATTAGCCCACAGAGAGCTTCTGAAAGTGAGCTTGGTCAGAAGGCACTAGGCATCTTACATGACTTGTTGTCACCAAAATTCTGGCCGGAGGTTTCTGTCAAATTAACTTTTTTTGAAAAATTCCTACTTTCTAATGATCTAAACTCGTCAAATTTGCTTGGTTATTGCTTGAATGCCTTAGAAGTTTTGGGAGTCGTTTTGGAGTGGAAACAGCCTACTTGGATTATTACTAACCTATCTTATCTTCATAAGTTACTTGAAAAGTGCATCAAATCAGACAACCATGACATTCAAGAGGTGTTGCAACGAGTCTTAACGATAATTCTTCAGGCAATCAATGATCGTAAGGTTGACGAGCAGGAAGAGAAGGATGAAGTCAAGGAATTCGTCTCATTACTTACATCGACTGTCGCAGAGGATTTAGGTGATATGCCGTCTGTTGCAGCTGGTGTTACGTTGTCCTATACTTTGGCTAATTACATTCCATCTGTATTGGACCCTCTTATGCCTCTGATAATGAGGACTTTTAGTAAGCTATGTAAAGATCATATTACGATTACTCACCAAGGTTCCCAATCGTCGTCCAAAGACAGCTCGAGTTCAGAATTTGAAGCCAAGATGACGACTAAGCTTTTAGAGAAGATTCTCAACTTATCATCCAAAAGGATCTCAACTCTTGGGGATCAAAGGAGAATTTTTCTCTCACTTTTGGCCCAATTAATTGAACGTTCATTGGATAAAGAGACCCTTGAAAAGATTATCAAGATGGTGAAGGGTTGGGTTTTTTCCAGGACTGATTTGTTTCCAACTACCAAAGAAAAGGCCGCAATTTTAGCCAAGATGATGGTCTTTGAAGTGAGAGGCGAACCCTCGTTATCGAAAGAATTCTACCAGATCCTAATTGATATATTTGAAGATGACACTTTTAGCTGCACGGAATTAACGGTCAGAATGGAGCAACCATTCTTAGTTGGAACTCGTTCTGCAGATGTGACTATTCGTAGAAAGTTAATGTCCATATTAAACAACAGTTTAGAGAGTGACATTAACAAAAGATTATATTATGTCATCAGAGAACAAAATTGGGAGCATTTAGCAGACTACCCATGGCTTAATCAGGCCCTTCAAATACTTTATGGCTCCTTTGACTTATCTTCAAAGATTGAACTAATAACTAGCGAATATCGCTTTTCACCTTTGACAGCATTTCCTTACACACTGAACGATAGAATGGAAGTCGATACTTCAACTGAATCGTTGGAAAAATTGCTCAATTCTCATAATGAATTCTTGGACAAGTTGTCAATGATTCGTGCAGCCGATGTCATCGAACCGCTTATAGATATGTTTTACCAGAGCAGCGAAACAATACATCGAACATGGGCTACAATATTTCCGGTTGCAGTAGAATCAATTCCTCGTTCTGAGCACCTTGATTTAACTAGGTTCCTTGTGATATTGTTGTCTAAGGATTATCATACACGACAGATTGATAATCGGCCAAATGTCATTCAATCTCTTTTGGAAGGTGTCGCACGTTGTGGAGACATACAGCTTCCCCCTTTCGCGGTGGAATGTCTAGCTTCCAATTTTGATGCTTGGTCTCAAGGGATTCAAATACTAGAAACTATAGAACACTCGATTGGAGGTAACGCAGATGTTCTTGAGGTAACTCAAGATGCCTTGGCAAAACTATACGCAACCTTGAAAGAAGATGATATGTTTTACGGTTTATGGAGAAGACGAGCAAAGTATTCGGAGACAGTAGTTGCTTTGTCTTATGAACAAATTGGTTTATGGGATAGAGCTCAACAGCTTTATGAGACGGCCCAAATCAAGGCTCGTAGTGGTGCCTTACCTTACGGAGAGTCCGAGTATACACTATGGGAAGATCATTGGATATTATGTGCAGAAAAATTACAGCATTGGGATATTTTAACCGAGTTGGCAAAACATGAAGGCTTCTCCGATCTTCTTCTAGAGTGTGGATGGAGGGTTGCAGATTGGAATACTGATAGAGAAACTCTCGATCAAACAATAAGAAACGTTATTGACGTTCCTACGCCTAGAAGACAAGTTTTTGAGACTTTTCTTTGTTTGCAAGGCTTTGGTCAAGAAAAAGAAACACTCCAAGATCTTTCTAGACTATGCGATGAAGGGATTCAGCTTGCATTAAGAAAGTGGCATGGCTTACCCCAGAGGTTTAATAATGCCCATATTCCACTCTTGCATACGTTCCAACAATATGTCGAGTTCATGGAAGCAAGTCAAGTTTATGCAAGCTTGGTTTCAACTAATGCTCAAAATCTAGACGTTAAATCACAAGAGTTAAAACGAGTCTTGCAAGTATGGAGAGAAAGGTTACCAAATGTATGGGATGATATCAATATATGGGATGACTTGGTAACTTGGCGTCAGCATGCATTCCAAGTTATCAATAAAGTTTACATGCCATTTATTCCAATCTTGCAGTCGAATTCTGGAGGAAATGCCAACTCATATGCATATCGTGGGTTTCATGAGATAGCATGGGTTATTAACAGATTTGCGCATGTCGCTCGTAAGCATGGTATGTCTGATGTCTGTATTAACCAGCTTACAAAGATATATCAGCTTCCAAACATCGAAATACAAGAAGCATTTTTGAAACTTAAGGAGCAAGTCAAATGCCACTATCAAAATCCGAATGAACTTAATACTGGCTTGGATGTTATTAGCAATACGAATTTGGTTTACTTTGCAACTCAACAAAAAGCGGAATTCTTTACGCTTAAAGGAATGTTTTTAAACAAATTAAATCAAAAGGATGAAGCAAATAAAGCATTTGCAACGTCTGTTCAAATTGATTTGAATTTACCAAAGGCTTGGGCAGAATGGGGTATGTTTAATGACCGCCGCTTTAAAGAAAATACAAATGACATGGTTTATGCAAATAATGCTATCAGTTGTTATTTACAAGCTGCTAGTCTTTATAAAAATGGTAAAACGCGAAGGTTATTGGCAAGAATACTTTGGTTAATTAGTTTGGATGACTCCACTGGTACTGTTAGTCAGGCATTTGAAAATTTTAGGGGCGAAGTACCTGTATGGTATTGGATTACGTTCATTCCTCAGTTATTATCTTCGCTTTCTCGTAGAGAAGCTCGTTTGGTTAGACAGGTCCTTATTCGTATTGCTAAAAGCTATCCTCAGGCTTTGCATTTTCAATTAAGAACAACTAAAGAGGATTTTGCAGCTAAGAAACGTCAAGCTGCTGAATTATCCAGAAATAAAACGCAAGAAAATGGTCATCTGAATACCTCTGGAACGGCTTCAACGGCTTTATCACCAGCTTCCAATTCTGCTACGTCTGTTAATGCAGACTCAAAGGCTGAATCGAATACTGATCAGGACCCATCAGTGAATACTACCGACGATTTGCAAAATTCTCCCCTGTCGGCGAAGTCTTCAATTCAGTTGCAAGCTAGTGATAATACCCTGGAACAAACTGCAGAAAAATCAAACACACAGCAAAGCAATACATCAAAACTGACATCTCAAAATAATGGTGCACGTCAAGCCTGGGAGCATGTCGAAGAAATCATGGGCATTCTTAAAACGGCTTATCCACTCTTGGCTCTATCTTTAGAGTCACTTGTTGATCAAATCAACCAAAGGTTCAAGTGTACTGCAGACGAAGATGCATATCGTCTTGGTGTCGCTTTGCTTAATGATGGCATACAGTATGTTAATCGCTTAGGAAATCCCAGGGATGATGCAAAGTTACCACCAGTTACCGAGGCAAATATAACGAGGTTTGCTGAAACAGTTCTTCCAAAGCAGATAAGAGCTGAATTCGAAAAAGACCTCGTTGTTGAAAAACCAAATTTGGAGACTTACATAATAAAGCTACGAAAATGGAGGGATCGTTTAGAGGATAAGCTTGACAGAAGGATACCTCATGTCAACTTGGAAAATCTTTGTCCTCATTTAAGTGAATTCCATCATCAAAAATTTGAAGAGATTGAAGTACCAGGGCAGTATTTGTTGAATAAGGATAGTAATACCCATTTTGTCAAGATAGAAAGATTTTTGCCTACGATTGATTTAGTGCGCGGCACCAATGCTTGCTATAAAAGATTAAAAATCCGGGGACATGATGGATCTCTCCATCCATTCTCTGTTCAATTTCCTGCAGCTCGTCATTGTCGACGGGAGGAGCTATTATTCCAACTTTTCCGTATATTTGGAGATACACTTTCCCAAAAAGTAGAAACTCGTCGCCGGAATGTCCAATTCACCATTCCAATTGCGGTGCCTTTATCGCCACATATCAGAATAATCAACGATGATTCGAGAGACATAACAATGCAACGAATTTATGAAGACTTTTGCCGTCAGAATGGAAAAAGTCGTGATGAGCCATTCATTTATACCATTGAAAAATTAAGGGCTGCATTTGACCCCAGGTTACCGAAACCGGATACAATGAGTATCCGCGTTGAAGTCTTGAGTGCAATACAAGCCTTATTAGTCCCATCAACAGTTATGAAAAATTATTTCATTGACTTATATCCACAGTTTGAGGATTTCTGGTTGTTCCGTAAACAATTTACCTCGCAGTATGCATCATTCATTTTTGCAACTTATATGATGTGCGTTAACACGAGACAGCCTCAGAAGATACATGTAAATAAGGGATCAGGTAGTATTTGGACATCTGATATGTTGCCTTGTAAGGTAGCAAGCAGGAATGCTTCGTTAGATGGATCTCTGGGAGGTAGGCCAGCACCATTGTTTTATAATGCTGAGAAGGTGCCTTTCCGTTTAACTCCAAACATTCAAAAATTGATAGGTGAGACTGCGTTAGAGGGAATCTTGTCGACATACGTCTTGGTAATAGCTAGAGCTTTGATTGAACCCGAATCTGATTTGGAGCCATACTTATCTCTTTTCGTTCGTGACGAGACAATATCTTGGTTCTCACAACAAGATCCGCCGCGTGCTTTTCCTCAAGATAAGCAGTTCAGGGACATAGTACGCATGAATGTGGATCTCATCATCAAAAGAGTTCACTCTATGGGTCATATTTCTTCAGGTTCAACTATAACGACGCAAAATGTATTGGAACTTATTTCTCAAGCAGTCAATCCTCGTAATCTAGCGGCTGCAGATACCCTATGGATGGCTTATTTCTGAAATATAATACGCTTAGAATTAATGTACAATAATAATATTACTTTGTAAGCTATATGTAGTTAATAATATAGAGAATAGCATTAAAAGTCAGGGCCCAGATTATATCCTTATTGCGTTATAAATACAATGAAATCGTTGTTCCAGTCTTCAATAGGAAATCAAACTCCAGCGCAATCAATTCTCCTAGGGTATAAAAAATCTCTTTTGCTCTACTAAGACCTGTTTAGGTAGATGCTTTGCAAAATCTGACTCCTTTTGATGATGGTTATCAATTCTATCAATCCTATTAAAAAGACGCTTCAATGCTTGCGACGTTAATATAACATTAAACATAGACACTATCCAAGTAAAGGCGTTAGCAACAAAAGATGATATTATCACAGCTCTTACATATGTAGTTACATCGACTTTTTTGTCTGCTCTTGTCTCTTTGTCATACTCGTACAGAAACATAGGGCCACATGTCATCACTGCAATTACTGAAGATGTATTGAGCAAAAAGCCGATGAATTCAAAGAAGCTTGAGACTATTAAGCATCTGAAAGATACCATGGTAGGGACCGCGGTCGAACATATTGGCAAAAGACATGCATTAATTGAAAACTCAAGTTGATCGTTAATAAATAAGTCTTGAAAATATAAAAACATTTCACTTACCATGAAAAGACAATAAAGGCATGTAACTATCAATAACGCGGGTCTATTATCAATATTATCAAAAGGGACACTAGCGTAAATGAGTAAATACTGTATGAGAAGTAGTCCCATATATACTTCCAAGCACAACTTAAATGTTTTACCATTATAAATTGTATCAATGCTTCTGACAAGGTTATTATTCCCCAAGTCGACTGGAGCACCAAGATCTATACTACGATCGAACAAGATATTTTGGACTCGTGAATTCGACATGCTTTCTTTCTTCGCTGTGAAAAAGAAAAACATTATGGCGATAAGTGTCCTACTTGTGGTCTCGAATGCGGAACACAAAATTTGCCGACACAGATATCATCAATTCTGATACAAAGTATTAGAAATGTACTTCAGTTACGACTGCTTGGGAACAGGAGCAACAAATGGGTCATCCGGTCTCTGTGTTACTAGTTTATCATAGAAAGCCCTTTCTATTCTAGGAAAGATTTTTTGTGATGTCTCGACACCCTCTGATAACCAGATACCCCACGCTCCCATCATGTTAGCCATAAGAACGTCAGTGAACATCCTATCTCCTATTATTGCAATTTCGTTTGACTGAATTCCAAACTTTGAAAAATAGTCTCTAATTTCATCTAAACATCCTGGTTTTTTTGTAGAATGCCTCAAAACTGTTATTCCAGTATTCTTTTGAAGCAATTGAGCCTCCTCGTGCCCTGTGTCATCATCTGTGCCCGCAGAGTTACTAACAATTAAAATATATTCCTTTGGGTATGAGGCCATCAAGTTCTTCCAATTTTCCTGATTCAAGTTAGTGCTACTATCCTTTATTATAATGAAACATGCTCTATTTGAGCACATTGATAATCATCGAAGTAAAAATAAACATACAGAATACTCTGGCCAGACTTTGTCATCTTTGTCTTTAGCGAAGCAATTATCCTTATCAAGTACAATTCCTTTAATATTAGCCTGGCTGAAATTAGAAAACTTAATTGGAAATGTCAATTGGTCAAACGAGGATACTGTTAAATGTGGTAAGCAAAGACTAGGATTTAGTAATAGACGTGATACATTTAGGGTGGCACTTATATTGAACATGTCTAGTAAAATAAGATCTTTATTTCCAGTTTTCAGTTTTATTTATAAGGTATACTTCCAGTTATAACATTAACAAATATCGAGCTGAAAAATTAACCGAAGAAAATTAAAAAAAAAATTGAAGCTTACGGTTGAAAGATCGTTTTGGGTTGTTACAAATGTCAAAATCTGAAATAGTTTCTAGTAGCAAGCCCAAAAAGAATTCAGAAGCTAACAAAAGGAAAGCTGTCCCATCAAGTGTGGCTGAAAACAGTCCCAAGAATAAGGAAGAGTCACAAAATATCGATGAAGATAATCTATGTTTAATCTGTGCCAATAAAAAATATTACAGGGCAATTACTCCCTGCCATCATGAGACCTGTCATAAATGTGCATTTCGCCAAAGAGCTTTGTACCATAAGAACTTATGTCTTGTTTGTAGAAGTGACAATGAAAAGGTAATTTTTTCAGCAGAAGGTCAGAAAGTGTACGAAGATTTTAGTTCTAAGGATTTTGCGGAAGATAGCGATACGTATGGAATTTTATTTACAGATGAAAAGGTCTATAATGACACGTTAGACTTATTAAAATATAAATGCATGCAGTGTCATGAAGTCTTTGCTAACTTTAAAAGTTTGAGCGAACATGCCAAAAAGGATCATAACAAATACTATTGTCTAATCTGCTCGAAATTCAAGAAGGCATTTGTGTCCGAGTTACCTATGTATTCGTACAAGCAATTGCAAAAGCATCTATCGGAGGGTGACAAGACTGGATTTGCAGGTCACCCTGAGTGCAAACATTGCCGAGGTAAACGGTTTTATTCTGAGGACGAGTTAAATATTCATATTCGAGATAAGCATGAAAGATGTCATATTTGTGATCAAGACAGTCCTAAAACTGCAGACTACTATCAGAATTATGAGTCTCTTTATAATCATTTTAAAACTTCTCATTATGTTTGCTCTGTTCCATCATGTGTGGAAAAGAAGTTTGTGGTATTCAGGGATGATTTGGATTTAACTGCCCACATGATAAAAGAGCATGGAGGCATAACTGGAGGGGGAAAATTCGTGATCGGTTCCTCCAATAACAATATTCAGTCTCAGTTATCAACGTTTCCTCAAAAAATTAAAAGGGCCAGCTATGGAGATGAAGACTCCGACTCTTTATCTACTAAGAGATTAAGACTAGAAGAAAGAGCGAGGCACTATTTGAATTATGATATTGAAGGTGTTTCTAAATTTACTGAAGTGAATAGTAGTTTCAGATCGAAGAACTTATCAGGAGAGGGCCTTCTAAAATGTTATCAAGATATATTTAAGAATCTGTCAACTTCAGACCTCAGCTTATTGATATACGATTTTGCTGAGTTATTTCCAAAAAGTTCTGAACAATATAATGAGCTAAATGACTTACTAAACAAGTTGACAGCCAATAATGAAGACCAATTCCCACTTTTAGGGGGTAAATCTTACACATCAGCAACTAATCTACATTCCTGGGGAAGCAATTCTCTGTCGAGGAGCCTGTCTACCGACAAATTTCCAGTTTTATCTAGGCCTCAGCGTTCAGTGTCACCATCGATTAGCAATAAAGCACCTATCAAGAGCAACACGATAAGAGGTAAAGCTTCCACACAAGGATCGTCGCCGTATCTTTCCTCCATGCGCCTGCACAATTATCTTGAGGGTGCTTCAGGCTCTAATTCTAGCAGTCAGTCCTCAAAAGACGCTACGAGAGAGAAATCATTAGATTTACAGGATTCGAAGTTTCCTCGCCTTGAAAAGGAACTGAAAAAGAAGAAAATACCTACCGTTAAACAATATAATATCCCTAACCCTCAGCTGTGGGGTAAACAAGAGGAAGTACAAACTGATGAATTGAATCGTTCTAATGATACCTCCGATAAACGTAAAATGAAAGTTAAAAGGAAGCAAAAAAGTGTTCTTTTTACGAACAGTATATAGCGAAGCTTAATATAGACATATAAATATCATAGATTAATATTTCAAAGTGTAGTTTGACCCTAATTGAACTTCATAAGTATATTTGAATTAGAATAGTGCGAATCTTTTGGCCTAATAAAAAGTTATTAGAATTATATAGATGTCTCAAGACACCATTAGTCTCTTGATTCCGGATATAAGTATTGAAACGCTATGTCTGTCTAGCTCCAGTGGCCGTGAAAGTGATCTTATAGACTTAAAGAAATCTGATGATCAATATAAAGTAGGAGAACATATTCTCGAAAAGTATTTCAATGTCAAAGTTTCGCTCAACAGAAAGAAACTCTGCCCAAGAATACCTAATAGGCTCGAATATATAAAGATATGTGAAAAGCTAACAGCAGATCTGGAATATTTTGGGGGAAATTGGATTTTGGATATTGGTACAGGCTCGTCTGTTATTTACCCAATACTTGGAGTACGAATTAATCCAAGTCGCAAATATGTTGCAACGGAAATAGATTCAGAGTCTATTAAAGATGCATTAAAAATTATTAATGATAATCATCTTGATGAACAGATAACTATTGTTGAGTCTGAGGATCAAGTACTTATTCCTACAAGTACAATTTTAAGCAAAATTGATAAAGATAAAATTCGCTATACCATTTGCAATCCGCCTTTTTACAAGGACAAAAAGGATTTTGCCGAACGTCTGAGATTGAAGCGTAGAAAACTCGATGAATTGGTTATTTCAGACTCCGAGCTATTTACTACAGGTGGAGAGTTGAATTTCATTTTACGTATAATCAAAGAAAGCATTGAAGTTTCTAGAATTTACAATTTTAGAGAAACGTGGTTTACATCCCAAGTCGGAATTTATGAGGATGTAAAAACAATTATGAGCTACTTGAGCTCCTTATATGTAGAAGGAAAACTAAAGTCATATTTCGTTGAGGACATTCCTTTTTATACGAAAAGATGGGTCATTGCATGGAATTTTTCTTCCTGGCACCCGATGCCCTTACGTATGGAAAAACTGGCTTTGAACAAGAATGAAATTGTTCACTGTTATATTGAAAATAAACTTGACTTGAATGAAATTCACAGTGTCCTTCTAAAGGTCTCTTCATCGTTCAAACACCCTAAATATGGCTTTCAGCTTCATTTTAAAAACGGATGTTTATATTATCTTACAAACGAAACAGTTTGGAGTCGACAAACGAAGCGAGCTCTTTTAAATAACCCAGGAAAGCTCAAGTTTAACAATAAATTAATTGTGAGGTTTTCTACAAAGAATTCCGCGATGTTATATGGATTGCATTCTCATTTCATTTCATTAATTAACTTTATAAACAGAAGCCAGGGATAGCATTATGGACTACTAGAGGCAAGAAATAAGAACATCTCATCGATTTCAAGAACAATTCATAAGAGGAGTTTTAGTTATCCTTCAAATAACGACCAGTCCTTAATTTGTAAGTTTAGGCTTGCTTCCTTAATAACGTCATAATCTTCCTTTAATATACTCAAAGATGACGGTAAACGAGTCTCTGATGTGTTTAAAAGAGCCTCTTTTATTTGTTCTATGGTATAATTCTCTTCAACGTTTATATTCATACTAATCAATACATCTGTTTCAGCTCTTTCGAGTCTGAGCAAGCTAATCAACACTACTAAGCTTCCCTTCATCGCAAAACTGAAGTAAATGTCGGTTTCCACGAACTTTTGATGAACTCTTTCAATTAAGTGGTTGGACTCCTGTGAGTCTATTAGATCCTCAATATGAAGCTCTATTACTTTTTCGTAATTGTTGGGAACTCTTTCTAATAGATCAAATATTAGAGATCGATCTAGCTCCCTACGGATTTTTTCCAAAATGAAAACCTCTTGTGTATCTGGAACCTGTCTGATCTTAGATACATCAATTGCATCTTCAGGTAGCACTGTATGTATGGCTCCACCATATAGTGCAGTTTCTTTCATTCTTTGTCGTCTTTAGAACATCGTGTCAATTTTTTTTTATCTTACGCATTGGGATATAATCGAAATTTTGGAATACAACAATCATTAGATTAATATTAAAGAAAGTATATTCCAATTTCCTTTCACTAATATGAGTAAAACATATAGTAAGCGAAAAAAATATTTCATTATAACGACTGTTATCGTCTTGATTATACTTATGGTCGCTAAATTATATACTTCGAATAATTCTGGAAACAACTTTCAAGAAGTAATACAAAGTGTTCCTAATGAAAAATTGCTTGGGCTTACCAACTTCATATCAAATGAAAATGAAAAAACGCAAGATGCCTTTTTCAAAAAGCTTTCAAAAATCACTATTGATATGATTCAGAAACAAGATGAGAGATTGAAAAAGCTAGAGCAACAAAACGAATTATTACTTCAAGAACTTCATTCCCTTAAATTGCCTCCTCAGTCAGCATCATTGAGAGAAAAATTAGTTTTTCTTTATCCTTACGATCTAACGACCAGGTTCCCAGGGTATGTTTGGCAATCATGGAAGTATGGATTAAATGATGATCGATTTGATTCAAGGTTTAGAGAAGGGGAAATACAATGGGCAAACAAAAATCCGGGCTTTGTTCATGAGATATTCAATGATGACACTGCTCATGCTGTCATCAGACATTTATACAAACAGATTCCAGAGGTTGGAGAAGCATATAAATTATTACCTGAGGTTATACTAAAAATGGACTTTTTTAGATACTTGATTCTTTTTGCTAAAGGTGGTGTGTATGCCGATATTGATACCTATCCCTTACAACCGATTCCCAACTGGATCCCTCAGAATGTTAGCCCTGAAGAGTTAGGATTAATAATTAGCATAGGATCTGATTCCAATTCTCCAAATTGGAGATTAGAAAGTGCTCGACGTTTACAATTTGGTCAGTTTGTGATACAAGCAAAACCTGGACATCCCATATTGCGAGAAATGATTGCTCAAATAGTAGAAGAAACTGTGTCAAAGAGTAAAGATTCGAATCCAGATGCAATTCACTTAACTGGTTCATCAAACCAGAAGAATTTAAAAATCTTAAAGTGGACTGGAAGTGGTCGATGGACAGATATTATAATGAACTATTTTAATGACTATATTCAAAGCTCTATTTATCAAAAGGTTACATGGAAGGATTTCCATGAGTTGAAGGTACCGAAACTAGTTAGCGATGTTCTAGTATTGCCCTTGGAGTCATTTAGTTCAGAGATTGACATCCCCAAGGATGGCAAAATTGGGGATCCTTTGGCATTCGTAAAGCACTATGCGGCAAATATTTGGAAATCCAGTTGAATAGACATTTATATAATAGATAGAATTGACTCTTTTCGTATTACTTATCGTAGATCATTTAGCTGATTAAGTGAATTTAGTATATTCTTGACTAAATTGCGAAAACATCTAATTATCTAGTTAACATTTTTCTGTAATCAAAATCCCAAATAAGCCAGGGCATCTAAAGAATGTTATTTAATGTTCAAAGTTAAAGTATAAGTGATAAATAAGTTGTATTGAATAACAATTCAGATATAATTTAACTAGCAGAGTTAGATTAAATGTAGTCAGGTCAATGTCGCAACAATAGCTGTCAAAATTGAAGATAATCACGATAGCTTTACTAAAATAAAAATAAGAACGATATAAGGAGACATTTTCAGACATTGTGTATGTAAAATTGCAAGCTTTATTTGATCATGTGCCTTGGTGCATATTGAAGAACTTAAGTGGATCGGAGACTTAATTTTAAGAGCCTCAAGAGGTATACAGAATCTTCGGAACGGCTTAGAAACATTTACATTTATCGAACTTAGATAGAATCGTTGGTAATTGAGATATTATTCCTTCCATAGGCTAAGGTTTTGATTCTATGTACTAGCGAATTAATGAGAAATATAAAGTGATAAGTGACAATGATAAGGGAGAGAATTACTATTTTTAACCCTACAGATTCGAGCGAGAGCGTCATTAGGTCTTTGAATTCAACAGACATTACTCTTGAACGAGGCTTAAATCTCGCTCAAGAAAGAAAATTGCATGTTCTGGGATTCAACTTGGGTATTAAAAATCTCAAGTTCATGAGAATACAAATGGTAAAAGAGCAATTTCCGGAGACCATTTTCAATCAGAGGTATTCATACGGTATAAGTATCTATTTTGCGCCACGTGAACTAAGATCTACTGATGAAGAAACCGCATTCATCACTGATATAACCAGTCTAGTCAATGATTTGTTTGAATTGAAAGTAGATATAAAGAGTTGGATCATTTCATATAATGCATTTTACCTATATCTTGAAGACTTTGATACAAGTCACTTTCTTGAGGCTATCGAAAAAAAGTTGAACGATCAAACCATAAGAGATTACTCCAATATTGATCTCTTTCTCGATGAAAAGCAAGAACTCACTGTCAAGTCTCTTAGGCATGTCAATAGTACCTCACATTTTACCAAGGAAGATCATAAACGGAAGGAAATTGGAATATTTAGGATTGATGATAGTTCATCCCAGGATGACTTAATTTTAAGAGGATTAAGGGTTATACTTGCTAATGAGTCTGAAGTCAAGAACGTACACAATACAATGTTCCACGTTAAACCGCGAAACAGAGAACTAAAAGTTGGTTATCTGACATCTGTTAAACCCAATGGCCTCCATCCTGTCCTTGTAACGGATTTTAAGTCACCGTTGATATTTCCGATGGATAATGACATTGAGAAATGTAAACTTTACATGTATATGAATTTGGAAAAGTCATTGTTTCTTGATGAATATCAGCTCCCTCCTACTCTCAAGTTAATTTTGAAACTAGGTAACTCAGATATGGAGTCCCCTGAGTATACACATAGTCAATGGGGAAATGAGATTCTTTTGGAAGTAAATGATACGGGTCTTGAGAAAATTGAGTTGCCATTACATGCTAGATATAGAAGAACTTCACAGGGTGAAACCAAGTCACAAGTTGGTATCGGGTCACCCATAGTGTTCTATGGCTGTGATGTTGAAGAGCCTGACTTGTTAAGCATTTCACCATTTGACAGTAAAAAAGCTGTAGGAGGCAATTACGAGAGTCTTTTCACGGATAATGCAGTATTTTACCACTTTGAGCTACAAAAGTCTGATCTTTCACTCGAAGTACCTGTTGCAAGTCTCAGAATTGAATCTGCCGCTACCACTACTGTGATGGCTGTGTCATTCGGTTTAATTTTCATACTTGCTGTTCTAAGCAAAAGCTTCTTCGGTAAGTCACAGAAAAGGCAGGAGAGGAAAGTTTCAAATACAACATCTGTAGATTCATCGAAGACGAAGAAACTTTCCGAGACAAAAATTGAACCGGAGACAGATACAGACAATCTGGAGTCCAAATCTGAGTTAGACTAGCTCATATCACCTGATCTAGATCTTGATAAATACTATTACAAAATACAGCTCAATGATTATAATCTTAATATCTATTTCTATAGTTGCGAAAAAGTAACATTAAATATGTAAGTACCAGTATTCTATTTTATGACCCAATAAGAAATGAAATGAAAGTGAAGATTCGAAACCAAAATAAAAAAAAATGCCTTGACGGGTCTAATTAATCACTTCACTTCGATGCTTAATCTCCCTTTCTGACTTTTTATGTAATCGTCAAAAGATACAATTTCGTATCTGAATTTATCATCTTTTCTCTCAAATTTGTACACTCTGAATTTAGAAATATACTCCTCATATATGACTTTGATTTCATGGATTAAGTATGCAAGAATTGTGCATTCGTTTTTGATAAAGTTTGACGAAGTACTCAAATTAGACTCGACAAAGCTAACCATGTTGTGGAACTTTTCCCACCGATTGCAAGAAGTTATGCTATTCTTAGCTACCGAACTAGCTGCTTCTTCTGCACTTTGATTAAAATCATACAATAAATCGATAATTTCATCCGCCAAAGAGTTTAAGTTGTCGCAAAAACAATCATCCAAACGCTCCAGAAGCATACATTTGATTCTTTTTAGTGTATCAAACATCACCCTCGAGTTCTCAAATTTTTTGATGCTTCTTGAATTATATAATATTATCAATTTTAAATCTTTCTTTATAGTATCATAATCCTTTAATAATGAGTCGTTAAATGTTCTAACAAGATGTATCAACTCGAGAGAAGCTTTCTCAATTTTCTTCAACGTACCTATCAAGTGAAGTTGATCATTTTCGCACAAGTTCTCAAAATCTTCTTGTTTTAAGGGCCGCAAAATAAAGTTGTCTCCAAAATCAAACTCCTTATTCATAAAATGCTCACTCAAACCTGACATGCTATGTGAAAGGAAATCTTCCATTACAAAAAATTGATCCAATGACTGCCTTGACTTAAAAAGTACTGGAAATTCTGTTTCCATCTCCCACAACGTCGGGGCGTCGCTCTCAATTTCAGGTTTCACTTCAGCCGATATTTCCTCCGTTTCACTAAAACATGATAATTCAGATACAATGGAACTACCTGAATCATTGTGATTCAAAAAAGGAAGTGATCCATTCTCAGAGAATTCACTGCATTTAAATGAAAATTTTAAACTATCGTTCTGTTTCAAATCAGTAGCACTTATAGTTCGATACACAGACATTTCACCGTTCAAGTTGTCTCAGAAACTCAACAACTAATAAAAAAAACTATTCCCTTTTTATATGATAAGGTGACAATGTTCGTATGAAAGTACTTCAAGATTGAAAGAGTTCAATCCGACTTAATAAATCAATGTAGCAAAGCAAATCTGTATTGCTAGTTGTTCCAGTCAGTTTTGATTCTTCCCGCTGGTTTCTTAGCGCTTATGAAATTGATTATCAGTACTGCTCTAGCACTCTATTTTTCGAATATGTTTTCAAATATGTATTCAAATCCTTCTTTTACCAAAGATAATTTTCTCAACTAGAGATTCCCACCTTATAAAGGGAAGCGGCTTCACTGCCCTTTCACTGCCCTTTGGCTGCCTTAGGAGAACAAGAGCTCCGCGACGCGGAGAGTCACTGTATGCAATGCAGCCCCCAGCAATTTGCATCGGGGTTGAGAGTACCTGCAGTACCCGTCTCGCTTTTTGGGACCTCGAATGTGCGATAACCACAGAAAATGGCGGGGCTCCACAAGTCTTAGTCTTTGAGGTGCATGGAGTCCATTTACGCACAGCTCCCCGTTTATCGCAATTATTGTAGTACGATCTGATGAGCGTAAAAGACAATAGATAATGCCCAGAAGCTCAAGAGCGGAGACTTGCAAAATCTTAGCTAAATTGGCGAAACGGAGTCGGAGAAGTTTAATAATGGATTAGGCAATACTATTACAATCGTAATTTTAAGTGTCTTGTAGCATTGCTAAAATGCGCTTGCTCCAGCAAATATTTTGAGACAAAAATTTTATATAGAGGCGGGCTACCGACGTGGCGGTGTACAGCAATTTTTCGCGCCCAGGCTCTGGCCACAACTCGGAGCAATACATAAGCGGATTCATTCCGTGGAATTTTGCTTATCGTGTTTGTTAGACATTGCGCAGCGAGAAGTGTCTCACTCTGGCCACATCAAGATTGCTAAGAGTGCGAGATAAAACTACCCGAGGAATGTGTTATTATGCATAATTGCGACTTCAACTACAGATAAACATAGGCAAAGGTCATGAAAGATTCACATGGTATTTGCTGTGTATAATTTATATGAAATTGCAATTATGATTTACAGTAATTAGCAGCATCCAGATGTGTCTATTCCTCTATATGGATCTATAACTCATCATTACGGGTCTTTCGACTGTCAAGTGGATAAATGACCTTATATTCAATGTATAAGTCACCATGGATGTCCAGGTGGTGCAGTATAGGCATTCCTTTGCCCTTTATTACCTCATATTCACCATCAATTGTCACCACTCCTGGATCTCTTTTAAGCACCAATTCATTTTCTACACTGTCAAAAAATGGTACTATTCTCTCCCATCCCCCGTTCAATGCTTCTTTTAACGTAAGCACTTCTGTTCTATATAAGTTCTCTTGCGTCCTACGGTAACCCCAGCTATCTTTGAAATCCTCTCTAATTGCAATAATTAGATTACCTGGCACCCAGCTCGGATTCTGATCACCTTCACCCTCAAGTATATGATGATCATCCCTTTTGAAACCAGGTGGTATATAAATGTTGTAGTGTCTTGATGTCGGTTTTGTACCGTCTCCGTGACAGATTTGGCATTTGTTTTTGATCTGTTGACCCAGTCCACCGCATTCATCGCACTGAGTATTGAAAGTCTGAATCATACCTGGCCCTAATTGACGTCTCATTTGAATCATTCCATGTCCTCCACATTTCGAACATGTATGGGTTTGTTGATCTTCTGATCCCGTACCTTTACAATGTTCGCAAATATTTAACATCTCCACATCAAACTCGATATCCTTCCCACTGTAAAAGTCACGCAATCCAATATGTAAATTAGCTTGGGTATCTTCTCCTTTACGTGGTCCTCGCTGTTGCTGCCCACCGCCGAAGAATTGGTGAAATATGTCACCAAAATCAACTCCATGTTGACGTGGACCCTCGGGATCACCAAACTTATCATAATTTGCTTTCTTCTCAGGATTTGATAATATTTCATATGCTTCATTTATTTCAATGAATATTTCATCTGCTTCAGGTGAGGGATTCTTATCTGGATGAAACTTTTTACTGAGCTGCCTGAACGCTGATTTAACTTCCTTCTCTGATGCATCTTTTGAAATTCCTAGAATATCATATAAATCCTTAGTGGCCCCTATTATGGTGACAAGAAATAACATCAATAGAATGAATTTCATCTTGGAAGCACTCTATATCTTGCTTTTCTTCGTTCGAACTTGAAATACTTGATGAGTTTGTAAAACATACACGTAAGCCGATACGAAGTGAAAAAACTTGAACTTCACGTGATGCATCATATAACCAAACTGACTCTAAATTAAATACTACCGTTTGTAGGCACCAGGCACAATGTATGAGGTCATAAATGTCTCTCTATCCCAAAGATCCAATCATGTATCTACGCATTTGTACAACAATCAAGAATCGCATATTCCATATAAACGAAATGCAGAAGTTAAATATGATAATCTGATCTTTCTTTCAGCGCTGAAGAATAAAAATGGTACCACAAATTACTCACCAAGAGCAATTATATACGATTTGAATGGGGGTTTGGGATCTTTAGGAAAGTACGAATATCATGAGCCGAAGTCTAATATTTCTATCTCAAATGATCAAGTGATTAGAAACCATATTATCGAAAAGAACGACTATCAAATAAACTTAGACAAGGGTATGAGCAAACCGAATTTGTTGAATGTGGAAAATACAAAATACTGGACCGACTACAATAAGCTAATTTACCGACCAAAATCTTTAAATGAGTTGCAGAATTGGAAGTTGGTTCCCGGAAAATGTTTCGGAGTTGAGAAACATATCTCACAAATCGAGTTCTGTGAATTTCGTCAAGGGCAAAGTGAATACAAAAATGAATTAGAAAATAATATAGATTTGTTTCGGAGCTATTTAGAAGAGTGCGATCTACTTCAAGGTGTGAGTTTGATGACAGAAACTGATAGTGCTTGGGGTGGATTTACTAATGAACTCATACTTTCTCTTAAAGATGAATATTTCAACAATGGATCGAATAGCAAATATAACATATGGACATACGGCTTACTGTCATTCGATTTCAAGTTAGATTCGCGAGGATTGTGCTCTAGAATTTCGAGCATAGTAGAGTTATCTAAGAATTCATCTCTTTTCTTTCCAATGAATCTTGATCCCAGCTCATCGCTACTTGACAAGCATTTTGTGCCAGAGAGTTTATGGCACTCGTCAAGCATTCCATCTATTTTTGTTGACTCTATTTGGGGATTGAATAATAAGCTTCAGGGCCCTCAACGAATGAGTTTAATAGAAGATAACTTGTTGAGAGGTGATGTCAACAGAAATATTATTAACGAGATAGCAATACGCTCCGCTTCCTACGAAAATGATGTACAAATGAGTCCAACCAAGGAAAATGTCGATATTAACGTTGCCATTGATGCCTATTATAGCAAGAAAACCTTGACTACAAAACCATCAGCAGACTTAAGTCTTACTTCAGCAGATGATGCGAAATACTTCGTCAAAAATTTCGTCATTCTGCAGGACGAAGCTCTCAAGGCTAGAATTTTATCGGCTGTCGAGCTGACACCCTGCAACACTTATGAGCATTCGAAGTTGAATGACATTACGAACACCGATACATTTCCAAAGACGTTGTCTGCCAACAATTATTATGTTGAATTTAACATTAACTCAAATTTAAGGAAATTGATGAAATCTTATCATAACATTGTTTCACGATCTAAATATTTTGACCAGTTATGTGATGACAAATCGGAACTCGTGGAAGATATTTGCATGCTTGTTGACGAATATACCATTGGATATGATCTGAGCGATGATGACTTTGAATAAGTATATTGGGCTATATAATTATTTCTTTAACATATTTATGATACATTTTTTTCCACCAAATAAATACCATAATCATCTTTCAAAGTTTTCATGAGTGGGTCATTAATCTTTGAACTCATTGGTGCCAATAATCCTGGTGTATTCAAAGTATTATCCAAAATTTGTTGGGCTGCAACAGCACAAGGAACACCTACTAATTTAGCCATAGAAGAATATCCGTTTGGATCGCCATAGTCTACTAAAGTAGACGTTCTTACTTCCTTTTCACCGTCCTTCCATTCAATTCCGAACTTGTGTTGCAAGCAAACAAGATCTCTCTCACCCTCCTCATATTGCATTAAATCTTCCAAAGTAGCACATAAAGTGTCTAAAGGATTGTTTCTTGGTGTAATTGGTTTATCCGAGAACAATCCTAACCACTTCAATCCAGAAATGATCCTTGCTTTGTCTTCTTCAGACTTAAACGTTGCAGTCTCGCTCACTTTCTTGATCAAGTCATCTTCGTTAGATGATTTTGCACCGATTAATTGAGCAGTTGCCTCCTTCCAAGGAATGGGTTTAGAAAAGCTAGATGATTCAACATCCTTCAAGAATCCAAGGTCAACTAAGACTTTGACAAACTCAGGGAAGCCTTGAAATCTTAAAGTCCCTCTGATAACAGTTTCTGCTTCTGGGATATTATATAATTCTTTGTAGGTTGTTGAGTCTCTGTTAGGGTATGCGACAAACGCAAAACCTGGATAGATGAAGTAGGGCTTAGCAGTTGCCATCAAATCTTCAGACTTAACTTCTTCAATTTTTCCGTCCTTCCAATAACTAGCTGAGTTTCTCAAAGCCAATAAAACTCCTCTCGAGGACCAAGAAAACTTGTAACCCAAAGGATTATCAGAGTCTTCTGGAGCGGGCAAGCCACCGCAGTAAGATAAAAAGGACTTGATTTTACCGCCCTTTTTGTGCACTTCTTCAATTGTCTTGACAGCATATAAATGGTCGATACCCGGATCTAAACCAATTTCATTCATCACAACTATACCAGCATCCTTAATCTGCTGCTCTAATTCCTTCAATTGAGGATTAATATAAGATGTAGTCACCACATTCTTTTTGTTTTTGATAGCTGACTTTACAACATTAACATGGTAGATGTAGGGAATCAAAGAAATTACCAAATCAGCTTTGGCAACCGCAGAATCCAAAGCCTTCTCATCTGTGACGTCTAAAGAAATTGCGTCTGCATTATTTCCGGCTAATTCTTTTGCCTTTTGCAAAGTTCTGCAAGCAACAGTAACCTTGGTATCTGGTGTCTTTGATAATATATCGACAGTCGGTTTAGCGACGAAACCTGATCCTAAAAGAAGCACGTTTCTAAGTCGTTAGTTTTGAGTGTCTTACACTGCAAATGTTCATGTTCTACTTACTTGACCATTTTGAATAATTTTTTTATACAAAATATAATTTATTCTTTCATGGGTAATATCTTGAAGAGTGCCTGCTATTTATGTGAAAAAAAAAAAAGATTTAAAAATGAGGTCGTAATCTATTACATACATATCCTAATTAGGTATAATAGCCTTTGTAACCACTTTTGGAAATTGGCTATAACAACTGGTAAGGTAACAATAAGGCAATACGTCAAGCTGTATAGTATCAAGATCCCATAAGTAACTACACCATCAGTTCACGAATTGCTACGCTTCTTCTTTGGAACCCAGAAGAAAATCGAACGAAGGTCGATGTACTATATTGCACGAAGCGCCTAAATTGCCTAATTGGGTTTAATGAGGATTATCGTATTACAAAGTATGTGAAAACATTAGGTCCTATTCAAACTAATTAAGAGTTGGTCACGAGTGGTTTTCTGACTGGAATACGTGTGGACTATTTATCCGACTGATTCAGAGTTATCTTGAATTTTCTCAAGTACCACGGCCTTGTTATTTTACATAAAACAGGGAGAGCATTTGATTCAAGACCTACACAATGTGAGAAAGATTTCCCAGTTCTTCCATAGCTGCCATGGGTGTTATTTTCAGGTCCCTTCGCTTAGGTAATCTCTTCCTCTGGCTTTGTGCTATTAACTAATTTCAAAATCACATGCAAATTTATGATCTCGATCTACATAAAAAGTTGACGCACGGATTATTCTAATACTATAGAAGCATCAAATCTAAGTTGAATCCAAAATGTCCACAATTGTAAATGATCTTTCGTTCTTAGTGAACAATTACTCCTCGTATGTCAATTTAAATTGTGAAATCAAGTATGCTTTAGCCACAATTGCATTCAATCCAATTTTTTGGAATATCATTGCTAGGTTAGAATACAAGACACATCTCTTGACTAAGTTGACGGGCAGTGCGAAGACGGGGTGCTATCTATTGGCATTAACTATCTTCAGCTTAGGTATTTACCGAGACCATATCTATCATGAGGCATTGAGCAAACAGCCAACTTATGGACCTTTTGAACAATCTTTATTGGTTAAAGTTTTGGCGGCGTTGATTTTCGGATTCGGCAATGTTTTGGTTTTAACTTCAATGTATTCTTTAGGAATCACTGGTACTTACTTAGGTGATTATTTTGGCATACTCATGGATGAAAGAGTAACTGGGTTTCCCTTCAATATTAATGACAATCCAATGTACAATGGTTCGACATTATGTTTCCTAGGTACTGCATTATGGTATGCAAAACCTACTGGGATATTGATTGCAGGTTTTGTTTTTATAATGTACCGTATTGGATTGTTCTTTGAAGAACCTTTTACTGCTAAAATATATGCTAAAAGAGAGGCTGATAGAGCTAAAAAAGACTAACTTTATCCGGCAGATCAAATCTTCTTGGTGCAGTCAGCACGCAACTGAATAAAGATGTAGTAAGCTATTTAGGTATCGCTTTTTTATAAGATTATATATATAACTAAGCGAAATTAAAAGAATTAGAAGTACCTCTATCCTCAACGTACCTCAAGCTAAGAGATTGAAACTTTTCGGAAGTCTTATGATAATATAACCCACGAATTGATCCTGGTGTCATTTTTGAGTAATCGCATGCCGTGTTTGGATCATTCAGAGAACTCCCAATGTTAAGCATCACATAATAAAAACCTTCAAATGAAGCTCCATTTATCAGCTTAACGCTTGCATCTGGTAAGAGGAATTCTTCCTTCCATCTCATATAAATGAAATCATTGTTTTCCTGTCCTGTTTGGATATTATGCAATCTACGCTTCAATTGTTTTTCCGATGAAGTTGTAGAGGTGAGTCTATCCCAATGATCAAGATCATTACCTTTAAATGATCCCCAATTCTTATTTTCCGTCAAGAATGAAAACTTTTTAATCGGTACATCCTCAAAAGGAAAGTCCACATTAGACAGCCAATCATATTTATTTAATGGATTGTTGATTATTTCCCCTCTGAAACAAGTTGTGATCTCAGGCTGTTCCGTCAACCCTGATATTTGTAAGAAGCCGGTAATAATTGAGTTTACAAGATTAATATTCTTAAATTCAACTTGTACCCTATATCTACCTTTCGCAGATTGTTGCTCTCCAACATATTTGGCATTAAGTCTAAGATAAGTGTTCAAAAATTTGGGTATCTTACTTCTGTTAGACAGAACGCGATCGAAGTAGTCGAGTACGTATGTATTTTTTAACGTATTGCTAAGCTTCTTATCGTTTGCCTTCTTCTTAGCTGCTCTTCTTACTTGATCCTGGTTTTTCTGTTTTCCATCACTGTCTTTCAACATACCATTATTATACTTCACTGAGTTTTCCTCTAAACGTTTGTGTATAAATTTATCAACATCAACATTATCAGTTTCTCTTCTAGGGTGTATGTCTAAATACATTCGTTTCATATACGCCGCTTCGGGCCCCTCATCAGAAAATATGGTCCCACCATCAATGTTATCCCGGACTTCATCTATCTCAGTGTTATACTTTGGGTCCTCATCTAGCTGGCTGGCTTCAGTGACAGGCATGTTACCTTTACTACTTGAATGATAAAACCGCTGTCGTTATTGCCTCCTGTTTGCTCCGATTTTAAAGCACTATGATAGTCTGAATGGTATATCAAAGCAAAATCACGGTCTATTTAAAAACTGTTACTTATTTAGAATCGTCTTAAATCTTAGAAAGGTCTTTGTACTTATTACTTTAAAAGAAAATGATTAGTTGTACCGATTTTGACCCTTGATAAGCGATACTATCTTAGTCAATTTTGTGTACAGTAATAGATGTCACTTTGAGCAAATATGAGGTGATGCTGCCTACAATCCGATTGTCGGAGCTGCGACCAAGAAGGATTTAAAGATATGAATACTCCACCTACACCAATGCATCCGGCTCCAAATGAGGAGATCAGAGACTTACCAACTGGTGAACTTTCCTCGAAAACGGTGGAAGACATTGACTTGAATCCAGATTTGTATGATGAAACAGAAGTGGTTTCGGAGGGCAATCAGACAGCTCGTTCAGAAAGTGGAATATATCAGAATCAAGACCAGGTCACTGATAAATCTGAACTTGTGAGAGGCTCCACTTCTAGTTTGGAAGAAGTCCGTTTTGAGGAAGTTGATTCATTCACCCGTCCCTTTGATGAGTGCTTGGAACTGACAAAGAAATCTTTTTATAATAACTCGCGTGGTCAGGTGAACAATAAGCAAGAAAGCAGGCTAATTAATTATGTAGATGACAGTCTTCTTCAGGTGCAACGACGATTCATTAAAAATCAGGCCGATGTAGCGGAACCGTATCTGTTGCATGAGTTAATTACAGACATTACAAGGCTAATAGAATTGATATGGTTTTCTATTGATAAGAATGGAAGGTTATATGGTCAGGCAGACTATCTCATCAAGATTTTGGGCGATTTGGAGGATTATTTATCCTATTACGATTTATTCCCTATTATTAGTTTGCTGGATCAAAGTCCTTTAATAACAGAATACATGCATTCTACGCTTGCTGGCTTTCTCAATTTTTTTCAGGGCCTTGATGTTAAGCTTTCATTTTTAATTGATGGATATATTATGAGATTGGGGAGTGAAGAGATTGAAAAGATTAACAAAACCCAAATGGTAAGGTTAGTTGCAATTATATCTAGACTAAGAATTTTAATAATTTCTAAAATTGAACCTTTCAGAATTAGTCTTTTTCATTACCTGAAAAATGGGACTGATGATGAGTTAAAATTAGAGGCAAGAAGCTATCTTAATGTTTTGGATGTTGAAATTGGCAGATTGTTTGAAGGTATTCTCGAACGTAGCTAAATACTCTCCATTTTGGCACTGTGTGCATATACCAACAAAATATATACACCTTTATATGCATCTATATTTTTCTTACAGTAATGATTTAATGATACTCAAAGATAATCATGTGGCCATTTACCAATAGCAATGTCAAAGAGACTACTAAAATAACAGATGAATTACCAGACAATTTGAAAGACTTTTTCAAAAAGACTGATCTTGATGCAAAAACTGAATCTATTTTTGAACCAAACGAGAAGGATAAGATTGTCGATGCCATCTTACAAGAACATAATAAAAGTGGAAAATATTCTCATGATTTAGATATGTATAAGAGAACTGACTCTCCTAGAAAAGTATTATCTATTAACTGTGCTGAAATTCAAAAACATGTAATTGATTGCTTGCGTGGGTGGACGTTGACTAAAACCACCTATTGTCAGGAAGAAATGAACAATAACAGAGACTGCGTGGACATACAAAGAAATGCTCTAAAAAATCTTTATTACGACTCATGTATAGATGTGACTCAATGTAATAAGATTAGATATATAATTGACAAATTATTCATTGAAAACTTTGGACAGTACGGAGATAATATAAATGAGGCTAGTAGGATCAAGTTTGACCGAGACATCAACAATGCATTTTACAAGATATGGAAATGATCAAGTGCTTCTTTATCTTTACTGTAAATAGTTTTCTAATTGCGATTACAATTCAAAATATCGTTACTAAGATCTGTCCATAGTTTTAATTTTTCACTATACTTCAAAGTCGTTACTAAGCCAGAAGTATTAGGGAAAACATATATTGTAAAGTAATGACCCACAGTCTGATGGAGCTCCTTTAGTACCTCATTGTAATGTTCATCCATGCTTTTGGTTTGTATCCCCCAAATAAAATTTGTCTTGGTCAACTTTAATTTTTTAATACCTAGGGATTTACAAAAATATGTTACTACAATTTCCCAAATTCCCTTCCCAACAAAGACTAAATATTTCAGTGACGAATTTTTAAATTCTTCTAGTAATCTGGGCACGTTCGAAAGCTTTTCTGACAATGACAACTCTTCAGCAGATCGAGTACATCTTAAAACCAAATCGGTAAATCCAATATTATACTTGACGAGTTCAAAATCATGTTCAGGCAACACATTAGTGCAAAGTTCTCCATATTGATCCTCAGTTACCAACTTGCTAAGCAAATCTTCAGAATTTAAATACTTCGCTAAGTCATAATTATTCACCTCTAATACCTGGAGTAGCAATTTACTTTGGTTGAATAGTTTCCAGAATAGGTTCGTAAAATGTGCATAATGATGTTGCTTTAAAGATGATTCTATTCCAGGATTATATCCTATAAACAAAATAGTCAAATTATTTGATAAGGATGGCGCCAAATCTTTATAAGTATTTGATGTGCATTTTGACTTGCTCTTTATTACCTTACTGTTGCCTTGCTTAGATATTTTCCCATTCCTTAGTACCTCTGGGTGTATTGTTTCGTGCTTATATGACTGTATGATGGATTTTAAAGTATCATTTCCTACCATGACTTACGAATGTAATAAGATATTGGAGTTATAGACTGTATACTATATTAATGGCATTTTTTGTCTCAAATACAAATAAATAATATCGTGTATAAATAGAATTTTCTTTAGTGTGTAGTCATTATGAGTGGTGATAGTTCAACATTGAATCTCTCATACTTAGACACAACCACTTCGGTTCATTCCCCGGCCTACAAGAATAAAGCTGAATATAATTTACCGCATAAACGTAGAAGTCTTGAAAGTTTGACACCGATTGATCTAAATAAAATCATTAAACTGACTTCTAGCAATAATTTAAATATAAAAGAAGAGCAATTAATCTTTCAACTTGAAAATGGCTTGGATGATTTGTATCAAAAGGAAGTTGGATTGATGAGCTCAAAAAAAATAATAGAAAGCTTTCCGGATTCAAACACAAGCACAACGGGGCAACAGAATCCATTAAAAGAAACATTTTTGTCTCTGTCAAAAGGTTCTCCTAGTCTGATGATGGACTTTAATCCGGAAAACTGTGACAAAGACAATTGTGTGGGGAGAGAAGGTAACGAAAACATATTAAAGAAAGGCGTAAACAAAAAAATAGTTTGGCTGTACGATGCGGATTTTTTTACAGCATTCAAAGATCCCAAGGTACCATATATCCTTTCTCTTTATTTGCAATTGTTTTTGAATTTATTGATGGTTTCTGCCATTCTATACTTCTTATTTTTATTTACAAAGACAATTCGATCAGATATCAATCAAAAAATAGAGATTTATACTACGGATGCAATGCAAGAGATAAATCTTTGTTCGAGACATTTTTTTAGAAATAAGTGCTCCACGGAAAATGGAAATAAAAGAGTCCCAGCGTTGGAAGGAGCTTGTACTTCTTGGAGCAAGTGCATGAACAGAGATCCTCAGCTAATTGGCAAATCAATGGTTACTGCTGAGACATTTGCGGATATAATTAATGGATTTCTCAAACCCATAACCTGGAAATCACTAGCTCTCTTTGTCTCCTTTGTATTTGGAACTATCCTAACAACAAAATTAGCCTATAGCAGTTATAGAACTGACCCAAGTTTGTACATGTCTACTGATAGTGACAAGATACGACATCTAGAGCAAATAATCATAAGGCAGGAGCAAGCATTAGAAAAATACCATGATCTTGAGAAGACCATTAACTCCTTAAAAAAGACATACGAGAACGATTATTATTTTAGACTGCCCGGTGATACTCGGACCATATCCAATATGGATACATAGCAACCAAGCTAATCTATGAATAACTTTGAACTTTAAATAACGGTCGGCTTTGTGATTTGCCTCATATAAATATAATGAGAAAGGATTAAAAGCAGTGAGAGCCGGCTAAACCTCTTTTGTGTAATATAGAACATGTATTTGAATTCATGTGTGTTTTGCTTTTTAACCGATTTCAAAGAGTAATTAGCATTGAAGGAATTATCAAAGAAATTTAATAACCCCTTTTTTGTTATCAGATGGGAAATTATTGGTGCCTTGTTTTTTTCAACAATTAAATTTTTGACTTCTTGGACCAAGAAGACCAAGAGAAGTATAAGATTGTGAGCACCAAATTAGGAAATTTTGAAGATAAAGCTCTAACACATTTTTGTTTGGGCCATTAGTAATTAATATTCAAGTTGAGGAAAATCATATAAAGCTGACATCTCAAATATGAGTTGTGTTTCTTGCCTCTTCTTCATGCTGTAATAATAATGCCAGAATTTTGTACCTTTTCCAGGAAGAGCAGTTTAGGTGAAATTTGGGACACGAAAGGAAATGTAGTTCAGAAAGAGATCGAAATTGACGAGATTGCTCGTAGTACATTAACTTCAGCTCTGACTATGGTGCCTTTGTCTGAAGACGAGACTTTTGAAAAAGAAGTCGAGACTGGAAGTAGCGGGGGTATATTTATGTTCCTTCGGTGGCACGATCTTTTTAACATAATTCCTGGAATAGTTTTGATGTTACTTTCAAGCGTGGCAACCCCACTGCAGACTGTAATATATGGAAATATCTTCGAGAAGTTGAATCGATTCGAAAAGGGAGAATACACATCACCGAGCCAATTCCTAAATGATACAAAAAAGTGGTGCACTGTAATCATGATACTTGGTATATATAAAACAATAACTACCTGGTTGGGCCTTTTTTTTTGGATGAGATTAGGAGAAAAGCAACAATCTAGAGCAAGGAGTATTATTTTTAGTAGCCTTCTCTCAAGAGACTTTGAATGGTACGAAAGGGTAAAAAATTTACCGGGTGATTTGTCACAGAGAAATCGTTGTATTGAGGAAATTAGATGTGCCAACTCTGAAGTGCTTGGTCTTTTTATTCACAATTTGGGATCCATAGTTGCCTTTTTTGTCACTGCAATGGCAAGCTCGTGGCTTTTAACATTGGTGATTTTAGCTTCAACTCCCTTGATGGTTCTTTTGAGTTGGTTATTTAGTAAAAAAATATTTAAAGCTGCCCAAGCTGAAAATTCTTTAAACTCGGATGCTTCAAAGATTTTGGACTGGTCTATAGTATCAAGTGAGACGGTTCGAATGCTAAATGGCAAATACAAAGAAATGGTAAACTTCAATAAGATAGTCGAATGCTCCGCAAAAGCATATTTCAGCTTGGCTAAAAGCGCTGCTGCAAATGTTGGAATTCTTCGCTCTTTGGTTTTCTCTATGTTTGTTCAGGGATTTTGGGTTGGTAGTATAATGGTTAAAAAGGAAAAGATAGGTATAGATCTGGTAATAACATGTTTTTCTGCTTGTTTAATGTTGGGTTCAAGTATTGTTGAACTCTCATCTCTTCTTGCGGAATTTAACGAAGCTGCAGCAGCTGCTTCCAAGTTGGCTGAATTTATTAATAATAAAGAAGGTATCAAGAACGATTTTGGATTCATGCCTTCTAGGTGTCATGGAGAGATAGAGTTTTGTGATGTTTCATTTAGTTACTACGGAAGGCTGCAAAAAGCTCTTGATCACGTGAGTATTTCTTTGAAACCAGCAGAAATGAACCACATAATCGGCAAATCTGGAGCAGGAAAGTCTACCATTTCTCTGTTATTGGAGAGCTTTTATTCTGCAGAAAGTGGTTTTATCACAGTAGATGGCTTGGATATTGTAACGTTGCATAAAAATTGGCTACGGGACAACATTACGGTACTTCATCGCGAGCCACAAATTTTTGATCTCAGTTTGAAGGAAAACATTGCCATTGCGGTTGTGAATGAATTCGGATCATTGGAATGCGTACCAGAATCCATTATTGATGGGGCCTGTCAATTTGCTATGTTAAATGATTTATCTAGTACTTTGACGACAAACGGTTTAAATGTATCACTCTCTCTCGGCCAATTACAAAGAATAAATCTTGCAAGAGCAAAATTGAGGGACACGCCTATTTTGATACTTGACGAAGCATTGAGTGCTTTAGATAATAGTAAAAAGAGTTCTCTATTTACTTCCATTAGACAATGGAGAAAAGGAAAGACCACTATTAATATTACACATGATCTTTCACAGATTTCGGCCAATGATAATGTGATAATTTTAGAGGGAGGTTGTGTATCATACCAGGGCAGACTATGTAAATCTTTAGTTAGTCTGAGACTATCTTACGATTTAGCTACTCGTATCTGCGGGTGTTATGATACTATTAATAGTAGAGTGCCTCTGACTGATGAGGAGGAAGAAGCAAATTTCAGTTTCAATAGTAGAGCTGATGAAGAAATTCTGGGTGTAAAACACGTACTATCTGTTTTCAGTATACTCAAATACTGCCATAATACAATCGAGAACAAGTTAAAGATGATATTCGGCTTATCATTGTCCCTTTTTGGCGGACTCTTGAGCCCTATTTTCTCTTTTTCTTTTTCCAAACTCCTCTCTTATTTGGTTAGCGATACCTTTAAGAAAGGTGAAAATCAGTTAGTGGTATGGTCTTGTGCTACCCTTGGAATATCAGTCCTTGATGGAATATGTTATTTCTTCTCTCATTACATTTTGTCAGTTTCGGCTGAAAGTTGGATCCTCAACATTAGAAAGGAGTCATTTAGAAAAATAAATGAGCAGGACATGCTGTTTTTTGAGTCTAAAACCACTAAACCTTCCCAGTTGACTTCTCTACTTATGAATGATACAAGAGATCTAAGAAATTTGATATCAGAATTTTTGTCTATTACCGTGAATGTATTCAGTATTTTATTAGTGGGAGTTATTTGGGCCATTGTTTCGGGATGGAAGTTAGCTTTGGTGGGTTTAGCTTTTGTTCTTTTAGTAATCATTATTACTTTGGCTTATTCAAAGCTCTCTGAGATATGCGAAAATCACTATAAAACAGCGGTTGCGAATTTGGAGAATTACAACCATCATGCTACGACATGCATAAGGGAAATAATTTCCCTAAACTTACAAGACTATTTCAGAACAAACTTCTACTTATATGTCAATGCGGTCAACACAAAAGGGCTCAAAAGATCCTATTTCACTGGATTAGGACTATCTTTATCCGATCTTTGCAAGGGCTTTGCTACTGGAACTATTTTATTCTATGGTATGGAATTAGTTGCTAAAAAAGAATACAATGAGCCTCAAGTCCTACAGGTTATCACTCTCTTAACATTTTCGCTAGCGGCAGCATCATCTCTTTTGCAGAAATTGCCAGACATCAACAGGGGCCAGAGGGCTGGAACTCACATAATACAGTTATTAAAGCTAGAGTGTTCTGCGGTTGAAAGAGGTGGGCCCATTAGACCTTTCAAGTTAAATCGGAAAGGACTTATATCATATAAGAATGTGAGCTTTAAATATCCGTGGGCAGATAATTTCACCTTACGAAATGTTTCTTTTGAAGTAAATTTGGGAGATTGTGTTGTACTCGCAGGTGAGTCCGGCTCAGGAAAGTCCACAATTATTTCAACCTTAATGAGACTTTATGACTTGAAAAACAGTGATATTTCATTCTCTGGTTGTTCTATCAATGAAATTGATATAGACTGGTATAGAGAAACCTTATGCATCGTCCCTCAGACGGCGAAGTTTTTTGAGGGCTCGGTCCTTGAGAATCTAATATATGGAATCGACCGTTTCAAGGTATCAGAATCCAGAATCATTACTGCGTTGAAGTTAACAAACATGTACTCTTTTTTGTTGGATCATCCCAACGGATTATTTGCTAAAATCGGGGAAGGAGCTAATTCATTATTTTCGACTGGCCAATTGCAAAGATTATCAATTGCGAGGGCCCTAGTTAGAGCTCCTAAAATTTTAGTGTTAGATGAATGCACATCCAACCTCGATTCAATGAATGCAGCTATTATAATGCGTCTAATCAGAAACTTAATCAAGAACACAGGAATTACAATAATTTTGACTACTCATGACGCAGAATTGATGAAGATTGCCTCGAATATAATTGTTCTACAAAAAGGTAATGTAGTAGAGAAAGGAAGTTTTCAAGATTTGTATCATCTTAAAGGAGAACTTTATAGGATAGTAGGTAGATAGGATTCATTAAATAAAAGATCTACTCATTTACTTTAAATCTAAGTATATAAATTAATTAGATTCAGATTTTGACACAGACATAAGGAACTTCGACATCCTCTCCTTGTTCATCATCACAGCAGACTTCGAAAATCAAGTAGTGAACATGTTTAGGAATATCTTTTTTGCTAACTTCTTTAATAAGATCTGTCAATTTCAAACTTAGTCTATCCTTAATCTTTTTTGGAGGGAAAAATGACGCATATAATAGTGAAACACCATATGATAACATTGAGATTTCTAATCCTTCTTTGTTCTTGAAATATTCAAGGAGTTGTTGCAATGTTATATCACCCTCAAGTTCAAACCTATCCCAGATTTGATCAAACGTTTTGTCATTATACTTGCCCTGAGCTGATTTAATTGGCTCAGAAAATCCAATGAAGGGAAGAGCCAAATTGATGAATCCGTTCTTGTAATCCTCAATGTTGTCATCCTTCGCAACAACTTTGTATAATTCTAAACATACCAATCCAGTAACTAAAGCTGTAGTAGTAGCAATGGCTGGGATAATTTTTCCAGCAATGAATTTAGTCTTGTGTGCGTCCGCAGGCTCAATACAATAGTTCAATGCCCTACAATTTGAAGCAGCGGTAATGAACTCAATGTGATGATTCGTATCATCATCTTTTTCAAACTCAATAGGATGCAACCTAAATCCCGCTAAGGTAGTCGGCTCTGGCAACGATGCCGCAATTTTCTTTATTTCATCGTCATCAATACTTCCCGAAAGACCCTTAGCCTGTTCTTCGGCCTCATTATCGGTAGCAGCAATAGTCACACCAGATTTTGGAGAGAACGGTTCTATTGTGACATTGTCTAAAACTTTCTCATAATCCTCGAAAGTGACATTCGGAACTTTCAATCCATAAACATGAGCCAATAAACTTGCAGCTCCAACAACGAATGAAAAATGGTCCTTGTTGTGAATGTCAAACTGAAGAGGTTTCGGTGCTCTTTTAGGTCCAGACCAAAATGGTGCACCGTTAGTTGTCTTAGCATCTTCTGGGAAGTTATACAATAACTGTAATATATCGTGATTAAATTTCTTCTCAAACTCCAACCTAGCCCACTTAATACAATCATCAAAGGAATAGGGGCGATGGTTTAAAAGATCAGAAATATTCTCTAACGTGCCCTTAATGTCAGCAGTTTGCTTTAAGGTTTGCTCCACATAATTTGGTTGACTCAAGTATAAGTTAACTGTTTCTGGAGAATCTGCAAAATACCCTTGAAATAATGATTTTGCCCAAGCAATCGTATGGTCAATTTTGTTTGGAAACGACCTTAAAGTGCATAAGGGAATAGACTTCTCCGGTGGATCTTGAGACGATGAATACGACTCTGTCATATTTGGAACTACAACTTGAGTATTTCCTTTTGTTCCAAGAGTCCCGGATTCTAACAATGGCTTCTTATAAAAGATACAACGACGGTCAACATATGTCCTAGCATCTACATTATCCAAAGCATTGGTCACAAAATCTAAATTTTTCCAAAAGTTGTCATCAAATATGTCCTCTGTCTCTGGACCAACCTTTTCTAGTTTAGCTTCAATTTTGCCCTTTAAATTTGGATTCATTTGCTCGACAGCCCTAGCAGCCACTTCTGATTTGTTTTTTCCAACATCTTTGGGGCGAAACAAAAACTGCCTGTTTAGGTTAGATTTTTCAATAGAATCCATATCAGTAATTATAATTTTGCCATGTGGTCCAGATCCCAATCCCATCATTGCCCAGTTCTTCAACATCTCACATCCAATTGCTCCGGAACCCACTAAAAATACTCGTAAATTTGAAATCACTTTTTGGAATTCGGAGCCAAATACTGCGATTTGAGAGTCATATCTAGTACCCAATGGCTTTGTTGTTTCTTTATTTCTTGGAAACTCATCGGAAGAAGGTAACGATTCTAATGAGTCAAAATATAGCCATTGCTTTACGGGACCGAACTTCGATGAACAATTCTTCAAAACTTCTTGAGCAATAAAGCCTCCAAAGAAAGCAACCATTCCAGGAATATCTCCTCTAGCTTGATATGATAATTCTTCAATTAATTTACCATCTAGTTTCGCATCTCCCAAAATTGAAGTATTTTGAGCTGCAAGTTCGGAAACCAATTTCACCAATTCATTGGCATCTTCCTGATTAAAGGATCTGGGTAATTGACCTTGGTGTCGTGTCTGAAAGGCATGCAAGCCTTGAAAACCTAAATGAAGTTGAGGAGGTCTGTCGAATTTTGAAAAATCAGAGATTACATACTCAGGGTTCGACAATTGCTTTAAAAGTGGCTCAAATGACATCTCTCTCGGCACCTTCACTTGCTGGTACAACCCACCTTTGACGTAAGTTCCATAGCTTTCATCGATCTTAATTTTAAAGGCATAAGGACCTAAGACTTCGATTTTGAAGACTGATCCATCATTTAAAGTGGGCATTCCTTGAACTTCTGAAAACTTCACAAAATCACCATCCTGTAAACCATGTCTATTATCGTCCAACATAGTGACTGTACCATCCTTTTCTATGTCTGAAACGATTCCCGATAATGGCTCCTCTCCGGTTTGATCTATTATTGTGAATGACTTCCCGAAGTCCACAAATAACTGGCCAAACAAACCTCTAATATCAGCATGAATATAACCGATTCCACGTTCGTGAGTAAATTCATTTATTCTAACTTGCTCTTCCAATGAAATGTTAGTAGAGACAATACACTTGAATTGAGATAAATTCGTCTCAGAGAGATCATTTGTGACTGATATTGGGACATATTGATTCAACTCTGCCAATTTTTTAGATGATACATCTGCTCTGGACTTGCCAATATCGTTTTCTTCCAAAAAGAATTGAGTTGATAAATCGCTGATTTCTACTGGATTGGGATCATACAAACTTAAAGACCTAACTCCAGCCAAAGCTACATTCTTCGCTATTTCAATTCCTAAACCTTTCAATCCAATAATGAGTACGTTCGCGTTCAGCATTCTTATCATCGCCTCTTTACCTAAGACATACAACTGCCTTGAGTACAATCCCTCATCTATAGATTTTTGAGGAGGTGAGTCAACTTGCATACTATCTGACATCTTGATAATCTCGTCTAATTAATTCAAAATCCAGTTATTCGAATGTGATATAGCTCTCAGGATGGCAATTACTAAAGTGCAACTGAGAATCTTTCATCAAAAAACTTATATGCAGGTATTTGGTTCATTTGCTCTTTCCATAGAATTTACAAAGTTTTGCATAGAAGAGAGAACAAGAGGTTCTATAACCACTAGTTGGAAACAAATAGTACAAGCTCATCCACAGCATCTGTTATCACGGTAACTTCGATCACCTATAAAGTCACATGCTCCCATATTTTTTTTTTCAGCTACAAGCTGGAAAAGAAAATAAGTCTTCATCGATATCATCCTCCTTGAAATACTTTAAATTAACTTTTGATTTGCATTCATTAGCTACTTCTCTGAGACATTTAGGACTTCATGAGACAAAAATCCTACATGTCTCGACAATAGGAATCTCTATATGCAATGTCACGTGCCTCAGCTGACACTAACTAACTTTTGACGCATTGAACGATCTTCAAATGCCGAGGAACTTAAGTGTGGGAGAATCTGTAAGCAGGAACTCTTCTTCGAGAGTCTATCAAACTGCGAGTGACTGTAGTGTTAAATGCGTGCACTATAAAGCATGCACTCCTTCAGTGAACATGCATACTGCAAGCCCCAGATAGGAAGCAATCTTGGAGAAATGTCGTAGACCAATGTATAGTGAAATTTCAAGGCGGGGTAGTGGAGATGGATGCTTGAATATTTCTTCACCCCCATTTTCCCCCCACAAATAAGTTTTACTGTTATATGCTTGCCAAAAATTTAAAATGCATCTATATTGAGTGCAACAAGACATACTTTCGTAAGCAACTTTCGACAAGGTAAACTTTTTGGCTTGAAAATATCAGTAGGACCTCTTAAACCGAGAAGTATAATCAAATTTAGCTTTAGTCTATAAAATCATTCTTTGCTAACATTGATCCTAGTGGCTGGCCAGATCTCCGGCCAGATCTCCGGCCAGATCACTGCTCTAGACCACAGTTTCAATATACGTGCACCTAGAAAGCCGCGAGAATCTGCATCGTATCAATTCTCAAAAGTACAAGGAATAATTCGGATTTGGGATTGAAGTAGGCAACGTTGGATAGCTCTCTTCCATTCGCCACAAGTAAATTTCTCAGTCCGTTCAAAGTGCATGACACTTCCTCTCAGGGTACCAACCATGCTCTTACGATTTAGAATTTAGAACACATCTTTAAGAGTATCTTGGCCACCCCCGCAGCAAGCGATGCAGGAATCAACAGAGAATGAGAACACGAATACTAAGAGTAATGCCATCCAAACTAACAGGTTGACCAATCTATAGTTAGTACTTATCAAAATGTGAGACACAATGTTTGGGCCAAACTACTTATTACTATAGAAGAAGATCTCATATTGCGAAAAGATATTACTGACGGCTGAAATAAGAATTAAAATCGAGAAGTGCTAAAATGAGTACTCGAGTCATAAAATTCTTTTTCGGACCAGAATAGTAGCTCACTTTAACAACACTTTTAAGGCTCAATAGAATTTTATGTCGTTTTCTGCAATCTTTAAGGTTAGATGCATCAATGGCTTGTTCAGAACAGGTAGTGTCAGTTAAGATTGGCGTATTATGCCTCGTCAAGGCTGCAGGTCATGGGAACTCCCGCTTGGTTCTCGGACTGCACGACATTTTGGACACGACTAGTCCAAGAAAGCGACTATTGTTCTTCTCGTATCAATTGTGGACAAAGGCGGATCATATTGTTCTGTACAACTCTTCGCGGGCAACGGATAAGAGTCGTAAATTTTTACGGATGTCGTATAAAAGAAATTATGAGCTAGGGAGTTCGCCAGGATCCTAGTTACTATTTTCGTATATATAGTGTTGAGTTGTAAGCTAACTTTACTCCAAAGATAGCAGTTCGGTCTAAAAGTTTTATAGTGTCCACAAAAATCAAATCAATAATTGATCCAGTGGTTGTGAAAGCGTTCCGTTGTAATAGGGATATATTAACTTCCTAAGTCTCTTATTGTATATTTACTTGTGACCTCTTCGGTCCATCATTTTAAAAATCCGATTCTGAGTGACTTGTCATGGCCTTAGCCATGGACTTTGAAGAAAACTGGACGGCTATATACCAAGGAGAGAAGCTTGCACCAGGAAAGCAGTATCTCATGACGCATGCTCTGCAATTAGGGCAACAGACTCAACCAACAGAGTACTATCTGCAGCTTCAAGGTCTTCATCAACCTGAGCAGCAAATCAGACCACACTCTCAGCAGCTGCTGGGAGTTGTTAATGGTAAGGGCTTTGGACAGAATAAGTTTTATGGACCTTCTATGCTTGTTCAACAATCGTCGTATGTTCAAGTTCCAGCCAGATCCCCTTATGCTGTGAAGCAAACTGTTCTTTATCCACTTCAACAGCTGTCCTACGACATGATTTCCCCAACTAACTACATGCTTGTGCCAAACTCTAACCTTAGACCTCCGCAGAGCAACACTAAGATTTCCCCTTTTGATGCACTGTCTCCAAATCAAGAGCAGATTTTACCCAACTTCTGTGAGAGATTGCAAGGCATCTTACCGGCTCCACCATTGTCTACGGCACCAATAAAAGAGGATGTAAATATGAACATAAACCAGAAAAGAGCAAAAAGAAAATCGAAGTTCACTAAAAAACAGGACGAAATGATTGTTGAATTGAAGAAGAAATGCAGGTCTTGGGTTGAAATCGCTGAATTGACGGGAGTCGGCTCATATTTAGCTGCAAGAAATAGATATCAAGTCATTGTTGGCCAACAAGGAAATAATAATTCTTCTTCATGGTGCAATGAGGACGGGAAAGTCTTGAGACAGATCGTTGATGATGCAGAAATTTCGAAGTGGAAATTCATTGCAATTGAGTTAAGCAAGGCCACTGAAAAAGAATTCACTGATAAAGAATGTAGAGAAATTATAAAGGATTTAGTTTGGCAAGATCCTTCCAGCTTTGGCCTTTCCGAACGTACATTCGAGGAATGCATTAGGGAAAAGGCTATCACCGAGAGGGCAAATGAGCAAAATGTACAAGCCATGAATGAGGAAAAATATGCCGAGAGGTTACTAGACTACGCTGATAGGACAAGGATGACTTTCACTTCCTCGGATTCGCAAAGCTATTATAGCAATGACAGTAGCGCTAGTCAGGATGATTATCGCTCATCTACTGAGCCTCTTGATAATGATCATTATTCAAAAACTTTTCTATAGGAGATGTTCATGGCCCTTTTTGCTAGCATTACGATTAAAACTTTTAGGAGATCCTTAGATTTTCAAATTAATGGTGAATGATGTATTTTAATGTTAATTCAATTCAGTTTACTCGGTCCGGGTGAACTATTTATTCAGTTCTTAAACAATTTAAAATTTAAAGTTAAATAGGACTATTTGCGATTTAGTTTAGATACAAGGTTATGGTGTTGGTAGAGTTTGATTTTCGAACCTTTTATTGTATACTTATTAGTAGAACGAAACAATTACTGTATCAGATTCATTTTCTTCAATTTTTCCTCGACTACATTAATCTTATCTTGTGGTGATTGTGACTTATCGATTCTAGTACCGATTCTAATATCACTTTGAATTCTAACGACTCCATTTTTGTGTAGTAACTGATGCATTTGTCCGATCAAATCCGTAACTTCATTCCACGGACCCTCTATTGTCGTTCCAGCGCTATGCAAAGTACATTTTAAATGCGAATTTCTTGCTAGATTTGTGATCAATGCTACTTCGTTGGACACAGACGGTGTCCCAGTCCCAATCTGTTATTTATATGTTAGTCCTTGTATATTGATCCGAGAATTGTATACTTCAAGAAGTGGCCTTATAACTTACTGGAATTAAACAAACATCTGCTAAACATTTTAAAGTCACAACCATATTTTCAAGTTTCAATCTTATAATCCTTGACTTTGTTGTTAAAAATCAATATATCAGAAAAAGATTTTACACGATTTATTGCTCTGATACGTAAAATATTGGAATCTCGAATGAGTATTCTAACTTTCCAATGCATCAGGTGACTAAATCATTATTGCGCAAACTACACATTGCCTCTTATTAGCTATAAACCGTCCCACACTAACAATAGCCTTATATACTCGCGGAGTCCACCATGATAGCATACTAATTACCCTCGTTGAAATATGATATTATAATGCTAAAAGTCAGGATAGAAATGCTAGGTGTTCCTGGCGAGTGAGAAATTAGGATAATGAAACAAGAAATAAAATTATGAAGAGATCAAATATTCTCAAAAGGGCCCCACAAGTATTAAAGTAAACAATTTTCTTCAAAAATCAAGGTTAATTTTCAATGAAATGGTCGAAAAGACCTAGTAGTACGTTAGAAAGACAGTTTGGATTCATTCACTTTCTTTTGTTAAGCATTTTTAAGGGCAATTTCGACACTTTTTTTAAAGATTCACTCGGATCAAAATCGCTATTACTATCATCAAAATTCTTAGTCAATTCAGAAACCGGCTTTTCGTTGGAAATTTTCAACGCTGATATCGATTCTATGTTTTTTTCATTTCTTTTTATCAATTTATTATTTTTGGGTCCGGTAGGTGCTACCGTAATAATCGGCTCGAAAACTCTTGTTGGTAATCGCTCCTCTCTATCTTCCCATGGGAATATAGAGGTTGCCCTCACCTCAGGTGTGGCAGGCTTTATTTCACTAACCCCAGGATCGTCCCAAACGCTTTGTGTTTTCTCGAAACTCAATCTGAAAGCCTCACCTCTCTCATGAGACAATATTTTTGCCCTCACAGCAGGATCTGGGTAGAATTTATTGAAATTTTCCCACCACAAATTACTGTAATCATTTGTGGTATAAGAACTCAACTTCCAAGGTTTCAAACTACCAATGTAATGCAAAATATAAACATCACCGAAGAAACGCATAAAAGCAGGCACATATTGGTATGAGGCGGTAGGGGTAACGTTATATAAAAACGGGAGTCTTATCCAATTTGAACTGCCCGACGATACGTTGAAAAATTCGTTGAGAAGGCCTTGATCCGCACCGTCAAAGGTAGAGTTTTCATTCTTACTAAAATCAAGGAGCTTTGCGAAAGTTTTAGCATCCGGCTTAAGTAATAGGACCCCTGAATTAAAGATGTCGGGCCAGCCCGAATCAGGACTTGCTGCTACCTGGTGACTCTTCATTGACTCGTGCTTCTCAAACAAATGATCTAAATTTTTAAGAGGAAGCGCGTCACTATCAATGTATAATAGGGAATCATAATTGGTCTGATTCCATAACAATAACTTATTAAATGTAACAGATAACTCCTCTCTGCCTAACTTGTGAACCAGCCCATTTCCAGGTCCGGAGACTTCTATATCATCTATTGGAATTATATCATCATATACCTCCTCAATTAGTTCAATGGATTTTGGGGAGAAAGCTGCAGTATTTAATAAAATCGCAAGTCTGTGTTTTGTTTTGTGATCTCTCTTTAATTTCATACCAAGAGTTAATGTACCTGGTAAGTAAGACTCATTAGTCAACAAAGTGATATATGATGATGGCCGTGGTGTCATCTTTTCTAGAACTAGTTATAAGATTCCACGTACCTAGATATTTAAATAGAGGTGTAATTTAGTTTTACATGGGTTTTGTTATCAAATTGAGATCGTTCGCATTTATCAAGTTTGTGACAATATCCTTTTCGCTCAAAACGCTATATTCAGGAAGAGAGTAATTAAAAACAATAGGCTTATCTAAGAATAAATGATTAGCGTGATATTGACTAACGTGATTCTTCCTCTTAGTAAGGTCTTCGTGTAGAGTCAATCCAGAACAACATAGTTGTCTAAGGACGCTGAGTAGCCGCACCATTCGACTTTAAATCTTGCTGAGACTGGGATTGATTGTTGGGCTGGGGAGGCAAAGGATTAGATTGTCTGTTTGGATTATTGGCATTCTCTTTTAAGGCAATTAATTGCTTCGATCTGAATGTCTCATAATGTGTAAGAGCTGTAGTCTCAATTAAGTCTTGTAAATGAGTTCTCGTTAAGAAATCTCTCAAAAACACAAACTCGCACTGCGAGACATCCTCAACATTTATAGTACCCCATTGTGTCTGTCTTCCCCTGAATGTTTCACCATTGATTTGGATCTCTTTTTCAGATCCAGCGATAGCGAAAGGAATCAAAGATTTAATATCTGCATTCAATTGCCTTTCATCGTCATACAACTCTTCACTATCATATGGATAAATATTGAAGTTGTATTTAATAAACTCATTTTGCAAATTCTTTTTTAATTGTGACCTTTCTTCAAGGGTTAAGGAATCTGCCTTAGCAATAATTGGTACAATATTTGCAATTTCCGACAACTTTTTGAGTGCCTGAATATCTAAAGGCTTCAATTTATTGACATGCGGTGAGATGAAGTATAGTATACAATGGACTCTGGTATCCGGTATGTGCTTCTCCCTTTGAGCAGTCAATTCCTTTCTCAAGTATTGAGAATGTTGTTCTTTTATATATTTCACTAAAGGTTCCCAGCACTTTTCATTGTTTATTTGATCGCCAAACCCCGGCGTATCGATAACGTTGATATTCAATCTCACATTATTTTCAGACAAGACATGCGAACTAACTTTAATCTCAGTTGTTTTTTCAATCGGCTCTTCACTAGATTTCCTGCCATTCGATTGTACCAAGCCCGATGAAAACAACGTATTCACTAAGGTACTCTTTCCTAAGCCTGATCTTCCTACAACCATGATATTAAACTGAAAGCCTCTCTTTAACAAGCGATTCTCAATCTGTGTTGTTACGGTATCGAAACCGACATATCTCTTAGGATGAATAATATTCTCTTCATTGTGTAAGACTGACATTTTATGTATCCGCCGATATCTACCAGTTGCAAAATGATTTCTTAATGTCCAACTATTGAACGGTATTGATATAATTTATTGTTGTGCTGTTCTTTAAGTGGTCTTATGGACGGACGCGTTTACAAAAACGAAAGTTTTGATGAAAACCAAGTTTGTGGTTACTGTACGACATTATATATGCAGGATTTGGTGTTGAAATCATCCGGCAGGTTTTTTTTTTTGTTCATATTTGCAAGTTAAAGATTAAGACAGATTCTAGCAAAAAAAGGTTGTCATGATTGTGGCGCACATAGTTCCAGGACCCACCACCATTAGGTCAATATTACTATCCGCTGGGTTAGTGAATCCAGCAGTTTGGAGTATTCCTTTGAGGATTCCAGCTGTTCATCTAACATTTCCGAACCCATTCAGTGGAGAACTGAAAAAAGAAGAGCAAACTCTCGATCCACGACTCGAGCAGCTAAGACAAGATATAGAATCGAGTGGCGAGATACCTTTCATAATCGATAACGGCACTATAGTAAAGGCGGTTCCCAAGAAAAAAGTTTCATATCGAAACACTAGAACTAAATTATATGCTCCTGGTGAAAAGCAGATTAAGCATTTAAACAATTTGGTAAGATGTCCTGCCTGTGGCCATACAAAGAGGTCTCATTTCTTATGCATGCACTGTTTTGCTGAAATAAGATCTTTCCTCAAATCAAAGAAAAGAGAGGGTCAACATACCGAAACTGATCCCCAATCTGATTTAGACCCAATCGACGAAAGGATTTTGTATCCTGGAAAGAGGTTGTCTGAATATGAAAGAAGACTAAAATCTAAAGATTGGATTCCTGTGAGAGAGAAACCTTTGGTGTATAATCGTGATCAGTTGAAGAAACCACTTGATTAGAGCATAACTTTTTCTTTCCGAATTTCTACGTTCTTGTATATACTATAATGAGATGTGTCGACTATTTTCTTTAATAATGTATACTGATCTCAATTTTAAATGGAGAGAATAAAATGATGGTTGTATCTTCTTAGATCTGTTGCTTATAGATTGCAAGGGAAGAAGAAAAAAAATTTTAGAAAAGAAAAATTTGACTTATATGTGAATAAATATTTTTTCAATAATCCAAATAGTTGTTTGATGACCCTGAAAGTCTCCTATGACGTTGAAAATATGACAAATAAATCAAGCATGACTATAAAAGCAAATGTAGAGGACCTTCTCAATCTGAAAAAAAGGAGAAAGAATAACTCACTACTGAGGGAGATCTCTTTGCGATCGGTTAGTAGTAGACATCCCTTGAATGTGAAGCCCGAAGGAAATCTCTTATTGAATGAATACAATTCAGTAATCGAAGGAGAAAGGAAGAAACAGATGGGTGTATTTTTTCGATTTGAAGACGATCTTTTAATGGACATTATGTCTTATATAAAAAATGTGGAAGATTTAAAAAACCTCTCCCACACGTCAAGGTTTATGTATGCATACTTGTACGACGAAGACCTCTGGAAAATGAAATACATATCACAATACTTTTCATCTGGTCGAGGCCCAGTAAAATCACGTCCTTGGAAGGGATCATGGAGAAGTACTATGTTGGGGATAGCCGAACAGGAGCAAGCGAAACTCCAGGTAGCAGAGAATATATTATGCTCTGATGTCCTTTATAGACCCTTTCAGTGCTCTCAAATTGAGTATCCGAATTTATTTGCAGATATTATACATGAAGAAGACATAAATAGAAAGCAACAAAATAGAGACTTAGTGAGCAGCAACCCTTTACATCTGCAAAAAATTCCTCGGTTGAGCGAAGAGGCTTTAAGCATGCAACTATTCATAGAAAGATGGCATGGTGAGCCTTTTATATTAAATAGTTCATCTGATGAGAGATGGCCAAATTGGAATATCGAGTATCTTCTTAAAAGGTTTCCAGAGGTACCATTTCGACAAGAAGCAGTTGAATGGAACTTATCTTCTTACGTCGAATACTTGAAATCCAACCAAGATGAAAGCCCTTTGTACTTATTTGATTGTAATAGTATTGCCATGAAAAATTTGAAGACTGAATATATTCCCCCCAAAATATTCCAATATGATCTTTTTAGTGTCTTTGAGCAAGAGTCAATTAACTGTCGTCCAGATCATGCGTGGTTAATTGTTGGTCCCGAGAGATCTGGTTCGACTTTTCATAAGGATCCAAATAATACGTCTGCTTGGAATACTACTCTCAGTGGACGAAAACTTTGGGTTATGCTCCCCCCAGGAATCACGCCTCCTGGAGTTTCTACTGATAAAGATGAAGGCGAAGTAACGTCACCAGTAGGAATAGCTGAGTGGGTGCTCTCTGGTTTTTTCAATGATTGTCTCAGAATACAAGAGTGTAAAATAGGTGTAACGTTTCCTGGAGAGTGCTTATATGTTCCATCTAATTGGTGGCATTTAGTGATCAATTTAGATAACTCTGTGGCTGTTACGCAAAATTTTGTCCCATTGCCGACGCTTACTAAAACTTTAGAATTTTTCAAGTCTAAAGGAGAACAGGTAAGTGGGTTTCGCCCAAAGGAAGTGAAGGATGCATTAGAACATATAATAAAACAAGCATTGGTTGAAGATAATGAAATTATCAAGTTTAAAGAATACTGTCATATGTTCAATGCTTTAAAGTTAGATCCTTACCTCCAGAGTGAAGACTGTGGTGAACTTACACAATTACCTCAAATACCGATCTATGAACTCTTCAAAAAATTATTGGTACAAAATGGATATCTGAAAGAATTGTCAGCAAGCTTAGAAAATATTCTAAATGATAATACGCAGAGTAGAGCTACTACGGGTCATAATAAGCTTTGGAAGAAATTGACTACGGATCGAGATAACAAGAAAAATTCATTTTCTTTTGATTTCAACGTTAATGAAGAACCAGATGCACAAGTATCATAGTCATATATCACATGTTTTTATTTTGTGTAATTATCTCTGTACGCATAATTATTGTAATGAAATCACTTGGTCATTAACGTTTACATTGGTTGAAAGAGTTCTAATTCCCAATTTAATGCTCTATAGAAGCTTATTTAGAATAATTAATAGACATTCAATCCCAGAAGTATACAAACGGACATTTTTCAAAAGTATGACAAACGAGAAAACTGAAAATCCTATAATTTTTGCTCCGAAGACTTACCAATATGATAAGGGTCATTTGAGTGAAGAAGAAGTAGGAGCGGATCCTATTGAACAGTTTCATAGATGGTTTGATGAGGCTCAGAAATACAAACCCGAAGGCTCGCTGTTTATTCCAGAGTCTGTTACATTCTCGACAGCAAGATTACCTTCCGGCAGGGTATCCTCCCGTATTGTGTTATTCAAAGAGTTAGATGCTAAAGGATTTATAGTTTATTCAAACTGGGATAAATCGAAGAAGTCAGAAGATTTCAAATCCAATAAATATGCATCTTTAACGTTTTTTTGGCCCTATCTTCAAAGGCAAGTCAGGGTGGAAGGTGTAATGGAAAAAGTAACGAGAGAAACTTCGGAAAGGTATTTCAAGACTAGGCCAAGAGGGTCGAAGATCGGAGCCTGGTCATCTCCACAGTCGCAGAAAATAAGCAACAGGGAAGACTTAAATAGCTTATGTTCCGAATATGAACGAAAGTTTAAAGATTTGAAAGATGATGAGATTCCATGCCCTGAATATTGGGGTGGAGTTCGTATTGTTCCATTAGAAATTGAATTTTGGCAAGGTGGGTTAAATAGACTACATGATAGACTTACATTTAGAAGAGAAAATATCGAGAATGGTAAATGGGACCTTTCACGCCTTGCCCCATAAATACTGATTGAGTATGATATTAATTTAAAAATACCCTATGAATAGATCTCTTGAATATATGTGTCCATCTTTTGTCTTGTATGAACCGAAAAGTGAAAAGATAATCTTATTTTACTCGTAAAGCGTTTGGCACAACTTTTACATTTGAATAATGGTAATGGATTTAGTTGCTTGATCTTCAACTTTTTGAGTCTCTCGTAGATACTCTCCAAGCTGATGTCCTCATCTTTGTGCATTTCGCAACTTTCATCTCTGCTTTCATCTGTCTTAAGTTTCATCATGTGCATCTTCAAATGCAACATATATATGTTACAGTCATCGAAAACTCTAGTACACAGAGGACAGGAGAAAATAGCACCAAGGACAGAATTACCATCACGAAAGAGTCTTCTTCTATCAAAAGTAGTGCAATCGCTGTAGTCGTAGTCAACTTTGGTGAAATGTAAGGGAATATCTTTACTTGTTGACGAATTCGGAATATGTTCTATAATTCCAGATGCCAGATCAGATTTATGAAGAGTAGTAGAGCCGGAAGATCTTAATTCTTCAATCTTTGGTTCTAAAATTGAGTCCGATGAGCCCAACTCGCCAAACGAGCTTCCACTAAAGTCAAGTATCTCGTCGTCAAAGACAGACTCATTGAGACTTTCGTTATTTTGGTAGATATAGCTATGATTCATGTTACCACCTTCCAAAAATTGACTTTCTAAGTTCATTTTTAGTTTATTAGAGTTTCATTATTGCAAAATATTTAAAGGAACAATAACCTCGATCAAAACGTTTTTGCAGCATCTTATGTATTACATTTCTTTATATCAAGCATAATTAAAGAGTTACGAAAACGTTCAGTACGCATTATATGAAGGGCAGATCAGTGATGGTAGGTTGTGATTAATGAATGGCTACAATTACGTAATGATGAGGAATATCGAAATCAGAGCTTTATGATCATGTATTCAAAAGTATAAATTTAACCTTGAAAGACGACTAAGATTACTTGAATCTGGATACGATCTCGTAGAAAGATTTTCCTTGAGTTGTGGCAATTCTTTTTTCCAAATCTGTTGGTTGTCTAGAACCATCCCCAGCTGAAAAAGTTCCGGCACCCCATGGAGAAGATCCGTGAACCTCTTCCAAGTTTTGCAAGTCTGTAGACGCGTAACCCAATGGTACGAATATAATACCATGGTGAACTAATACAGATAAAGAGTTCATAACTGTTGCTTCTTGTCCACCACCTGGAGTCCCAGTGGAAACAAATACACCTGCAAACTTACCTCTTAAAGCGCCTTTAGCCCATAATCCGCCTGTACTATCCCAAAAAGCTTTGAATTGAGCCGGGAAGTTACCGTATCTTGTTGGAATACCGAACAAGAATGCATCATACTCTACCAAGGTCTCCGGACTAGCAATTGGATAATCTGGCTTTGGAGGTGCATGCATCTTTTGTAATACTTCATCGCTTAAAGTCTCTGGAACCTGATAAATTACGGCCTCCCCTCCAGCTTCCTCAACTCCTTTTTTAACATTCTCAGCCATTGTGGCCACATGGTGGTACATGGAGTAGATAATAATTGCAACTTTTTGAACCATATTGAATTTAATATATTAGATGTGTTGAACGTAATAATTGTGAGAGTTTCGCTACTCTGCTCTTGGACCCGATATTTATGCTCCCAAGGTTTAGCACTTTACAAACATCTTACTAAATTTGAAAGTGGCGTGCGTGTCAGTTTTACTAAGAATTTACAGATGAAGCATGCGCAGAACAATTCATTAATCTTACCAAAAATCATGATTGATTATAAATGCTTTTGAAATTTTCTCGTATGTAAACATCTAGTGAAGGGTTGTTATTGCTACTTGGAATAAATCATTAAGAAAATGAAATACCTTCTTATCAATGTCTATAAGATGTTAATTAATAAGCTAAATTTGAGCTGAAAGATAAGTTTTTGAGAAGTGAAAGCAGATATAAGAATTATATGTGACTCTTAGAATTAATATTCGATCTCTTCATATGCAATATTCTCATGTTATCAAGTGGGACAACAATTCGTCAATTAATTACCCTGGTACATATACCAGTAATAGTTTAGATAATTTAAGGTTAGTTAATGACACTTTGTGATTAAATTTAAGTACTTACCAAAGTATGTGAGCCCCAAAGTCATCACTTTGAACAATTGGTGTTATTCGATGGAAGAATCACGCGATACCAGCTCATTCGCAAAAACTGTTCACAGAATATTAATAAGGTAGTTTCTAGAACTGTCCTCTAACATACATTACATTGAAACATATTGGATCAATCCTCAAGGGATAGCCTAGAGGGCCAGTCAAAGAAAAAAGAGCTAGAGACATTAAAGTTAACATGAGTGGCTTTTCGAATATAAATTCTTCTTTTCACTCTAGAGAAAAAAAAAGCCACTTAAAAGAAAACAGTGTAGATAGATGACTGCTAACTATCTTTTAATGGCAGGAGCTTTGTATCACCTATGGGTTAAACGTTTATGCAGTTTTCTTTCATCATTGAAAATACAGAATCTGAACATCGAATCGAACTCTTGCCTATCATTCTAACCCAATTATGCCGGAAAATTGCAAGATTGCATAAGCCTGAACCCAAGGTTCCTTTTGTAGCCAGTTTGCTTTTCTAATTCGGTTAATGTAATTCATTCGAATACGCATTGGCAAGATCGTCATCGACCAATTCAGTTAGATTCCATCAATTTCTCCGTGAAGAACCCTTCAAAAGGCATACGAAACGCCTGCCGCGTAAACTAAGGATGGTGTCAAGGATTGTAAATCTGATGTCAACTAAAGCCAATGAAACGTAGCACTCTTTTCCAGAAATCCTTTATAAACATCAGCGCACAGCTAGCGACATGATTAGAATCATCACGAAACTTTTCGTTAACACTCAAGTTATTAAAAGAGACATTCAGAAGAATGTAGCTGAGAAATTGGGGCCCACTGAAAAAAAGCTGGAGTTCGTCGTCTCACGTTTAAAGATGTTTAAATATTGCGCGACGCTTGTTTACTACTGCATGGAAGAGCTGCACTATCTCTTTATAAACTATTGTCAAAACAAAGCAGTAATGCTTTAATGAGGACAGCAAAAGAGCAGTTAAGCAGTTGTCGTCTCTTAGACGCTTATGGTGATACTGGGTCAGTTATAGCAAATGAAATTCGAGATCCTGGATTAAGAATGGTAAACTTATTACAGTACAAGGAGAGATTCGAAGCAGAGCATTCAAATACTTCCGTCAATAATCAAAAGCGTAAAAGCGCACATCTGAATCAAAATTATGGGCTGAGAGATCTGGAAACTGCTTATGGTCCCTTGCAATGGGGGCTTTCGGTTTCAAATTTTGTAAATTCTCCTAATAGAAATATGATCACTTCGGGTCCCAGGAGAACTTCTAGTTTCAAGGCAAAAAGGATAATTTCTTCTATGGTAGAGGTAGGGCAATCCGATGCTTTTAAAGATCCCCTAAATCTACTTAGTGAAAGGCTGTGGGGCAAAGTGTCTCAAGGGAGATCTGCGGGCGATACCGCTGAAAAAATTCATAGTGTACCACCGAACCATCAAGAAATTGATCTATTAGACACAGGAGAAATTGATCTTGATGGTTACGTTTCTAATGTAGATCATGAATCTGATGTTTTAGATGACAGCCAAAGTGAACCCGAAATATTAATTAACTCCGATTTGGTTCCTAGCAGCAGATCTCATTTGAATGACGAAACGAAAAGTTCAGATATAAAATCTGATAGTATTCAATTCGAGAGACTTATTCAAGGTAATCGCATAACGTGCGTTCGTAGTGAAAATGTGACTTACAATGAGAACGATAGAATATTACCGGTAGATGAAAAGAAATATCGTTTCCCACTCTTGGATCCAAACTCGCGATTTGAGCATAATGGACACCCCAATAAATCTATCGGAAACAATCCAATTTTGCCTCCAGCTCCCCATCTCCAAGACAAGTGCCCCAAGGATGGAAATTCGAAGGAGAATGACTATTGGGCTGAAGAAAAAAGTACTGAGTATATTAAAAAGGACATGAATCGATATAGTGATATGAATGATCTCAGGGAAGACAATAAACGAAAAAGGAAAGCATCATTGGGAGAAATCTGTTCCAAAACTAATAGAAATAAGCTTCCTCTCAGGGTAGGATTATCACGAAGGAACAAAGTGGAGCCATTGCATGATTATTTAAAAAAATAATCCATTATAATAAATCGTTAAAATAATAATATTCTATCTTATACATTATATAAAATATCATCTATAGTGATTCGCATGCATGTGCCCTAAGCCTTGGGCTGAAAGCAAACTTGGATAAGTGAATTCGTAGCAAAAGTGTCATTTTATGTTCAAGGGCTGGGTTTATCTTCACTAGATTCATCGCTTTCCAAAACTTTTGGGTCCTCATCGATCCCTTGATCTTCACTTTTAGCATCTAGCTTTGCTTGACTGTACTGATTTAATCCGTCGTAGAAATTAGACCATAACCTCCCTATATCATCAAATTCTTTACCAACTTGGATTGATGAGCTCAATGATCTATTTAAAATGTCCAAATTATAGACAACAGAATCTATAGAATTACTTATCTCTTGTAGCAAGAGATCCCTTTGTTTTTCAAAGTAGGTGCTTGATTCTTGTTTCGACATTGTTTCCACCTTTCTCGTACAAATACAATTATGCTAGACTTAAGGTGTAGATTTGTTATGATAACATACGATTCCATAGGTGTAAATGCTATCACAAGCTGAATTCGCGCATAAAAAGCGCTTTAAGATTTTTTTCTACAGTTTCTTACTTCTTCCTATGCTAAAATTAACCGGGACACTTGCATTGAGCGGTCATGCTGGTAAATCTCCAATGGAGGGATTTACCCTAGTGTGGACGTACTCTCTAACCCGGGAGATCTAATTGAGTATGAAGTTCGGCTGTGATTGATTAAAGAAGTGAAATCTCGACTTTACGCATACTCAAACATTTTACTGCTGAGGCAATTTGATGTAGTTTGCTACGGGGAATACCTGTTTCGACCTCTCGAGATAATACTATGTCTTGCTCTTTCCATACATTTTGAAATTCTACTGCTTAGTTTGAACAGATAAAGTATTACAGGCAAAATATTCCTTTCCTTATAACATAATATACAACATGGTAAGTAATAATAAACAGGCAAAGGTGATTGAAAATAAAATCACAGGAAAGATTAGGCTAACAATTTTAAGAAATAGAAAAAAAAATAATTACTGAAAACTTCCTTATGAACATACCCAATGTTCTTTTATGTACCCTGAGATGTCAATACTAATCTTTCTGCCGAGACCTTCAACCCTCTTGCCTTTTTTTAACTTCTCTCCACCTAACACTTAGGACCCAAACAAAATGAGACCGGAGAAGGATTCTTTCCAAGCTTCTTTTTGTCAGAGGTGTTGAAACCAGAACATTTACGCTTTAATGAGCAACGACGAACGTAATCTTTCTTTTCATCAAAGTTAGTATATGATTGGCCACCACATTGAGCGCTTGAGGTGATTGACACACCAGAACTGTTTGAAGAACCAGATTTCTTCTTGTTGAGACCAAGTAGAGACATGAGCAAACTTTGTTTTCTTTTCAGTGTTTCTTAACTCAGTAAAACATATTACCCCCAGGTAACACTTCAATTATACTAGAAAATTAGAATGTAAAAATTCGAGTTGTTGCTCTTACTAACACTAATAATATCTAACGGTGCAGATAGTCTTGCCCGCGTCTCCAACGTGTTTTGACGGTGTAGTTTGCTAACGTGTTAACGCCTAACGTTTCAACGTTCCAACGAAATGCTAGTGCTCGCTACTATATGGATAATTAACAAATATAAGCTCTGTTATGTTGGGAACTACATTCTACAATTTTTGGGAGCCTCAATGTTATATATGGTTGTAAATTTTCTTCCCTGTATAAAAATTTTTTTCGTCATTTTCCTCTTTCATTTGTGTGCACTTTCACGGTTTACTCAAAATGTAAAACATTGTAATGTGATTCCAACCCCGACAATGAAGCGGCTGGTTATTTGTATCAATATGATAGGGGCTTTGAGATATGTACCATGATCGCTAGGTTCCTCGAGTGTCTTGTCTCTAAGATGTAAGCGTTAATTAAGTACCTCTTGCCAACATTTGGACATCACTTTCCCGTACGTCCCCTTCCCCATTTTCGTGCACTGGGAACCATTTTACTCGGATGGTAGACAGTCCTCTCAATAATTTTTTTAAAATATCCATGTCGTTCTGTCTTTCATGACACAAATTCGAAAAATCCCGCATTAAATTATGATCATCGCGGGCAGTACTCTTATGTGGTTGGGTCGACTAATTGGCCGATCCAGTAGTAAATTTTATCCCAGATACAGTAATCATAAGACTGCGGTATTTTTGTTGCTTGTGAGCAGCAACTGTAGCATTTGGATGACGACCGCCGCAAATAGTCTCCTAAAGCGTATTCACAGTGCAATTATGGTGACAAGATCGGAGTTCGGCTCCACTTTGGGCAGTACCTTACCTAAAGAGGATCTGGTATGTGCAGAGGGGATTACAAGAATATAGGGACATTATTTTCTTTTTACTTAGCATATGTAAAAGTAACACGGTTATATGCCAGATGTAACTGACAGTAAAATACTGAAATGATGTTGCTGCGAGACACAGACAAAACCGTTCTAATCGTGTTTCAGTCTGATCTACATTTACATACAGTACAATTATGATATGTCTTAGACTGCTACTATTATACAATGCAATTATCAATCCGAAATTCCATCGTCAGACGAAGGATTGTCGGGATATTCTATATCAAATGGGTCATCAGAGCCATCTTCCATTCCTTCCAAGTCGTTCTCTGAATTGAAATTTCTTCTTGTGTTACCATCTTTAGATAACTCTTCCTTATATGAATCGAGCCACACATTCGGTACCATATATTTATCTTTGTTTTCATTAATTATTTTCTCTGCTTCTCTGGTATATTCTTGCTCACTCAAAATTAAGAATATAGTTTTCAAATAAAAAATTATCGATTTGAGACCTCTGAGATACCCCATATCTGGCATATTTGAATGCTTAGGGGGGACGGTGGTGGCTCTGGGTAACATGTCCTCTGCTATTACAGACTGTGCGAAGTCAATTATTCTTACCTTTATATCTCCAATTTTTGTTCCCAACGCATCATACATGAGTAAGATAGATGATCCATACATCCTATAACCTTTCAAAGTAGAGAATATACCTAATAGCTCTTCTACTTGCTGTATCAAAGTAGGCAACTTAACCAAAATTGAATAAATTGTGCGTCCATCGTAAATAAACTTCGCAAGAACTTTACAAAATTCCTTTCCTTTCTTCACTCGTCTTCCGAAGTATTTATCCTTGACAAAATATGCTTGTTTCGCACGATTGTAAACCTGAAGACCACATATCCTAACTCCTAACTCACGAGAAGTAGTAATTGCACACTTCCTTCTTTGTGAAAGCTGCTTTTTTTGGTCTGCCTCTACCCCGTACTGCCTCGTACCCATCTTAAGATCCAAGACGCATGGTTTAACCATGTTGGTTGTCAAATCTTCTAGAAGAATAAACCTTTCAAATCTGGTATGTTTCCTCAAAATTGGACCCTCTGTTTTTTCGTGAGGTGATAAGATCGGAGAAACCATAGAATTATGTCTATCATCATCATCAGATATAGCTTCATCGTCCATAGAGAATATATCATCTTGTTCTTCATCTGAAGTATCCTTCCGTACAGATTTAGGGCGGAAAACCTCTTGTAATATTTGAGCTTGCAAGTCCTTATTGACTGATGTTGAACCATAATTGCCTGTTTTTTTAAATGTGTCATTCGGTGACGAGTAGGATGAATCTTGTAAGCTAAAAGAATCTTTACTTCCGAGGGAATCAATAGGAGAATGGATCGAGCTTGAGTATCTCTTCCATAATTTGTCTGGAATGATATGCCGGTTATCATCCAACACAACTTCTGGGTTTAGGTTCTCGTCATCAAAATTGGACCTCAATGAATAGCTTACTTCATTAGAGCGTGAATCGTTGCTCAAACTTCCCGACCGAGATATTTGAAGACTTTCCTCATTAATGACACTAGAGTATCTAACGTTCAATACGCCTATATATTTGGGCATAAACTTTAATAATTCAGGATGTCTCAATTCCACGTTCTCGTACCAAATGTTTTCTCTGTTCATCAAGGCTTTACATACAGCTCTCTTGGAGAAGCTGAAGATTGCAGTGTGTCCGCCTACTTTATTTTTAAAAGGTCTTAACTCTACAGCTAACGGGAAAGTCTCTGTTTTTCCACGTAAATCGAGATGATATACATGAGTCTCCCCAAATTTAACTTCTTTCTTGTCTACTTCGACGTCTTTTTGATCTTCATTTTCTTTTTCTGGCTGATCATCTTTCTTATATTTATGGATCTTTGTTATGTCACCATCTTGAGAGTGGTCAAATTCTAAGTCTGCAGTTAAGTGTTGCGTTTCGGGAAGTGCTGAGATATTGTTCTGAATTGTTGCTAAGGAAGCCGACTGATCAGCTGGTGTATGGGGGAAATATGTCGCAGATGAAACAGGCTCCAAGTCAAAAACTCTGGGCTCATTCCCAGGTAATAATGACAGTTGTATTTTAGGTGTCTCTTTGGACTCCTTCAATGACTTAAAATCGACGGGAGATTTCTCATTCAACTCATATCCGGGTTCCTTCTGATCAATCAAGTCACCAATTTGATTTATAGTAGTGTCGCCTCTAAATAGCCTAAGTGATCTAGCCGCTTTCCTTCCTGTAACGACGTTCTGAGCCGCTATTTCTGACGTTGGAGTGTTTGCCGATGCTGATGATAAATTGGATTCTAATTTTTGTTCTTGCAATCTGTGTTGATCATCGTCTTGTGAATCCTGTCGTTGCTGCTTACATGGATGTATCATTTTCTGAGCTTTTGATGTCATATGTGAGTCTTCTAGTACATGCTTTACTAGTGTCTCCTCCATCTTCACTTTCTATGCACTATTGAAAACAAATTTTTGTTTCATAAATCATGCACTTGTTCGCACTCTGGTAGATAAATCCTTTGTCTTTCACTACCAAGTCGAGTTGATAATTAAATATCTAGTGTAGCATCCGCTTAACTATACTCTTAATATTGGCTGGACTTTCTTATTTCTCTATAAGCGCTACCAGGCTACTGTGAAATTATTTATACTTGTTATTCTCTAGTACAACAACAGTCTTGTGTTGGTGCTGGGATTATCTGTTCAAGTAACGCACCATTCAATTATCTAAGAATATCAATGCCTGTTGAATGATATGGATAGAGTTCTTATATATAGACGACTGAGAAGTCTACACGGTTTAATTTATATATTTCTTTATCTGAGGCACGAACTAAACGTGGCAACACCTAATTAAATGACAGTACAATCGCTCCACTTGATTGAGTTTCACAAAAACACAGGCGCAATAGACTGCAAAACCTCAACCACCGTCTTTTTGATGCTCACAACACGACTATTATGATGTGCGGGTAAATACGTCATGTTACCCAACTGTCATGTAGACGAGTTGCCTGTATACATGACGAAAGGCAAGAATAACCTAGAGAGTATTCGTTTTCTAGAGTATGCAACACGACTAGCATTTCACATAATAGTATAGTATATATGCAGGCTTGTGGGGGGAGGGATTCTTTCTCAATTAATGTACTCTTATAACGACACCAGAAGAATGGCTCCAGAGGGTAGTCTGATCATTTCTCTTTTAGCAACCTAATTCATGAGGTATCCTTCTCTATTATTGCTCTTGAGTTGTTAAATAGTTTCAGGGAGTATACTTTGCTTTCGCGCAGGGAAGCGTCTGCGAGAAAAAAGATAGCTGAATTCAGAAACTTGTCAAACTGATTTATTATTTAACGCGATACAAACATACAAAAAATATCACTCAACGTAACGAATATTTTTATTTGACATTAGTTTTTCAAGCTGGCTAATTTTCGATTTCAAGTCATACTCACAGAGCTTAGCACCAGTTTTACTGGACCAGTTATCTGTTACCAAATAGCATCTTAAGGGTGTTGTACCCCATCTGCAGAGGCCGTTATTGACTTCAAATTACAAAATAATAACTTCATCATGAATAGAGCGACAAGCTTACGCAAGTTCCTGAAGCCAGCTTGGCGCCTTAATAGTGGCCCAATACTCTCTGGAACTGTGGTGGTCTTACTATTGTTTGTATTTATAATGCTGCAGAGTTCAAAAGTATCCTTCTCTGCTACCCCAGCATCGTCAACTATGGATTCAGCGGTTGCCGATCCTGAAGAGTCAGGGGCTCTCTCAAAATGGGCAGTTCATAATTTGCCAGGTTTTGATTTTCAGCGGTCAGATAAGACATTGGCTTTTGCGGACACAAACGGATATGTAGCTGAGGACTTAAGTCTACTGAAAGACCTGAAAGAGAAAGAAGGTGATATGAAATCTAAGTTCATATACGAAATGGATGGAAATGATGATTATGAAAAGAAACATAGAAATTTAGCTTATGAATATTACGAAAGAATTTTTGAAGTGCTTTATCAAGGTCGTCCAAACGTATCGAGCTTGGACAGCTATCAAAGTGACGAGAGGATATATCATGCGAGGTATGACTCGCTTGATAAAGATGAGCAAATATTTGATGAAGAGTATTTATCGAAATTTTTGCAATTAACTGATGAGGAGTTAAATACCATGACTCGTGCTCATAGGTTCGTGGTTGAAAATTTGCCAGAAAGCTCTCCTAAAGATTTGTACTCCGGGAATGGAATAGTCTACGTTGGAGGTGGAGAGTATAATTGGTTAACTTTGCTTTCTGTTAAGTCCATAAGAGCTTTGGGATGTACTTTGCCCATTGAAATTTTAATCCCCACAATAGATGAATATGAACCAGACTTGTGTGCCAGAGTTTTTCCAGCTTTAAACGCTAAATGTATATATTTGCCAACGGCACTCTATGATCCTAAAAAAAATTCTGCAATTCCCAATTTTGAATTCAAGGGTTATCAATATAAGGCATTGGCAATTTTAGTTCTGAGTTTCGAAAATGTTTTGTTTTTAGATAGTGACAACATTCCTGTCTCTCGCCCTGATGACTTATTTACTCAAGAACCATTCACTTCTAGAGGTTTAATTGTCTGGCCCGATTTCTGGAAGAGAGCGACATCGCCTTACTATTACCAGATTGCTGGCATGAAATTAGGCAAAAATTTATTGCCAAGATATAACGAAGTTTCTGGAGATTATGAAGAAGTTTCTTCTCCATACTCAACTAATAACTGGAAAAAATTTCCTTTGCATCAGCGAGAAGGGAGTATTCCAGACCCTACTTCAGAATCTGGCCAACTAATGATTAACAAAGCTACCCATATCAAGGCATTATTACTAGCACTATACTACAACCTATATGGTCCAACTCACTTTTACCCCTTGTTTTCTCAAGGATCGGATGGCGAGGGTGATAAAGAGACTTTTCTAGCTGCAACATGTGCATTAAAAAAACCTTACTATCAAGTGTCCAAATTTTTAAATGCGTTTGGCTACTTCAAAAATTCAAACGATTTCGAGGGAACTGCCATGGGTCAGTATAATCCTATTGATGATTTTCATATGAATATGCTTAGAAAAGAATTAGCTACCATGTCCTCAGAAGAAAGATCTCAATTGATAAGGACAGAAGAGACTCTTGAAAAGGGTCCCCGTATTTTATTTGTTCATTCCAATTTCCCGAAACTAAACCCGTGGTCTCTTAAAACTAAGGGCACCATATTCAATGATGAGTCGAAACGAATAAGAATATACGGTCTGGGAATGAGACAACGAATGGGCTATGATTTTGAAACAGTGCAATGGACCAACATGAAATTTTTATTATGTGACTTGAAGATTCAATTGAAGGCCTTCGACCTTATAGATTTGACTGATTTATGCAAGGAAGTCAGTGATCACTTGGATTTTTTGAAATCAACTAGCGACACCTTAGAATAAATAACTTTGTTTATATGCAGTGCGCAAATAAAAACATTCTCACTGGGATTAAATAGATAAATAAAAAACCAATGGTTTAAATACATACCAATTCATACAATATATCAGGGGATCTTTGTTCAATAAAGCAGCGCCTCGCCTGCACTAAACATACAAATTTACTAAATTAAAGCGAACCTAATAATTTAAAAAATAAAGGAAGTAAAATGGCGATACAATTTCTATTATTATTATCAAGACAAGGTAAGGTGAGGCTATCGAAGTGGTATCAGACAGTGTCTCAGAAAGAAAAGTCTAAGGTGACAAAGGAATTAACAACTCTAATCCTCTCTAGACGTGCTAAGATGTGCAATGTTTTAGAATATAAAGATAGTAAAATCGTTTACCGTCGATATGCATCTTTATTTTTCATAGTGGGAATAGATAATGGCGATAACGAGCTTCTAGCTTTGGAAATAATCCATCGATTTGTCGAGCAGATGGATAAGATGTATGGGAATGTATGTGAGTTGGATATAATTTTTGGGTTTGAGAAAGCATATCACATTTTGGATGAGTTGTTATTAGATGGTTATATTCAAGAGAGCTCAAAAAGGGAAGTACTAAATAGAGTAGCCCAGGAAGACGAATTAGAGAATTTGGACGAATTTGAAAATATTTTGGCTTAAAGAATAATAATACAGTTACCTCGATAAATAGCTTGACTACTTAGATAGCATATAATGCACAAGAGGTCGAAGAGGTGCCTTTAAAGTAGCGCTCAGTCCTGCGTTTTCATCATATTTAAGGAAGCATTGTTTGGTGATCTTAGCAGCATGTACATACTGGGCCAGTTATATTCTGAGTAAAATTTCCTCTTCTTTTCTCCACGACACAATACAAAAGATATCTTTTAAAAGACATATTCCATTTTTGTCTTTTTCACTTAAAGTACAATTATCGCATTTTCTAAAAAATATTTGGAGATGAGGTCTCCAATAACTTCTTTTTTTAATGATGCAAGGACCAGCCACTGAAATGGATGAAGAAGAAGGCTTTGATATAGCTAAGTCATTAGCACTCTCATCTTCAGAGTCTGACGTGGGTTCTGACTATGAAGAAGGTGTCCAGGATATCATTAGTGAGAGCGATGAGGAAGCTGAAGAACCTAACAAGAAGAAACCTAAAACAGATCTGTCCAAGCTTCATTTCCCTATGCTTGAGATTTCAGATGATGAAAACTCTGAATCAAAAGACATCTCTTCATATTTCGTCAATAATAATCCACTCACTAAGAAAGCGAAGAATGGCTCTTTTCAGTCTTTTGGCTTTTCAAAATTTTTATTGGGTAATATTGCAAAAAAGGGTTACAGGCAACCGACACCAATTCAAAGGAAAACCATTCCTTTAATAATGGATAACCGTGATGTTGTTGGTATGGCAAGGACAGGATCTGGTAAGACTGCAGCTTTCACGTTACCTGTTATAGAGAGGTTGAAAAATCATAGTGCCAAAGCGGGGGCAAGGGCCGTGATATTGTCGCCATCTAGAGAGCTTGCCTTGCAGACCTTTAAGCAGGTGAAAGAGTTTAGTAGGGGGACTGACTTGCGCTCAATTGTTTTGATAGGTGGCGATTCCTTGGAACAGCAGTTTTCCTCTATGATGTCGTCGCCTGATATTATTGTCGCTACACCGGGAAGATTTTTACATTTGAAAGTTGAAATGGATCTAGACTTGAGCACGGTTGAATACATAGTCTTTGATGAGGCCGATAGGTTGTTTGAAATGGGTTTTGCCGAGCAGTTGAACGAATTAATTGCTTCCTTGCCGACTTCGAGACAATCCCTTTTGTTTTCAGCTACCTTACCAAGAACTTTAGTAGATTTTGCAAAAGCTGGACTTAGTAATCCAGTTTTGGTGCGTCTAGATACGGAATCTAAAATATCAGATCAGTTACAAATGGCTTTTTTCACAACAAAACAGAAAGAAAGAGAAGCTACATTATTGTATATATTGCAGGAAGTAATAAAACTTCCTTTGGCGACAGCAGAGGAAATACAAAAGATCGAGCATAGTAACCAAGCTAATGATTCTGACTCTGATGATGGAGGCGAAAGCGTGGACAAGAAGAAGAGAAAAAGAGTTAAATTTAAAAAAGAAAGAGCTCCCCCTGCCAATATGTTGCCATCACCGAATTCAACAATTTTATTTGTTCCAACAAAGCATCATGTTGAATATGTAACTACGTTGTTAAAGGATGCTGGTTATCTCGTTTCTTATATTTATGGATCCTTGGATCAGCATGCCAGAAAGCAACAGCTTTATCAGTTCAGGATAGGCTTAACTAGTATTTTAGTTGTCACAGATGTGGCTGCTCGTGGTATAGATATTCCGGTTTTGGCGAATGTGATAAACTACACGTTACCTGGGTCCTCCAAGATATTCGTACATCGTGTTGGTAGAACGGCGAGGGCTGGTAATAAAGGATGGGCATATTCTATAGTGAATGAGAAAGAATTGCCTTATTTACTTGATTTAGAATTATTTTTGGGTAAAAAAGTTCTTTTAACATCCTTGCATGAACAAAAATGCGAACTATTGAAGGCTAAACAAGGTAATGATTATATTGAACCGAAGGTCTCTTACAATGATAGGCTAGTGTTAGGTTCTGTTCCCAGATCTCAGCTTGAGACTTTCCAGGAACTCTACGATAATTTATTGAAGAATCATTATGAGCTTGAAGTCGTGAAAGGTGTCGCTTTGAAAGGAGAAAAATTGTATCATCGAACCCGGCAGCCTGCTTCTCAAGAATCTTTAAAAAGGAGTAAAGAGCTTGTGGAAACAAATCAGTGGGATGATCAACATTTACTTTTTGGTCCGAATTTGGAAAAAGAGAAAGAGAAGTTTCTTGCTAAATTAGGAAACAGAATCTCAAAAGAAACCATATTTGAGATCAAGAAGAAGGGGGCAGACAAAGACGAGAATAGCATGGCTGAATTTATGCATAAGCGGAGGAGACAGATTGCGCCAGTTCAAAAAAGGGCACGAGAAAGGCGAGAATTGTTGGATATGGAACGGATAGCTGGATTGACACATGGCATCGAAAATGAGATGTTGAAGAAGGAAGATGAAATTGGTTACTCTAAAGCAGCTGTAGAAGTTGAAGAAGAGGAGTTGAAAAATACTTTTGAAGATGCGGATGACATCTTAGAGGGCAAGAAAAGAGGATCCAAGAAAAGCTTTAAAGACCCTCAATTCTACCTCAGCCATTACGCACCTACATCTATGATTCAGGATCAGCAGCTATCTCTCTCATCATCTTTTGTAAATGATGCCTCTAAGGCTTCGTATGATCTTAGCAACGATGACAAGATTCAGGTAAATAAACAGATTATGAGATGGGACAAGAAGAAGGGTAAATATATTAACTCCATGTCGACAGATAAAAAATATATAATTGGAGAAAGTGGACAAAAGATTCCAGCATCTTATCGAGCGGGGAGATATGATGAATGGAAAAGACTGAGAAATAATCATTCTAAAGATCCAAGATCATTAGATCTCGAAGAGAAATCCGAGTCAAGAGGCAAGTTCATTCACAAGAAGACTAAGGCACCTAAATTGCCAGATAAGTATAGAGACGATTACCATAAGCAAAAGAAGAAGGTAGAAAAGGCTTTGGAGTCTGGAATTAAAATGAAGGGCTATCATGGACCTGCTCAAAATAGTGAGATTAAAACTACTGAAGATATCAGAAAGGCGAGATTACTTAAGGAGAAGCGTAAGGCCAAAAACGCTAGGCCGCTGAGAAAACGTTGAGAATAATCTTTTTTAAATTTTTTATTGACTATATAGAAAATAAGATAGTGCAATCTTCTATCTTCTTCCTCCTCTACTATAAGGATGGTAACCTTTATTTCTATGTTGATATCCACCTCTTCCTCTGGAATTACCTGATGGTCCTGCAGGAGGTGCTCTTCTTGGTCCTCTAGGTGGCATCGACTTTCTTTGGTCCCTATAACTTGATGAACTGTCCAGATTATGATCTACCTCTTGTGGTTTTGGAGCCTCAGGAGCCTGTTGAGGATTTAAAGGCTGACTCGGTTGATCTCCCAGCTGAGCTTGCAGTTGTGAGTACTCACCTGTAGCGGCTTGGGCTTGAGCTGCTTGTTGCTGGTACATGTACCATTGCTGCATTCTTTGCCAGTATTCTTGCATCATTTCAGGAGACATTCCGTTCATACCCTGACCATAGGAATTCTGTTGATAAGGTGCTTGACCATATTGATTATATCCGCCGTACATACCATATTGCAGCAGTTGTTGCTGTTGCTGGTTTTGTTGGTTTTGCTGGTTTTGTTGGTGCTGTCCCCTAGGTTCTGCCCTCTTGACCTCCATAGCTTTACCTTTCAAATTCAAGTACTTGTTAACAGTCACCCTATCAACAGCATCTGGCGAATCATAAGTAATGAATCCAAACCCTCTGGACCTCCCAGTATCTTTATCTATCATCAATTGAGCGTCAATTATACTACCAAATTGAGCAAAAAAGTCATTGAATTCCTTTTCGTTAACCATTGGATCAATTCCACCTACGAAAATCTTTCCAACCTTATCTTGTTCTTCTCTTGCAATGGCCCTTTTAGGATCGATCAACTTTCCATCTAAAATATGGTCTCTTTTGATAACTTCATCAACAGATTTTGGATCTTTGAAAGTCAAAAACCCAAAACCACGAGATTTCCCTGTATTATTGTCCCTCATAATAGTATGATCAACGACTTCGCCAAACTTTGTAAAGTAGTCAACTAATCCCTGCTCTGTCGTATCCCAATTAAGACCACCAATGAACATTTTTCCACTTTCTTTTCCCATGGAAGATGGGGGCATTGCTTGCTGAGGTGGCTGTTGGGGTGGTTGAGGAGGAAGAGGAGGAGCTTGCCCACTCTGAAGTTGCTGCTGGAATTGTTGGAAATCTTGAGGTACCGGTGGAATCAGTCCTGGAACCCCTTGCATAACAGATCCAGGAGGTGGAATCATTCCTGCAAATGATCCAGCATCTGGTGGAGGTGGTATACCAGTCGCTTTGGTAATGTCATCAGGGGTCTGTTGTGACGTGTCGGTCGTACTAGCCTGGCCACTATTTTCTGCCTTTAATGTGGGCACAGTTTCTTCTTTGCTCGCTGAATCACCTGCACTAGTATCTCCTTCACCCTTTGTCTCGGGGCTTGCTTTTACGGTCTCTTTCTTTTCATCGTCGCCGCTAAAAAAAAGTGTTAGTATTCTCATTGAATAATGGTAACTTGAGTTCATATTCATTGGGTAATCTATCCTCAAGAAAGCTGATATCTAAACTCAAGGTCTTTTAATCTTGATACATACTAAATATCTTCAAAAAGAGCTTCATCATCATCAAACGAAGACATTTCTGCTATTTCTTTTCCTAGCTACCAACTATCTAGAATACGAGTTGTACGTTTGCTTGAACTTGAAAGACTAAAGTTTATTGAGCTTATGAAATTTTATACAACTAAACAAAGCCTATGTAGCTTAAATACAATTAAACTTTTGAAGAACGACTTGTTTATGACTTCTTTCTCAATACGTATTGTAATACTAAAAGTAGAACTTTAATTTTAATTGTCGACAGTGCGCCATCATTCATAGGATCAATGGGGTCGTTCGCTGGCTAATATGATTCTACTAAAAGTTGATACAACTTTTCCAAAAATATCTATCGAAATCCTTTAAAATGTCCTCAGGAACATCGAGGATGATGTAATCCGTTACAGCTTTTAAAACAAAAGTTTATAGGTTGAATTAAGATTGCAATTTAAGGCTTTTTTTTTGAGATGACTATTTCGGATATTTTTTTACCAAAATTTGCAACTCTACTTATATAGCAAGATGTAAAAGCATTGGGCATGCGTCCTACCTTTGCGATAATATAACTCAAGGGATAATAGAGAATCTTAATTAAAGCGGAAAATAAAGCTAAATACGTTCTCGAAAGTATAACTTTTTAAGGTCACTGGCATTAATATTGCTTAATTTTTAAGGCACTATAAGAGCTTACTACTAGGAAATTATGGGCAATATCATGCGTCCCGGCAACTTTGAATTGAGATGAAATTCAACTGAACGAAATCATCGCCAAACTAAAAAGCTGCAGATAAAGCAATTAAAATGTCTCTAATATAGCAGCGATAATTCATAAGTAGAAGTCTGTTAATTGTTTATATATACTTTTTAAATTTTTTTTTTTTTTTTTTTTTTTTTTGAAATCGAATATGCATAATTCTTTTTTACAATACTGTACTAGACAATAGTAGAGATGAAAAAACATGAAGGAATATCTTATCCATTTAGCCCAAGCGTATCCAAAATTTCGGAAAGCTGAACTTGAATCTTTAGCTGATTTGTATAATATAAAATTAGATTTGTCGCATCATAATGAAAGAAATCCTTTTATGATAGTTAATCTTGAGAGCGATGAAGAGGCAAGTTGTTTGATAGACAGAGCTGTACTCAGTAAAGGAATATACGAACTCTGGGGCCAGGGTACAACTTTAGAAGAATTGCATGAGGATGTTAAGATTAGATCAACTAATTATGCCAGAGAGTATGAGAATAAGTCCTTCAAGTTTGAATTTATTGGCTACAAAGGTAAAAAAAACAAGAAAGAGAAAGTGAAAATAATTGAGACTTTTTCATACCTCGGATTTAAGGGGCCCATTAAGATGACTCATCCAGATGAGATTTATTCTGTGCTCGAGGAATATGAGGTTAGTGGACAAGACAAAGCGACGGAGCCAATTAAAATGTGGTTTGGTAGGAGGATAAAATTAAGTGCCAGATCTTTGAACATTCTAGACACCTATGACTTGAGGGTCAGAAAATATATAGGAACGACATCGTTTGAAGCAGAACTTTCTCTTGTGAGTTGTAATATTGGACAAGTTGGTCCAGGTAAGGTTGTATATGATCCATTTACGGGTACGGGATCATTTTTAGTAAGTGCAGCCCATTACGGTGCCATTACTATGGGTTCAGATATAGACGTTAGAGCGCTTAAAGGAAAGGGTCCTGAGTGTTCTATCTACGGGAACCTTAAACAGTATGGCATTTCACTGAACTTCTTAGATCTTCTAGCCATGGACTTCACTAATAATGCGATCAGAAAAACCTTTAAAATAGATTCAATTATATGCGATCCCCCTTACGGTGTTAGAGAAGGTTTAAAAGTCTGTGGAACGAGAGATCCTCAAAAGGCAATTGAAAGAGAACAAGTAATCATTAATGGCGAGAAAGCACACTTAAGACGTGATTTCATTGCTCCAAAAAAGCCGTATGAACTTGCTGATCTTTTGCAGGATTTGCTTTCATTCGCTGCTGAAAGATTACCCATTAACGGAAGGTTAGCTTTTTGGATGCCAACTGCGAATGACAACTACAAAGTAAATCAAGTTCCTCAGCATGAAAATTTAGAATTGCTTTATAACCTAGAGCAGGAGTTCAATAAGTGGTCTAGAAGACTCCTAGTTTATGTAAAGAGAGACATAAGTTTTCAGGGAGAGACAAGAAATGGGTTAAAAGAAGTGCATACTAAAAGCTTTAGAGAGAGATACTTTAAAAGTTTTAATGATTCTGGCGTATAGTGTACATAATCTCCGATATAGAATAATATACGACATTACAACTTTTTTGTCTCCGACATTTTAGGAATGTCACCTTAGTATTGATCGAAAGAACTCGTAATATCGAAACGATATATTGGAGTAGGCACTCATACTAGAGGACAAAATGACCGATATTCTTAAGTAAGTTTCTTGAGTTCTTTTTTGAAAGATTTTAGAAATAATTCTACTGAGTGAGATTGTCTAACATATTTTTAGGACTTCAAAAACGAATCCTCGTGGAATACCTGAGGCACCGTTTATTGATAAGGTTGAAAATTTTGTGAAAAATCCTGATGCAGACTTTGATAATGTCATGGCAGCTTTCCAGGAGAGATTACAGCAGTACAAATATATGGAATTATCCAAGAGACAACAATTGGTAGATTTAAGCACTAAGATACCTGATATTAAGAAAAACTTAGATATTATTAACTACATAGAAGAGAAAAAGGGTGAGGAAGATTCAGAAGAAGCTCAGGAGGAAAAGAAAATTGAAGCGAACTACGAGCTAAATGATACATTGTATACTAGAGCCTCGATTGATATCAATAGTCTTGAATCTGTATATTTATGGTTGGGTGCTGAAGTAATGATGGAATACCCTTTGGACGAGGCTGTCAAACTATTAAATGAAAGATTGGAGAAAAATAAAACGCAGCTTAAACTCATCAAAGAAGATTTGGAATATTTGAAAGAGAACATCACTACAATGGAAGTTAACACCGCGAGGTTGTATAATTGGGACGTTCAACGAAGAAAGGAGGGTCAAAAAACAGCATAAAAACATGAAGCCTGAGTTTCTTTATTCTTGCTTCTCTTAATGTATGCGTATAAGTTTGTCATATCTCATAATAAATTAACTAAAGACTATTCAAGTTCTAAAAGTATCCAAAAATTGACTCCCCAAGGGTCGCACTGGCGTTTCAGCTCTTATTTGTGCTCCCTCATTTCTAACATCATCTACATCCTCCGGATCGTCATCCGTTTCACTTTGGTTATCGGTGGTTTGTAAAATTGTATCTGGCCGATGATCTATTGGCTCAAATCCGTCAGAATGCTGTCTCCTAAACCTTTGTGGAAGTTGGGCTACGAATTTGCGAGGAGCAACAAAAGCTTTAAAAAATGTTGAAGGGAGAAGCCAGTTTCTCGTACCAGGTAATAAATCATGCGAATATAACTTTCCTATTATTAAACCAACGAGGCATGGAATTATTGATTCAATTCCATTGTTGAACAATAGGAGGGTGTATAATATGTAGATAAAAAAATGATTCGAAAGAGTAATAGCAATCCTTCCTTTTTTATTAATACTAGACCCCAATTCTGTTCTTTGAAGAGGCAGTTTTTCCTTGCGCAATAAAATAGTCCAATAATAAGATGTAGGGACGTAAGTTCCATATGCAATATATAATGATGATATTATACCCAAGGGCCCAGATGAAACAGCATTTAAAAATGTTGTTTTGTAGATGAACTTATCTTCTCCTTTTAGAGGCTTGAATACAGAATGTATTACAATATTTTCTAAAAGTTGACCCAAACTGATGACTAAGAAGCATATTACTGCGTTGTACAATGCAAACAATAACAACAACGATAAATACTTGCGCGAGCCGAAGAACCGCTCGATAGTCTTGTAATAAAACCAAAGAAAGGTTATAAGTACATATTCAGACTCATTGGCGACACTTAGTTGAAACGTAAGAATTCTCCAGTATTGTCCATATTCAATCACGAATGGTGCCACTATGAGTTTCAAGAAATCGTGATACTGAAACAAAGATACGACTAAAGTAAATATAGTAGATATCGTGCATATCGATTTGGTTACGGGTACGTTAACGAAACCTCTAATGGGGGTCAATTGCGCCATTGTATCCCTCTGATTAATGCGTTTAAATTAGTAACGCTTAATGCAGTTATTTCAATATATCCTATCGTTGTATTAGTAACCGAGTGCTCAAAAGCTCAAGAACTATCGGATTATTCTCAATCTTTCTAAATGCTATTTGGCTTATTCTCAATTGTAGATAACGGTGTTTCTATATTAAGGTCAATACTTATTTAAAATGGAGGTACAATAATATTTGCACGTGACTATAGGTCTTTGCCCTCGCTCACTCGCTAGAATGCGATCAAAATATTCATGACACAAAATTGGTAGCGAAATTTTTTTTCCTCGCAGATTCTATGGGAAGTATAACTTTCAGTTGATTACTTTAGGTTAGCATCACTTTTTTTTAGAGTACTAGTCAAGTGTTTCAAAAATGGGTAGAGATCATACCAGAAAGCAACACATCAGAAAGGGTCAAAGAACCGCCCCAAAGTCTGATAATGTTTACTTAAAGTTATTAGTCAAGTTGTATTCTTTCTTAGCTCGTAAGTATTTTATAACTACATGAAGTGGACTCCAGCAGTGGAAAAGTAAGCATGAAGTTTAAACAGGAATATGATCAGAAGCTATTCTTGAAACTTATACCATTTTAAGCTACATTCAGGGAGATACTGTGACATCACCGACTTTGAGAGGTGGATTGTTGACTTGAGAGATACTTCAAGGCATGGCTAATGGAGAATATTCTTGGAAAGCTAATGATGTCGCCTGTGGAGATACAGGCAAATGGCACACTTCCCTTTATTTTATTTTGCATTGCCGCCATTGGAGAATAACACCTCGAGCTCCTCAGGATGAAACCCTATGTCTTTTTCTTCTGCGAGTGCATAAACATTTACCAGGTTAAATGTCATGTTTATTGTGCGCCTTTGGAGCAGAAATGGAAACTTTTACTAACTCATATAGGTCGTACCGATGCGCCATTTAACAAAGTCATTTTGAAATCTTTGTTCTTGTCTAAGATCAATAGACCTCCTGTTTCGGTGTCTAGAATTGCTCGTGCTTTGAAGCAAAAAGGTGCAGCTGATAAGACAATTGTCGTTGTTGGTACTGTAACTGACGACAACAGATTGTTGGAATTTCCAAAGGCTACTGTCGCTGCTTTGAGATTTACTGCTGGTGCTAAGGCTACCATCTTGAAAGCAGGTGGCGAGGCTATCACTTTGGATCAGTTGGCATTGAGAGCACCAAAGGGACAAAACACCACAATTGTTAGAGGTCCAAGAAAGTCAAGAGAAGCTGTTAGACACTTCGGATTTGGTCCACATAAGAGAAAGGCTCCAAGAATTTTATCGAACGGTAGAAAGTTTGAAAGAGCCAGAGGTAGAAGAAGATCAAGAGGTTTCAAGGTGTAATCTTACTTTAACAGTTATATTACATACTCCTTGCGAATCTTTAATATCTCCATTAAATTCTATAAATAAAATATTGAGTATATAATATATCAAATATAAGTCCCGCTTCGGATGTCAGACTAATATACAGGTCTTTTTTTTAATGAAATCGAAGGGTTTCTCTTATCTGATGAGGGACATGAATGTGTGCTGTTCGAGATTGCATTTTGACTATTCATATAGGAAAGAAACTTAGGAACCTGTAACTGTCCAAAGAGTAATCCGATGCGACTTCTAGTTAAATGTTTCATAGTCCCTCTTCTGATTTGAAGATGTCAAATAATATATGCAAGCATATCTCGGAGTTGAGTTTCACAGATCTACCTGCTGATATATTGAATCAAGTTATCTACTGGATAGCACATGGGCCCAAAGCCTTGGACGAAGAGACTCTCTGCAATTTTCAAAGTTTCACTTTCTTGCTTAATCATATTAGATTGGGAAAGAATAATTATGATGACTTAATCTCGTTATCATCTACTTGCTCAATGCTAAGGATACATTTGGCACCACTTCTATTTGAAGCTTTGAGCCTAGTGAGAGTTAATCAAATCGATGCACTATTATTCAATCCTAGGATTTTAGAACAGTACTCCGATAAGAAAAAATATCATAGAGAATTAATAAAGGAAACACTTGAGTCAGGGTTTCGAGAATGCTCCAAATCTGATCTTGCAAGGAATAGTTTTAGAGTTGGAGTTAATGGTGACTCTAAATACAAAAGCAAATATCAAAGGCTTCTTAGTATTAACAACTTTGTGAAATATCTTGAGTGTGACAATTCTTTACTTACCAGTTCTGACTTTGGATTATTTATGAATATTACGGCATTAAAAGTTTTAGATTTAGGATACGAAGACTCGCAGATCACAGCTATAAGAGAGGCACCTAATTTGAAGCAGCTTTCAATAAATATCTTGACTTTATCAAACTTGGCTCTGCTTTCTGACCTACTTTCAAAATTGACAAGATTAGATATTTTGATTGATTTTAATGAGATTCGCCCTAATAGAGAGCTTCGGATTATCACAGATGCCTTAGGTTCTTGCGATTCTAATTTGAAGCTGCTCAACCTTTTTTTCAATGATTCTGGAGTAATATCCTATGACGAAACCCTTGGCTTTATTGAAATTGCATCACGCTCATGCTGCAATTTGAAATCCTTCAGCTTAAGAACTACGAGATTAAAAGGCAAGAGTTCAGAGAGTGAACGAAAATGGCAGCTTAGTGAGTCTTCTTTGATCACAGATACAGAGAGGTTATTGAAAGCTCTTCGGGAGTTTCCTCGTCTCGAATGCATCACGATTGAGATGAAGATACTTAGTCTGTTGACATCACTATGCAAACCTATGAGCCTTGATTTAAGCGCAAAAAGGAATAAACTTAAGTTGCAAGTAATTGATCAGGCATTATCTTCTCCCAGGCTTTCTGATAATCTCAAACCTTTGATGAGTAATACAATCAGTTTTCTTGAAGTTAGCGAATTGTATTTATTATATGGAGAAGTAATCGAACAGTCTCATATACAAGCACTTAATCTCATTGTGGATTTCATGGACTATCTTTCAGTTTCGCATGATTTTACGTCGGGCTATGAAGGCATAAAAGCAATATCCTTAGAAAAGTGCTGGTCAGTTTCGGATGATTCAATCCGAAGAGATTACTATCATAATTGTATTAAGAATTACACTAATTCGAAACATAGCTCTTCCGAGGCAAAGTCTATCTGGGAAAAGATGTCCGTCGCGTCTCCCTGTGGAGTGCTTCCATTTAATTCACCACGCTATCGAAGGAGGGAAACATATATTGTTACTTACACAAATGCAGAACCACATCCCTTAAATACCGGTGTGCCTGGGAATCGGGTATTGCATTCTGGTCTTGGTGCTCAGGGTCCAGGAGCGTACCATATGGCTAGCGTGGGAGCGTCTTCCTGCCACTCCAGCATGGATTCTTGTATTTACTCTCACTTTTGGGACATAGAGGCGTCGTTAACAGAATTGGAGCAGTATAGCATTCAAAGAAGGCCCAGTAGGCTCTGGTGTTAATTTAGAGACTTAGAGTTATTAATCAATCATCCTTTTTTTGCATCCAACTACGTGCACGTGTAAATATTCTATTCAGGGCTATCACCCACATGGTAAAGAATGCAATTTTGTGTAATTTTTATTTTGTGGCATCTTTAATTTTTTTTTTCACTTCCTTCCAGTTGGAAACTTTCCGGGAACATACAGATATCAACTAATAGTTGAAAATTTATTACAATCTATTGACGCTTTTAAGAATAGCTTATAGTAATATATACTAATAGAGTCAAGATGGCAGGTGTTTCCGTTAGGTAAGTAAACCCATATTTCTAAGTTAGAGTTGTATGAAAGAGTCAGTTATTGAAATCTTGAATTGGAGAATAGGTCGATAGGTCGATGAACTGGAACGAAAATGTATGAACAGTGGAATAGCAGATGTACTGACAGCTAATAAGATACGATAAGTAGGAAGTAGGAAAGAAACCATCGAGGAAGGATATACCAACCTGTCACCAAGTCTGACTTTTAAACTATGATCATTGGGCTCATTTATAAGTCACTACTGAAATCGAGAAGAGGATTATTTAAAAGACTATGTGAAAGAAGATTATGCAATTTCTGATGTTCAGTACAGTATAGACGCATCAAAAGATTTCGTTACTAACTTTACATTATAGAGACGTTTCAGCTCAAGAGTTCATTAATGCGTACGCTCAGTTCTTGCAACGTCAAGGTAAGTTGGAAGTTCCAGGTTATGTTGACATTGTTAAAACTTCTGCTGGTAACGAGTTACCTCCACAACAAGCCGAAACTTGGTTTTACAAGAGATCAGCTTCCGTTGCTAGACATATCTACTTGAGAAAGGAAGTTGGCGTTGGTAAGTTAAACAGGTTGTATGGTGGTTCCAAGAACAGAGGATTCAGACCTCACAAGCACGTTGATGCTTCAGGTTCAATCAACAGAAAGGTTGTTCAGGCATTAGAAAAAATCGGTGTCTTAGAAATTTCTCCAAAGGGAGGTAGAAGGATCTCTGAGAACGGTCAAAGAGATTTGGATCGTATCGCTGCTCAAACATTAGAAGAGGACGATGAATAAATCAATCGTTTGGTATTTAAAATATTGATCTGATGATATTACTCATATAAATTCTATTCTCTAATTTTGTATGTAAACCTTAATAAAATTAGCAAAAGCATTGTGAACCGAAGTCTATTATAGATGAGAACACCAGGTACTGTCTGTTCAATTAAGTAGCCCGATCACTTTTCCAGATACGTCTTCTAGTTCTTTTTTTCTTAAGAGATTACCTATATCTTCTTCTAGTCCGATGTAACTAAGAGACATCTGATCGCACAAGCTTAATATCCACAACTTCTGTTCTTCTGCACTTTTGTCCAAAGGTGGATGTAGCGATGTTATTTCCTCCACAACCTGGCTATCAATTACACTAAAGGCGTTCATAGACTCGTCTTTAAACAACGATTTTGCTAGTGTAGAAACATATTTTAAATCTACTCTGTTGTCGATGCCACTACCATAGACAATTTCACCGATTAAATAACCAGCTTCTTCCCACGGAATATCACCAAGCTTCAAGTTTTGCATGTTTTTCTTGAGAACGCGATAAGCAGAAGTCAAATCTACGTCATTGATGTCGTAATTTTTTGAGAAAGAAAAGGGTACATACCTTAGTCGTTCCTTGAGAACAGCATGATACCAAACAAGTAGCAATGAGAGATGACGCATAACATTTGAGTCATGTACTAGCTCGTTATAGAGTAAAGAATGGGCATCAATCAAATTAGTTTTCAAACTCGGTTGATTCTCAAATATCAAGACTTTAGAAGTTCTAATAATTCCTGTTGGTAGCTTAGACGAAAGATTAGTTGTTAAAAACATTTTAAACTCACTCTGACTATCCACATTTTCTAATTTTTTGCCAAGGTTGTCTAACCATTTTGGAGACATCTGTACGTTTTGAATGATTATCCAAGACTTTGACGTAATAGCTCTGTCAAGTTCTCTATGCAAAATCTCTGATCCTTCTCTAGAGCCCATAGAAAAAATGTATAATTTCTTTTCTAACCGAAGGGACAATAACTCTACTCTTGATGTTGCATCGAAACCTTGCGACGACGCTAAAAGCAAGGGCACATTTGCAGCATTCTTTTGTGTTGCCCAGTATTCCAAATCATATCTTGAACTAAAAGCTCCTATTCCAGAGAACAAGAACGATGTAAAGTCTGCGAAAAAACTTATTATTGTTGATTCCCTGTTTTTATTGTCTGACGAAAGACATTTGATAACGTCTCTGAGGATCGAAACGGCAGAATCTTTGTCATCAGATACACCAACATGCGAATTGTTTCCAGAAATAATTTCTAAATCATTTGAAATGGCTTTTCCAAATTCCTCGCCAATATCATTTAAAACTTTCCCAGAGTGAACAGCATCTAAGATTAATGCGAAAAAACCTCTGAAATAGTCGCCAATCTCTATCGAATAAAAACATGCAGCAAAACTTATAGCTAATATCATATTATCTAAGTACTTCAAAGAGGGTGAAATTTCGGAATAAAGCTGTTTGTATAAAGCCCTCAGAATATTCGACATTGTCTCATCGTGACTCACAGAGGACATTAAATTCTCAAATATCATTAGAAAGGTCTCAACTGAACAATGATAAAGTCTTTCCATTGACGAGAGCCGCTCTATTATGTCAAAAAGCTTTAAGGAGTGTTCCGCTAGAACAACATAATTGTCTCTTTTTTCGTCAATGCTAGTCATAATTCTGTTCGATTCTGAAACCTTAGAATCAATCTCCATACTTTCTCCTTTCAAGCTCTCTAGATTATCAATTATACTATTATTATCAAGAATGTTACCAATTGAATCTCCCAATGACATCAAGAGTTGCTTCTCAAGCTGAAAGAGACGAGCTCTATACTTACCTTGAGATAACACCAATTGCTTTCTCTCCTCATCCAAGGAAGGTTCGAGAGTGCGTAGTGTCATATTAAGTATCTGGCTCTCAAGACTACCTCGAGTAACCGAAAAATTAATGGTTGAAACTCTTGATGAAACGAAGTCTGGAACTACTATCAGTGAGTCTCTGGTGTGCAAAATTAGTTTAAACTCTTCCGAAATGTCAATGAATATCTGACCCAATTTTATTACTTTCCTACCGCCATTATAGTGAACTTCGTTTCTTAAAATAGGATTCAAAATCGGATCATAATATTCAGCATCCTGAATAGCTATTATACCGCCAAATCTCAAGGCGTTTTCAAGTTGTTTCAAATAGCCATTATCTAGAAAACTAGTAACAATAAGCTGTCGAGGATAAAAAGCTTTCATTATTCCCTGAATTACTTTTGAGGAAGGATCTATTAAGAAAGGAATACGAGATCTTTTGATGATCACGAAGTTTTCTAGGTCCAAATCATCACTAAATAATGTGCTTAATTGGACATCGTCTTCTTCTTGATTCAAATATTCCGAGACATTTATCCGTTCATATGCTATCCCCATGACACTCAATTTATCTCTCAAGCTCTCCATCATTGTATGCCTTCGCTTTTGATCATAAGGACCCGCATATATTATGCATCCTGCTGCGATGATCGAGTTTCCGACAAGTTTATCTCTCTGCAAACCAAATTTTTGAATACTTGCTTTCCACCTATCTCTCTCGGATGTTAAATTATCTACAAGTGTCATGCTTCTGTCTACCTTGTACTGAACTTGTGACATTTCCCTCTTGATGTTTTCTGTTTCACGGATCAAGTTACTATAATTGTCCTTGTACGATTCGATTCCATCCTCTAGCTCTATAATCATTTGATCTATTGCTATCAATTGAGCCTTTGTTTTCTTATACTGTAATTCAATATATTCAACTTCGGCCCTTAATGGTCCCACTCTATCCAAAATATCAGAATATGCTAGTTGGGCCTGCACCCAGTTAAGAAGAGGGCCACATGCTTTGCTTGCTCTATCTACCACTTCAAAAGAATAATCATCACGAGAAAGATAAGTGTCATCCATATAACGTTTTCTGTCACTGCTAAGCTCTTTTTGATTATCGAAGGAGACAATATTAGGTATAAAGTCATCGCCCCTAACAATTAATTGAACATCCCTCCAGCTCGAGACTTGGTAACCTAACAACACACACACAGATTCCATTGTCATTTTAACAGCTGCTGGTGGGTTAGCCATACTTCTGATTTCTGTGAGATGTTGTTTCTTTATGTTCTGAACTCCCCTTTGGGCTTCTATCACTGCTGGCTCTGCTAATGCGAGCTTCTCTAAAACTTTTCGTCTACGCTTTTGAATTTCTCCCTCTTGTTTTGCCAACTCCGCTTTGGCCGCAACAGAAAATTCTTGTTTTCTTTCAGCTTCATTTTGATCTGTAAGCATTCTATTTAGCATTTCTTTTGCCTCCTTATCCTTCAGTTTCAAAAATTCACTTTTTTTAGATAGAGCACATCTGAGGTCTTCAACTTGAATGACAGTTTCCCTTAATTTGTCTAGACCCGAAATTACATGCTTCTGATGGATTTCAAGTTCCTGCAGCTTTTCTGTGAAGATTTTAACAAACTCCCTAACATAAGAAACAAAATTACCAGGATGCCTCTTGTAAGATGAAGCCTGTGAACAATGAAAGTAGATAAGTATATCAACGATGACATCTCTAATACCATTATTAAGTCCATTCTTCAGGGTTGGCAATTTGTAATTCGAAACATCTAGAGGTACATTTTCAAGCAATTTAGATCCTACTGTGAACAAAGAATTCATGGACCAGTCGCCCAACCAATCTAAGACGCAACGATTAAATAATGCTGGAGACGAAATTAAACGCGGTAAGCTTTTGTCTTTCAATTTATTTATTGTGAAAACAACATGCAAGTTTTTTGAGATTTGTTGCGTAAACCAGTCGTAGAGCTCATCATTCGTATCCAACAAAAGGCCCTGCGTAGTCGATTGCTCCTGGCATAAAGTCATTAAAGAGTTGAACTCTTCACCCAAAAAAAGTCCTGGAATTTCAGCATTTGCTAACAATGTGTTCATTCTTTCAATAAAGGATGTTTCTATTATATTTGATTCATCAATAATGAAGCATACCCTTTCATCCGTAGCGCATTTCAAAAGGATGTCTTTTAATGTCGAATCAAAATCCAAAATTCCATAATTTTTATGAACGTTCATTTGAACGGCTTTCAAGCCATTAATCCATGCCACGAACTTCACCAATGTAGTTTTTCCCCAAGTAGGGGAACCAACCAAGATCATATGACCCTGAGGTTGCTTCAAAACTCTATCGATTCTTAAACTGTGTTCTAAAAAGTCTTCGCAAAGGATAGTATCAACTAATAATTCTTCATCACTAAAGACGCGGAGCCTTTCTTTAAGAAATAGCTTGAGTGAATTACTCTCAATTGACTCGTATTTGGAAGACAACCAATCTGAATAATAAATCGGCTCCTTCATTACAGATAGTACATCAGCATTTGGAAAGAAGCGAACTAATACATCCCGAAAAAGGTCTTTGGTCCATTTTCTTTCACTATCACCCACTAATTTATCGTAAAACAACCTTAAACCCTCGTAGTACCATAATCTCAAGAGATCAATCAATTGTGGAGGACTGTATGACTTAATCGCCTTTAAAATTCCTTTACACCATCTAGTTAGCTCTCTAGGAGAATATACGTAGTGCTCGCATATATTTATGGTTAACTTTCTCTTCGTCTCTAAGTAAACTTTTATCATAGCTTCTGTAACACCATGACAATATCCCCTCATATCAGGAATACATTTTAATAATGCTGAATTGAATGTTGAATAAATTTGACGCAATGAATTTTCCCCAGGATAATCAACCATGATAACAGTACAATGCCTCAAGAGGCGATTTGTTAATGCATGTCTTCCTGGGTCTTTCGGAGAGTTACATGCACCCACAAACTGAACACAGTGAAGCTTCACCCATTCCTGTTCTTTGATGTTCCAAAAACCACCATGTTCAACAAACTGACGTAGCAAAGAAATAACTTTTTGAGTTCCATATTTGTCAATAGCTGGTAAATTGATCTCATCACAAAAAACGACTATCCACTTTCCTCGAACTTTAGGTGTAAGTATTATTCCATCCGCTGACCTCTTATATTCACAGTATTGCTCTAGCAACTTCATGAGAGAAATCGGCGAAGTTTCTTTCGAAAAATTAAGCGTAAGTACATCTAGCTGTGGTGACTTTCTTAATGCCTCCAACAATGTCATGGTCTTTCCTGAACCAGGAGGACCACAAAGTAAAAAAAATTTGTGGACATTCAATAATGAATACATTAGGTTTTCATGTCTGATGGTATCCAAAGTTGCAATGACAGTATTCGATTTAAGCACCTGCTGAGGTTCCAAATCGATATGTTGAACCTGAGAGTTCCAATCCAACCATTGACAATCTGGCAAAGATATGTCATAATCAATATAATGACCAGAGATATTGATGCCTTCTAGTCCAGCAAATTCATTCTCTTGAGCTATGATACTTCCCGCCTCTTCACGCTCTTGAAGTGGACAATCACCAAAGAAAGCCCAAAGGAGTGATAAGAGCGTTGCTCTAGCTATGTAGTCGTTAGCTTCTTCCACTGCTACGATGCCAGCGGTCACCTGCAAAAGATAACGTCTAAAATATGTTTTTAGTAATACAAAAACTGACTGTACTACTCGATGAGGTATGAATTCCATTATATGTGTATAATCTTTGCATCTTTCAATGAGGCTCAAAACTAATCTTAGTTTTAAATAGCGTCTTAGGCACTCTGTAAGAAGCTTTTGGATTGAAATAATTTCGAAATCAGTATTCGAAGATTCTTCCAGCAAGTCTATCGGAGAAGAATTCAAATCATTGAAGTTCCTCTCTATCAAGTCTCCAATTGTAATTAGATACAGATCAAACCACACCATCCCACATCTACTGATAGTCGCAGGCGTAGCGTAATTTAAGCCATCAGTTTCAAATACGAGGCGAACGTTATCAGGTAACAGTATACGCTCGCCATTTGGGAGTGTTAGGAGCTTGTTATCATCTAAACAACTGTTAAGGTTCTCTGCCCATTCCGGATCAATATCCCCATCAAATACAATCCAGGTGATCCTTTTAGATTCACCACCAGGATTTCTATCTATTTTCCTTATAATGCTTGTTAATAAGCCGTCCGTCCAGTCATGCGTATGTGGATCCATATGTCCATATAAATCATCTTTATCCATGACTTTGCAATCTATTATATATGATTTAGCATCGATGCGGCACATTTTCGATAAAGCAAATAAAACAGCTCTCCATGTTGTTGACTTTCCTGATCCTGATGCACCTACAAGCATGATTCCGTGGTGGGTCATCTGGATATGATATAATTGAATGGCCTTTTCGAGCCACTTTTCAGTTACTACTATTCCAAATTCTGCTGCAAACTCCTTTAATCCAGAGACTAATTCGTTATAATTTGAGTTATCCAAATTAATTCCAGGAAAATATTTGGTCTCTAATTTTTTCAATACTGTCTTATCATCTTCAACTAATTTTGGAGCCAATGTCTCTTCAATGCTTTGTAGAATTATCTTCTTTTCTTCAAAATAAACGTTTGATTCAATAATACAGTTCCGTCTCTTGGTACCACTCTTCATAAGAGTATTTTTTAAGCTACGTAGACCAAAGTCATAATGCATTTGATGACTAGCATGATAGCCAATATCTTGAAAAAATGGTACGATGATGGATGCAAGATCGCAAGAATATGTGAGACCTTGAACCGTAAGTAATATCTCTACAATTACTTCACTATCTGGTTTTTTCATTGAGAAATTCCTGAATTGTTTTTTCAAATTGTCTGGTAGTTCAAATCTTCCCGCATAATCAGGGTTCATCGTTATAAAGATTCTAGTTTCTGATTTTACAGAAATAGATTTTCTTGAAATAAGCACCTCCTCCTTTTGGTTCATAGCTCCAAACTTGATGGCCTCAATTTGAGAAGATATTGCGCTTAGGTTATTCTCATCGAGTCTATTAAATTCATCGAAGCAACCCCAGCATCCAACCTGGCAAATTCCTAGAAATATTCTTCCCATCGACAGGAAATCAAATGCTTCGTCACAGCAAAACACCAAAACCATTCGACCCAAGCTATGGCCGAAGGCTTTAATGGTCTCCGTTTTTCCTGTACCAGCAGGCCCAAACATAGAGCCACCAAATCCTTGGTCAATCGCTTGAGACATACTTAAAAAGCATTTGTCCAAAAGTGGAGTATACGCCAATTTTTCGGGGATTCCAATATACTCAAAACCGTATAAGAAAACGCATCCTCCCTGTTTAATAATTAGCCTTGAAATACAATTCACATCAGTTGAATTAGTGTCGTAATAGAATAACTGTTGACTATTCCATATAAAATCAATATCTTGTTTCGTTTCAGCATCGATTAATGAATTGATAATTCTAAGCTGATGGAGGGATTCTATCATTAAGATTTCAAATTTTTTTCGGGTTAACATGTCAGTTAGACTGCTGATCCCTTTCTTAAGAATGCCAACAAAATGATTGTATACGTCGAGTTGAGATGAAAATCCTTTTTTATTAATTGATTCTTCAGTTGATTGAGTAAATACTATTTGAGAAACAAGGGTGCACACTTGAGCCGGAATCGAAACCATAAAAGATTCCAAGTCTCCTAGAGTTAAGTCCTTATTCAAGAGAGACTCAAATCGCTCAATTGAATCCCATGTCATCTTCGATAATGTGTATTTTACTTCCTTTTCGAGTTCTTCGAGCCAATTAATCAAATAAGGGAATTTAATTAAAGAAATGGGACTATGCAATCGAAGTGTCTCACCTTGTTCGCTTGTAATGGAGATGATCGAGGAATCTTTTTTGGAATATTCGATCGAAGAGATGCCAGAAAACATTTTTTGAAAGTGCTTATTGATTCTGGTTATATCCGTTGAGCTGCCTATTATTTCTAATAGATCTTCGTTTCCAATAAAGTAAAACCTTGGGAAGAGTTCTCGCTGTTTCTCTAAATACTCAATTAGAGACTTGCGTATCTTCTTAAGACTATCCAGAAACTTCTCCATCAGCTCAAAAGCATCAGGAATTGTCAACGTATCAATGACTAAATCGTTTTTGTAAATTACTTTTAAGATGCTTAAAAACTCATATGTTATATTCGTAAAACGTGACGATTCCACTGGCAATGTTCTTTTGATCTCGGTATTTTGAGTTTCAAAGACTCCATATAAATATATCCATTGCGTCTGCACATTTAACCATTTTTCTAATAATAAGTGAAGCTTGTTTAGCCTAACTTCAAGGCTATTGATTTCATTTATAAAGTCACCATGAAATACGGAGCTCTTCATACTCGCTAAAGAGTTGAGGTTATTAGTACATTGATCAAATAAGTGATTCCAATTTTTTACCAAGCGAAACTTTTGTTCAAATGTAAACAACTCGAAAGTCGTATTGTCCCAGTCTTTTTTAATGTCAACCAAACTCTCTTCAATGGCATGCTCATTTCGAGATTTGTTGACCACTGAAATAATGATGTTTTTATTTAAATTCAAATCCAAAGCCCAAACGTCACCAACTGTTAAAGTTTGGTAAGCCTTATCTTCTTCTCCTAAATATTTCAATAACTGTTTCCAATGTCTATCCTTCATAGACCCACTTTTAAGTTCCCTTATCAAAGGAAAACACTTCAAATAGGTGTTCATTACCTCTTGCGATTTCTTAAAAGCAGCATACTGTTTTATTTCAGAATTGAAATTTTTTGAAGAGAAAATAAGATCATCTAGTTTCAGCCTCAACTCCTTGTGAGATGTTTCCGGCCATTTTAACTGTCTTAGATCATCTATGCCAATCCAAATTGTGTTTATAGAGGACCATATGCCTGTGAGCTCTTTAACACCTTCAGTGATTTCAGTGACGCTTCCTCCTATAGAAAGTGGTATATTCAAGAAATTTGATACCAAAAGCACTGCACTTTTGTCTTTTTCTATGGCAATGCAGCTTTTTTGAAACTCTGAGAGACAGCCAATGGCCAGGGATGGGCTCAAGATTTCAGAAGCAGGCTTTGACTGAATCCAGCTCTCAGCCAACGAAGAGATAGCACGATTGATATCGTCCGCAGCATTTCTTATAGTAGAAGATACTGACTCAAAGCTGTCGAATATCTTAAGCTCCTTGCTTTCGACCAAGGCAATTATATCTTGCAATATATATTCCAGCTGATCTGCATACACCCAATCGCTTGGAAAGCTAAATCTAAGCTTAAAAAGTAATCTTTCTCCTTTCTTGAAATTAAACATATCTTTCTTCCAATTTGCTATGGATTCTCTTATTTCTATAAGCTGATGAAGATCATGTATGATTTTCCTTGACGTGTCGTGAACAATCAATCTCAGTTCTAAAGCCTTCCTGGTGCTTTTCAAATTACTGCTGAAGATTAAGTGTCTCTCTCCGAACAAAAGCCCAAACTTTTTCGCAACTTCAGACTCAAAGCGGTCAAACTTCATAATTGTGCGTGAATAAACCTTAGAAAAGTCAATAGTTATACTTTGACCGATTTTTTTGAAGTTTTCAGGTTGGTCAAAGACTTGCCTCAAGTTAGTAATTTTATACAAGGTATCAATCCAAGTCCCAACCGCAGAGCTAACAGGAAAGAGCTCATTTAAATCTCCTTCTGAACCAAGATCAAGTTCCCATAAGCGCTGTAGCAAGGTCCAATTATCAAGAAAATATTCACATTGTGAAATAAGCTGATCTACTTTACAAAGTACCGTTTGAAGAATTGTCGATAACAGTCTTTCCTTGTCATGCTGAGAGGCAATATTGGCTAGATTAAATTTCTCTCCTCTCATTCGGGATTGGGTCTCAATCATTTGTAAGACCAGATTAACCCATTTGAATAAATTTTCTTTAGCTGAAGATAAGGAGGGTGATATTATGAAATGCTGACCCTCAAATTGAATTTGAAGAATAAAATTACTAAAATTCTGACCCTTAGCTGGTGGCTCCAACACTTCAGGTGCAAAGTACTGTGACAATAAAAGAAGTTGCTTATGACACTTTCTAATTAAAAGCCTTGCAACTTCCTCATCAATTATTATTTGAAGTACTTCGATATTAATGCTAGGGTCGAACGTTAGCTTGTTTGCAGCCGATTTTATTAAATTAACGTGATACTCAATTTCAGAATGGTCATAGTCACACGCCATCAATCTGGGAAGTAGCTGCTCGTGAAATTGAGTAAAGAATTCTGACAACTTACAGGATTGGAAGTAAAAGAGAGATACCTCATTTTGGAATGCAACCATTTTTGAAATACTATTTCTCCCTTTCATACTATGATTCCCGTGACTATGCTCACCTAAATCACTTGCTTTGACCATTTCAAATTCAATATCTTGTGACAAACGATACCAATCAATTTCCATGGAACATTTTAAAATTTCAATTAGTTTAAAAATTTTGTTGTTTAAAAGACATTTGATCTTATGTCCATACTTAGTTTCAAGTAGGCCAAACTGAAATGTTTTCTTAAGAAGCTTTATATGGTTTTTTAGTGACCTTACAAAGGGCAGTATCTTAGCTATCTTTTTGAATTGTAAGTGAACATTGCTGGGTATCTTAAAGCCCATTACTTGAAGTTGTGACATCTCGTTTGCTTGCTCAATTAAGTTCACATCAAAATTCACCTTTAAGTCGTAAGTCGGTAAGCTTACTATCTTTAATACATATCCTCTGGCCTTGAAAATGTTGTCATCTAAGATTAGTTGGCTTATGTCATTCAACCATTTCTCATAGATTATCAGCGGGTCGGCAGACGAAATTTTTCTTTCAACTTTATTCGATATTTCGTTTCCCAAAGAATACTTACTCCAATTTGTGCCCAAAAGCTTCTGTAAATTGGTGGTATAATATTCCAACTTACAAATCAAACTGATTTCCCAAGCAATTTCGGAACAAATAGAACGCTTTTGAAAGCGCAAGTGTGGTGCATTTTTAGAATAATAAAAGCCAAATGATTGCTTCGTTGCTGTGTCCGCAGAAGTATTGCATTTGATGTATTTGTCAATCTCAAGATTAGCGGCTGATAGTATTCTCAACCTCGTCTCCTCATTAACCAACAGCATTAAATATTGAGAATCCTCTTCAATTGCCTTACCGTAAGAAGCTAATTTATTGAGGACCGAAACGAAATCGTTGAAACTATAACAAAATATGAATATTTGGCTCATATGGCTAATAATAGATGATTCTAACCTATGAAAGGTCAAGAAATATAACTTTTCGTTTGTATCCCAGATAATTTGTCCCGGTTTCGAAAGGTCTAAGCAGTTTAGAGCTGCCATGTGTGTGGTATAACTATCTATAAGCTGACGTTGTTCTATCGTGCTTAAAATATTGCCCAAGTAATATAGTAAGTGCTGATGCTTTAAGCGAAACACCTTTATGTAATCAATTCTTGCCTTCAAAATATCGAAGGACTCCTGGTTTATTTTGATAACGACAAATTTTTCTTGTCTCTTCCTTAAAAGCTCTCTGAAAAGATTGGTCATGAATTTAAGATTTTGTTCTAATAAATTAAAGAGCTTCATTATCATGGTATCGTGTAATTGAAGGAACTTATCAATATCCATTGCCATCAACGAATATGAGGTGAATATCAGCACAAGCTTTTTAGTTACATCATTCAAAGTAATCTCTGTGACTTCAATTGCCCTTGTCAATGGGTATGAACTTAAATTTTTCAACTTTCTCAAGTGCTGAAATATGTTTGAAATAGCAATCTCTAGCTTTTCAATCGGCTGATCATCAGATACTGACATTGACAAGAGTTCATCAATAGGTAAATCTTTTAAAAGGGAATTACATACACTTGTGAATGCAGCTTTATCTTCGAGCCGAGTGTCATTTTCAAAACTAAGTGTAACATGAAATCTTTTAGATTTGTTCAATATTTCAATGGTTGTTTTGATATCTTGATGTTGAATTTGCAGACTCAAAGACATCAATGCAGCTTCCATTGATTTCCAAAAATGAACTTCTTCAATAATTGAATCACCATCAGAAGGGTTATGATTTAAATTTGTTATTGACTGTATTTGCCTTGTCCAGTTATTAACGATGGCTGTAAGTTGATTCAAAAATGACGTGTCTTTTAGTAAAGATTCATTAATCTGGCCATTTAAATGCCTAATTTTGGGATGAGATGATAACAAAAGGTCTGGAACATGAATTCTCTGTTGTAAATGTTGTAGGGATAACGAAAGTTCGTTGAGCCTCTTTCTTGCCATACCCCACGAATTATCTGACCTTTGGGCGCCAGGTGCCATAGACTCAAAGTAAGGTAAGATACCCATATTTATGAGTGCCCTCAAGCTCTCAAGAAACCCATTATTATGCTCATCTACGTCCGCTTCGTGAATTGAAGGTATAGACAAGATACTTATCTGCCGCTCGATAGGCAATGTCAGGACAATTTTACCCTTCATTTTTACCAACATTGTGATAGACGTCAGTCGATCAGCGAGCTTATCTGATTCTAGATCGGATGTCACGATGTGTCTCTCATTGCTATCTTTTATGAGGAAAAGAATGTCAGGATCTAGATTTTTTGCAAAATTTACTATTGATGCCAGATCTTCGTTGACATCTGTAGTTTTGAAAATGATGGTGATGAGTTCAATCAAAGTCTTCATAGATTTTTCATCATCTACATCTGACCCATCTGCTGTATGATGCATCATTTTTCATAATCGTTTGGTAGCTATTTACAAAATTAGTATTAAGTGTGTCGTTTGTTTACTCTTGTTACAAGAACCTATCACATTGAATATGTGCAGGTGTTAGATGCTATATTGGAAACCTTGCTTAACATTTCAGTTATAAAAGGATAAAGTAAGTTCATTCAAAGAGTGTATTTAAAATAATTTCAGCAGCATTGTAGTCACTGAGTCAATCAGATTGGTACAAACTTCAAGAGGTTCAGTAATAAGTTTAACATAATTTATAATAAATCATCATAAATTCATTATGATTCATTATGATTCAAACCTACATTTGTATACACTCCCATTTTCCGTTTTTTACCCGCTTCCGTTATTATTGTTTCGGAGATAAACTATTACGGTAAACTCTTTTCAACGAGGCGGGACGGAACCATTCGCACCCCGAGTACGGCTGGGAGAACAAAGATGAGCATATGGATGAAATAGAGCCACAGCCCAGCAAAGTGAAACTTAAAACACTTTAAGCCAAGAACTCAATCTTTCAAGAAATCGATGTAAAGTTCAAGCCTGAAGCATTGCCAATTAGCTCTATTCACCTGAATTTGACTGTCAACGTCAGTTATTCCTCTCCTCTCTTACCAAACGTAGCATATTATTCTACTATTGTTGCTTGTAAAACTCGATTTGGTTCCCATTCATTGAAAGGTAGCTTACGGGTACGATTCGCACTCTCGTATAGTCAATTAAACTTTGTAGAAAAGCTGCTCCCTCTGAGTAATAGAAGCGCTTTATGCAGACTAGTATTTTTTTTAGACGGAACGGCAACATCCCGTTCCGTTTCAATAAAGAAGCATATACTATTTATATAGCAAAACGTAATGCTCATTAGCAGTCAATTGATATACTTATCAATTATACTTAAGACATGTCTAGCCAGTCGATAGGGAAGGGGTCTGATGACTCTAAATTCCATGACGTGGGTGACACCTTGTCGGAGTCTCATTCTGTCAATGAGTACAGAGGTTTCGACGGCAATGTTGAAGAAAGCGTTCAGCAATTGGCTCGAACAATCACACTGAACAGTACTACTTCAAATAACTCTGCGGACTTGCTCAGATACTTGTCTCATATGTCGCAAGTTCCAGGTGTGAGTCCTTACGATGACGAGCAAGTTGAAGATGCTTTGAATCCAAATAGTGATAATTTTAATGCTAAGTTCTGGGTCAAAAACATGAGAAAGCTCTATGATTCCGATCCTAATTACTTCAAGCGCTCGAAGATGGGTATAGCATACCGTAACTTGAGAGCCTATGGCGTTGCTGCTGATTCTGATTACCAACCTACTGTTCCTAACATTATTCCAAAGTTTTTGCTGGAGGCCTACTTGCACTTTAAACACAACGATCCGTCTCGTTATTTTGATATTTTGAAAAGTATGGACGGCATAATGCGCCCTGGTGAGCTTACCGTGGTATTAGGAAGACCAGGTTCTGGTTGTTCTACTTTGTTGAAAACAATTGCTGCGAACACTTACGGTTTCCACATTGGTGAAGAATCAAAGATTTCTTACGATGGCTTATCTGCAAAAGATGTAGCTCACCGGTTTAGAGGCGATGTTGTTTATTCTGCTGAGACGGATGTCCACTTTCCTCAGTTGAGTGTTGGTGATACATTGGAATTCGCTGCTCGATTAAGAACTCCCCAGAATCGTGGCGATGTTGATAGAGAGACATATGCAAAGCACATGGCTAGTGTGTATATGGCAACTTATGGTCTTTCCCACACAAGGAATACTAATGTCGGTAATGACTACATTAGAGGTGTTTCTGGTGGTGAAAGGAAAAGAGTATCAATTGCAGAGGCATCCTTATGTGGTGCTAATCTCCAGTGTTGGGATAACGCAACTAGAGGATTAGATGCTGCTACAGCGTTAGAATTTATCAGAGCATTAAAAACATCTGCTGCTATTTTAGAAGCAACGCCTTTGATTGCAATATATCAGTGTTCCCAGGATGCTTACGACTTATTTGATAAAGTAGTTGTTTTGTATGAAGGTTATCAGATTTATTTTGGCAAAGCTGATAAAGCAAAAAAATATTTTTTAGATATGGGCTACGAATGTCCTCAGAGACAAACCACAGCGGACTTTTTAACTTCATTAACGAATCCAGCCGAACGTGTTCCTAGAGAAGGATTTGAGAATAGAGTTCCACATACGCCGCAGGAGTTTGAAGCGTATTGGAAAAAATCGCCGGAATATGCTAAATTAGTGAACGACATTGATACCCATATCGCCGAATGTGAATCCAAAAATAGGTTGGAAGACTATTCTGACTCTCATGTTGCAAGGCAATCGAATCATCTATCTTCCAAGTCACCCTATACGGTCTCATTTTACATGCAAGTTCGCTACATCATGGGAAGGAATTTTTTAAGAGTGAAGGGCGATCCTTCTATTACAATTTTTTCTGTTGTAGGTCAATTAATAATGGGACTAATTTTGTCCTCAGTTTTTTATAACATGAACCAGACAACGTCATCTTTCTATTATCGTGGAGCTTCGATGTTTTTTGCTGTGTTATATAATGCTTTTTCATCCTTATTAGAAATCATGTCATTGTTTGAGTCTCGTCCAATAGTTGAGAAACATAAGAAGTATGCTTTGTACCGGCCGTCAGCTGATGCAATGGCCAGTGTAATCACTGAACTACCAACTAAGCTTTTCATGTCAACTGCATTCAACTTCGTCTTTTACTTCATGGTGAATTTCAGAAGAAATCCAGGAAGATTTTTCTTCTACTGGTTAATGAACTTCTCGTGCACGTTGGTTATGTCTCATTTATTCAGGTCTATTGGAGCTGTTTCAACATCTTTGCCAGGTGCGATGACTCCTGCTACTGTCTTATTATTAGCGATGGTGATTTATACTGGTTTTGTAATTCCTACGCCTAATATGTTAGGATGGTCAAGGTGGATAAATTACATAAATCCTGTGGGCTATGTTTTTGAATCTTTGATGGAAAACGAATTTCACGACAGAAATTTTGAATGCGCAATGTATGTGCCTTATGGCCCTGGTTATGAAAATATCAATACGGACGAACACGTTTGTTCTGCTGTTGGTTCTATTCCTGGTCGGAATTTTGTGAATGGCAGTGATTATATGAGACTTGCTTATAATTACAGTAACGCTCATAAATGGAGAAACTTTGGAATTGTGGTTGGCTTCATTGTGTTTTTCTTATTTATTTATGTTGCCTTGACAGAATTGAATAAAGGAGCTATGCAGAAAGGTGAAATCACACTATTCTTGAGATCAGCAATGAGAAAGCACAAAAAGAACGCAAAAAAGCATGCTTCTAAAAAGGATTCCGAATCTTTAGGTACATCTGAAAAAATTAATTACAAAGAAGAGTTTGAGGCTGAGAAACATGAATCTTCTAGTGATAGTGATCATCGGTTACCAGCCGCTCGGAATATTTTCCATTGGAGAGATTTGACCTACCAGGTAAAAATCAAATCTGAAGAGAGAGTGATTTTAGATCATGTTGACGGATGGGTTAAACCAGGTCAAGTTACTGCTCTCATGGGTGCTTCGGGTGCTGGAAAGACTACGTTATTAAATTGCTTGTCTGAAAGGGTCACAAGCGGTACAATCACAGATGGTGTTAGGATGGTGAACGGACATTCTTTGGATAGTTCTTTTCAGCGTTCTATTGGATATGTCCAACAACAGGATTTACATTTGCCAACTTCAACCGTTCGTGAGGCCTTAAGATTCTCTGCTTATTTAAGACAACCGGAAAACGTTCTGAAGCAGGAGAAAAATGATTATGTTGAATATATCATTGATTTATTAGAAATGTATGACTACGCCGATGCTGTGGTTGGTGTTGCAGGTGAGGGTTTAAATGTTGAACAAAGAAAACGGTTGACAATTGGAGTTGAATTAGTCGCAAAGCCAAAATTGTTACTCTTTTTGGATGAACCCACTTCTGGATTGGACTCTCAAACTGCTTGGTCTATTTGTCAATTGATGAGAAAGTTAGCTGATCATGGGCAGGCAATTTTATGCACCATTCATCAGCCCTCTGCGATATTATTACAAGAGTTTGATAGGTTGTTATTTTTACAGAAAGGTGGCCAAACAGTGTATTTTGGGGATTTGGGTAAAAATTGTCATGATTTAATTGGGTATTTTGAGAAGTATGGCGCCCATCCTTGTCCTCCTGACGCAAATCCGGCGGAATGGATGTTGGAAGTCGTTGGTGCTGCTCCTGGGTCACATGCATCACAAAATTACTTTGAGGTTTGGAGAAATTCCGATGAATACCAAACTATTCAGAGGGAATTGGATAACATGAAAGAAGAATTATCTAAATTACCGAGAGATGAATCTCCTGATGCTCATAAGACTTATGCGGCACCTATTTGGCAACAATATTTAATTGTGACTTGGAGAGTGCTCCAACAGAATTGGAGATCACCGGGTTACATCTATGCAAAGCTTTTCCTATGTGTGTCTTCAGCCCTCTTTAATGGTTTCAGTTTTTTCAAGGCTGGAAACAGTATGCAAGGTTTGCAAAATCAGATGTTTGCTATCTTTATGTTCATGATTCCATTTAACACTATGGTACAACAGATGATGCCTTATTTCTGCAGGCAAAGAAGTATTTATGAAGTAAGAGAAGCACCCTCGAGAACATACAGTTGGTTCGCGTTCATAACTGCACAGATCACTTCAGAAATGCCATTCCAAGTAGCCGTCGGTACGATATCATTTTTCTGCTGGTATTATCCTGTTGGCTTATACAGAAATGCAGAACCGACTGATGCTGTCAATTCGCGTGGTGTGTTGATGTGGCTATTGCTTAGTTCTTTTTACGTTTACACCACTACTATGGGTCAATTGTGTATTTCATTTATTGAATTACCGGATAATGCTGCTAATTTGGCTGTGATGTTGTTCACTATGTGTTTGAATTTCTGTGGTGTCTTAGCAGGACCAGATGTATTACCTGGATTTTGGATTTTCATGTACAGATGTAATCCGTTCACTTTCTTGATTCAGGGGCTTTTAAGTACAGGGTTGGCAAATACCCATGTTACATGCTCAGATGCTGAATTATTGGTAATGAACCCACCAAGCGGCCAAACATGTGGGCAATATATGGAAAACTATATGAAATTGGCTGGTGGGTATTTGGTGGATTCAGATGCCACAAAAAATTGTCAATATTGTCAAATGAACTCAACAAATGATTTTTTGAAACTGGTTAATTCTCTCTTCTCAGAGAGATGGAGAAATTTTGGTATTTTTATCGCTTTTATTGCAGCGAACATTCTTTTAACAACTTTTCTCTATTGGTTGTCTAGGGTACCGAAGGGAAATAGAGAAAAGAAGAAGAAGAAGCAAGAGTAGTTTGCATTTTTATGCGCTTATTTTTATGTAAGTGTGCTTGGAAAAGATTATTTAATAACATTTAAACTTAATATATACCCCCCCCCTTCACAAAGCATGTAGACAGTTGAATTCGATTTTAATTACCGTAAAAACTGCAACGTTCATTTATGGATCATATGACTTGAAGTTCACTCACTTATCGAGGTTTTTTTTCTAATATAAACTCGGCAATTTTGCATCAGTAGATGGCAAAATACATAGATAAGAGATGGACTTAGAAAAGCAGGTGCATAATGCAGAGCTTCCGATTAGGGAGAGAATGGAAGCACTTATCAGGCTCAAGCAACTAGAAATCACAGCAGGCATTAGTTCTCTTGATACTGAACCATTTAGAAGTGATGAATGGACCCGAGGAGAAAATGGAGGAGGAGGCAAGTCTATGATTCTACAAAAAGGTACTACGTTCGAAAAAGGTGGTGTGAATATTTCCGTTGTTCACGGAACACTTCCTCCTCAGGCTGTGGCAAGGATGAAGGCCGACCACCGTAATTTGAAGTCCAACAGCAGTGATGGTAGTGTAGGTTTTTTTGCGTGCGGGCTCTCTTTGGTCATACATCCCCATAATCCACACGCACCAACAGTTCATGCTAACTATAGGTACTTCGAAACAGAAGATCCAGAAACCGGTGAAGCTCAAACGTGGTGGTTCGGCGGCGGTTCAGATTTGACGCCGTCGTACTTATACGAGGACGATGCAAAACATTTCCATCAGACTATAAAGGACGCTTTAGATAAGCACGACACAAGCTTATATCCAAAGTACAAAAAATGGTGTGATGAATACTTCTATATAAAGCATAGGCAAGAATCCAGAGGAATTGGAGGCATCTTTTTCGATGACTTTGATGACAAGCCAGCAGATGAAATCCTCGAAATTGTCGAGTCATGTCTCGATTCCTTCTTGCCATCTTATGTGCCGCTTATTGAACGAAGAAAAGATACTCCTTATAATAAGGAACAAAAAGAGTGGCAACAGATCAGAAGAGGAAGATATGTGGAGTTCAATCTTGTATTGGACAGAGGTACTCAATTCGGTTTACAAACACCAGGTTCCAGAGTGGAAAGCATTTTGATGTCCCTACCTGCCACTGCGAGTTGGGAATATGATCATCATCCAAAGGAAGGTTCTGAAGAAGACACTTTATTGAAGGTTTTACAGAATCCAAAAGATTGGGCTTAGAAAAACGTTATCTTTTAAATTAATATGTCACAAAGTTATGCGAGACCATGTGTCCGGAAAATTTTTCCCTAACCTTATATCAAATATATAGCAAAATAGAACTTATGAATAATCGAAGACTCTGGTTAATTATACGTTAAAGACTCATTCAGAAAAGCCACTTTTAGAAAATACTATGATTTTTCTTGGTGACGCTAGATATTTGTATAATTAAATATGTCTGACTCAGAAAGTTATCGCTCAGCTTCGCCTACTAGAGACATAGCAGCCATCGCAACCAACACTGATGAAGTTTTAAATGATCATAGGCATCAAGCTCCCTCTTTACCCATCAAGGCAGGAGGTAGTACGGCTAGTGCTCCCATGGTTGCCTTGTCGCTGGACGATAATAATAGAAGAGAGAGCTTCAAGAAGGGAGCCGACGAGAGTGGCATTATAAGAAATACCAGAAGCAGGGTATCTGAAGGAGGAAAAGACCCCTCTCTACATGTCAATTCTCCAAAGTCAAATCAGGATTATCTAAATACGTTGCGTAGGGAATACTATTTGCTGCATCACGACGCAGATGATGATGATGATGATGTGGACATGAGTGCCTTGTCATACAGTAAAGATGATGGATCGTTTGCAGGTCCAAAACGTCATCGGGCATCTAGCTCCCATTCATTTTCAGATCAGATAAGGTCTTTAGTTACTCCTAAAGACGCAGACGAATCTGAAAGGAGACAAACAAGCAGCGGAATTCTAAAAAACACAATTTCTGCTGGAAGAAAAGCTAGAACCGGCAGAAGTAATTCAAATTGTGAAACCTTGGAGAATGATCTTGCTCTGCCGATGACGCAAGTCAAGACCAATGAAACCTTTGGGTCTGATAACCAAGGTCACAATAGAAGGGAAAGGAGAGCTTCGCGTTCTTCCATTGATAGTGATGCTGATTCGCATGCCTCTCGTTCTTCACAAGAAACAGAAGAGGATGTATGTTTTCCAATGTTGAGAGAGCATATACGGATTAAGGGTATCGATTTCGATGAGATTGAAGAATTCATCAAGGAAGAGAAGGAGGAAGAGAGATTCATGAAGGAACAGCAGCATTTAATAGCCGAGCGAACCGCTATGAGGGTCAGTACTCAACAGGGCAGGTCTGCTGGTGCTAATTCTATGGTGGGAGGAACAAGTAGTGCTGCTTTAAAATATACACCCAAAAATTTATTAAAAAGAACCAATACGGTATTACATAGGTTCAAGTCTCGAAATCCTCATTATAAGGAAACCCTTGAATACATGAAAGGAGATTCGTTGAAGGAAAAGCTCAACTCTGACTCATCAACGGTAGATGAAGATTCTGAAAAACTTGATTCAAAACAGTTCCCCACTGACAGTGAGTCCTCCGAAAACGTAAAATTTGGAAGTACAAGAATCAACGATAGCTGTTCACTTTTACCTGAAAGATTCTCATTCTTCAGCTCTGAATCTGAAGAAACTATTCATGCCCCGGATATTCCATCTTTAGTTCAACCCGGTCAAACTGTAAGGGAGTTGTTTAGGAATGGTGAAAGTACTTGGTGGCTCGATTGTAGCTGTCCAACAGATGCCGAAATGAAAATGCTTGCCAAAGCTTTTGGAATTCATCCTTTGACAGCGGAAGATATTAGAATGCAAGAAACTCGTGAAAAGGTTGAATTGTTTAGAAACTATTATTTTGTTTGTTTTCATACATTTGAGCCTGATAGTGAGTCTGAGGATTATTTGGAGTCAATCAACGTCTACATTGTCGTTTTCAGGGAGGGGATTTTAACATTTCATTTTGCACCAATTTCGCATCCTGCAAATGTTAGACGAAGAGTTCGTCAGTTGAGAGACTATGTGGATGTAAGTGCAGACTGGTTGTGTTATGCTTTGATCGATGATATTACTGATGGATTTGCTCCCGTGATTACCGGTATTGAATATGAAGCTGATGCAATCGAAGATTCTGTCTTCGTTGCGAGAGAGTTAGATTTCAGAAAGATGTTGCAGAGGATTGGTGAGTCAAGACGAAAAGTCATGACATTGATGCGGCTATTATCTGGCAAGGCAGATGTTATCAAAATGTTTGCTAAGCGATGCCAAGATGAAGCTGCAATATATCAATCTAATAGTTCGCTGATAAATCCAGGGCCTGGTTATAGTGGGGGAGCATCGACACCAATAGGTGGAGGTATTCACAACAATAACAATAGCTATTTTAATCAATCATTTGCAAATAGAGCTAATCCTCTGCATATGAATAGTTCAGCACCACACATACAGCAGCAATCAGGAATCACACAACCACGAGCAGATATTGCCTTATATTTAGGTGATATTCAGGATCACGTTGTTACTATGTTTCAAAATTTAGTGGCTTACGAAAAGATCTTTAGTAGATCTCATTCAAATTATTTGGCTCAATTGCAAGTGGAGTCATTTAATTCTAATAATAAGGTTACTGAAATGTTATCTAAAGTTACTTTAATAGGTACTTTGTTGGTTCCCTTAAATCTTATCACTGGTTTGTTTGGAATGAACGTCCATGTGCCTGGAGAGGGCGCTGGTGGGCTCGGTTGGTTTTTTGGAGTCATTGGTGTCATGGTATTCATTATAATATGCTTCTTTATCTTTGCAAGATATTGGTTAAATGAGGTGAATCGAGGAGGAAGTCCTTCTGGTCCTGTTAGTTCTAGAAGATCGATTAAGAGTTTTGGTTTAAGACCAAAGATTAGGGAAGCAGCTAAATCAATAATCAGCTCGCCTAACAAATATGAGTAATCTCTTGCAATAATGCCTAACATATATTTTTTTTATCTTCAGCGTTCTATATAAATATAATACTAATTAGTTCGTGGATAAAAATACATAGATCATAATGACTTTCTAATTATAAAAAACAACAGTTAAAATCCCTTTCAAATGTAGCGAGAATTCGATTTCATATTTGTTATGCGATTGTGTATTTACAAATTGATATCTTCCTCTATTACAACCTCTATTTTGACGTGTCTTTGAGTGGATACTCAATATCTTTATTGTTTTTGAAAACCTCTTTTCTCCAGTCTCTCAATCTCTTGCTCTTAGTATATTTCCTTTTATCTTTTAACCTCAAATCTTTGGGTCTATAGGGTGCAAATTTCTTTATAGCTATAAATTGGTTGAGATCCTTATCATCAGCTAGCAAAATTTCTCTAGTCTGCAAGCCAAAAGTCTCAGGAGAAACTTCACGATATTTGAACTTGACTTCTCCTTTATCTTCCGACCTACCTCTCTCTTCTTCAACTTCGTCAGCAATCCTCATACTATTCGCCTCCACTAAAGACTCTGCCTTCTCTCTCAACTCATTTTTGGATTTCTTAAAAGACTTTCTCTCCTTTAATTTTTCTTTTTTAGTCAAAGGACTGCGTTCTCTTTGAGGAGAATCGTCTTCCTCGACCTCGCTTTCGCTATCATTTCCGCCAGCAACATCCATGAAATCATTATCCGATCCCAAGTCAGGTTTACCCTCTGCTGCATCATAAAACTGCTCATTGAATACTTCGGCCATTTTGTTATCCCAATCTGCATCGTCAAAATCATCCCTCAATAAAGAGTCGCCAAAGACCTTCGTAATGACTTCGTTGCTTATTTCGTCTCCAACGGCCTCCTTTATTTTCGATAACCTATCAAATACCTTATTAACTTTTTCTGTCTTTTTTTTCTTAATTAAATCTTGCTTCTTTTTATCGTCTTCCTTCTTTTCCTCACGCCTCTTTTCTCTTTGTCTTTTCCGAGAATTCGTGGCAGTCCTTCTAAATGTTGCCTGAGACCTAGCGTAAGATACAATTTCTGCTGAATTAGGGTCTTCATATCTGAAATTATATGCGTGCTCAAACTTTTCCACCGCATCATCAAAATCTTCTTCCACCTCGTTGTCAATTTTATCAAGATCAATTACCTTATCATTCTTCCTTGGAATCCATGCTTGTTGGTCAAGAAACACATTCAAAAATTCTTCCTGGTTCTTCTGAGGGTCTGGGAACGTGACAGCGTCTCTTTCATAATCTGGTTCCAGCTCAACGAGCTCTTTTTTCTTCATAAATTCATCTTGGTCAATATCTTTAGATTCAGTTTCAAATGCACTATTAATTTCCGATAACAATTGGTTCCTCTCTTCCCTCTCGGTCACTACAAATGGCTTCTCGCCATCTACTGTGTTATAGTCTTGTTCGGCTCCAAACGTTTCTCCATTAAGCAAATTCATTCGGTGGTAGTCTTTCAAATATAAAGGCTTTTCCTTATTTTTCTTCGTAAAGGAAACATTCTCAGGGTCACTAAAGAATTTTAAGTTTGGATCTAGCAATTTTTTGGGATCAGCTCTCACCACATTCAATACCTTTTCAATACCCTCTTCGATATCATCAGTTATGAGATCGCCAAATTCATCTTCTTCCTCGGACGATTCTGATGTCACTTCTTCATCATCGTTCTCTCGCGTATCTTCCTTTCCAGCTTTTTCCCTATTCAAATTCTTTGGTGATTCCCTTTCATCCTGGGCCAATCCTGTATCTGCATTCTTTGCTCTCTTTAAAGCTGACTTTTTCCTAGGCATTTTGATTCTTTAGTCAATAAAGTACTATAAAGTCGCTTAGACCTGAGATGAGATCGTTTAAAAAAAATTATTGTACTGCATATACGTTTTGTATTCAAGAGCATCGCTAAATAGCTAGTTAATATCATATGTATCTAACGCTATAAAGTGGGTTAATCTAAAGCCTATTTTTCGAAGTTCCTGTTATTATATTATGTTCCGCTAAGCCCTGAGACTCATACCACCATCTTATCCCTATTTCGCATCTGTTTAAATCCATATTCTCGCTTATAACCTTCCACAACATATTGGTCAAAAATTCCTTTTCCGAAGGATCGCTGTACAATATCAACGTCCAAATTTTATCGAGCCAAGAAACGAACGATGATAAAGGTAAATACGGAACCAAGTTGATTATTGATAGGATTTTCGCTTCTCGAAGAGTATCTGGTATAACTCTCTTTTCAAAATTGTAATTCTGACTTATTTGTGATTTTGGTAAATCCAACTTCATTATATCTTTAGGCTTTTTCATCTTATTGGCACGAAAAATATCTGTTGACGAATCTGGATCGCTCTCCATGCTCTTCAAGCTTGAATTTGCTTCTATTTCTTGAATCGGTTGTGCTGACGTGAAACTCACATCATTCGAGCCTTTGTCTTTAAGTTTAATTCCTTGTCCAACTGAAAAAATTTTAAAGTATAAAAATTGAAGAAAAGATCCAACGGGGTCCTGTCCCAGATCACTACTGATTTTTGACTTGGATAGCACCTTTTTACCTATTGTTTCTATCGCTATGCTCAACTGATGTGACGATAGAAGTCTTGGGAATTGATTCATAAGTAAATTGATATAGTCCATGGCTTCTTTCAAATCTTGAAGATCGAATTTGGAGAAGTATATCAATAATACTGAATGTGCAGCCTCGATTATATCAAAGTTATTATATCTTTTGTCGTCAACAAGACTTTTACAGATAGGAACAATATCAGATTTCACAAATCTATCATTCCTATTCTTTAACTGCAAATAATTCTCCCATAGTCCTAATACAAACAAAACTTTACACTGGACCATGTAATTGGTGTTCAATGTCTTTTCATTGAGATTTATCTCTCGATAATCACCAATTAGGTACATTGTGAAGTATTCGAAGTCTGTAGAAACATTCCCAGCCTGGAGTGAAATCTCAAGAGATAAGTAATAAACAAAATTATAATTGTCAAAGCCACCTTGACCTATTGAACACAAGATAAAATGGAGATAATAAAGGTTATGCAAAACTTTGAGCGAAATTTCTTTATAGTCTTTCTCCAAGGAAGCCTCTTTCCTCTTGAAAAAAGTATCAAATACATTTCCAATTCCTTGACGGGTACTCGATTCTAAAAATCTTGATAAGATCCCCTGAAATATAATTACTTCAGAAAATAATATATTTTTTAAAAGATAAAAAAGATGCATTAAAAGCTGGTCATTCTTGATGAGCTTAGGGTTAAGATTAAAGATTGAATTTTGCACAGAATAGCTTAAATTTCTATTGAAATGTAGCATTTGTGAAAGAACGTCAATTATTTTAAGTTGACTCTCTTCGGAAAGTTCCATGTTTTGAAAACAGTTTTCCAAAATAAATGAAAGCTTGTTCAAATTTTTGATTATAGGCTTTTGAAAAACTTGTGTTTGGATTGTATTCTCAAGTTCTGTGTCTCGTGGATCAGCATGAAAAAAAGGTAAATAGGGTCTCTTATCATCCAATGATGTAGGAAATGCCAAGTTTATTAACATTTCGATAATATGTGAATTCTTAACATCTGTAACGTATTCGTCAATATTATCTCCTTTGTTAAACATGGCTGCTAAGCTTAATAAGGATAAATTTAGAATATCAAACGACCTTGAGGTAGAAAGTGTATAGTTCAATGACTTGCGAAAGAGCGTTCGTGCCTTATGATCCCAATTTTTGAAAAATAAGCCATACTCCAAATAGTTTTCTGACACATATAGTTGAAATCGCACTGTATTAGCTAGAAACATTCCTGATATAATTGGAACTACTTTCCAACTGTTTGCAAACTGATCAAATGCTACAAAATTATGCATCTCTTTCAAGATGATTTCGTACCACTTTTTTATAGTTAATGTTGGTTTAGATACCTTAAGTTTCTTTTCTGTTATCAATTTCATGACTTCAATTATCATGTAGTTCGATTCATAGGGCGCTGCCATTGCACCAAAAGTCAACGGATTATTAAGAAATGAAGCGAATAATATTTTCAAGTTTTGCTCATTCTTTACGTATGGTAGATAGTTGTAAAGGTATCCAAGTATCACCTGAATATTGGTGGTTGACTTAGGATATCTCAATTCGTTGATCAAGAAATCAAGCTCCTGAGGCATTGGTGGAGGATTTTCAATAGCCAAGGGATATCTTGGGATTGACATGAGTTACCAGTAGCTGTATTCGATAGATAAAATTGATAACACTATATTCAATAACTTAGCACTTACATTAAAACTGGAGAAAGACTGCCGAGGGTGATGTCAATTGTCACGTGAGTATTTTAATTCATCTTTTCTAGATGAAAGGATGGTGTTAATTAAAGAGTGTTAGATCTTATTAAGATAAAAGAATTATAGTCTTCTGTGCTGGACAACTTATTGGGGTGTTGCTGAGACACTTCATTCATACCATATTAAATTTATTTTAATTTAGCAAATTTTGCAAAAATATACTTAAAACTGAACTAGAATTGAGTGCAAAATGTGAAGGTAACTAATATCCTTTAGAAAACTTCAATGCTAAATAACTAAGGAAAGTTTCAAGATGTTGTCAAAGTTGATGTTAATATTAGTGTGCTTCTCCACCAGTGCTGGTGTTTGAGTCCTTATGACGTTAGACAAGCATCGAGCTTAATTTGTGTGCTACCGAAAAGTTGCAGTAAGATAAGTAAGATTACGTAATTGTGAGATATTTGATAAAATCATAATCATAAATGTATTATATAGTCACAAAGAAATACTACTATGAGCGAGCAAAATAGAACAGAAGATGGGGATGGCAGACATAACCCGAATTCTTTTGCGAGTATTTTAGCAGGGGTTCAGCGCATGAGAAAGGATTACGGAATCACCGAAGCAGCTGAAGAAGGTACGAGTGATAATCATAGTCTTAATAGTCAAAGAAATCTGGGACAACTTCGAGAGCACTCTGTTCATAAGGCTTTTCCCAAAAAGGTAGCGACAACTATCCCTTCTTCCAAAGTCGGAATCGTTCGAAGAAGGCCCGAAGTTTCTTCCCAACCTCGTGTTGTTGGGCCATCAGAAATACTTGTACATAAATCTCAGAAAGGAAACCCATTATTAGAGCATTCACTCATGAAAAATACATCTTGGTCTTACGATGATTCAATTCTATCAGATTATTACATTAATCCTACTTTGCAAATTTTGTTTTTGAGTTTGAAGTACTTTAAACTCCACCCTGAATATATATGGCAGAGGTTGAAAAAACTCAATAAGGGCTCCATAGTTGATGCTAAGCCGAACAATAGAGCTTTGAGGATTCTCTTAGCGGTAGTCGATATAGATTCACATCAAGAGGTGTTGTGTAATTTGCTGGACATTTGTATCAAACATGATTTGTCTCTCGTCTTGGCATGGTCATTCGAAGAAGCTGGAAATTATATTGTGTTTGCCAGACAATTGGATGATGCACCTGCTAAGAGAAGGGCAGCAGTCGAGGGTTTGAAGGCGTCGGATTACAATTCTTGTGTCGTCGATTCTCTTTCCAGCATAAGACTGATAAACAAGACTGATGTGTCAAACCTACTCGCAAATTGCAAGTCGATAAAAAATGTGATCTTGCGGAGCTGTGAAGCTCGAGACGGTAATGCATTGTCAAATATTGGCGGGTTAGGATCTGTCAAAATTGGAAACATGAAGCTGGTATTTCTGGAACCTTTTATATATAATAAGAATTATGAACAATAAGAATATATAATTAAATATTTTAGGTGAACATCTAGCTCTGCTGTTGCTGCTCCTGTTGTTTTTCATACTCTATCATCTTACTTCTTAATGTCATATTGATGCTATTCATTATTTCATTCTTTTGCAACAATATATCCTTCAACTTTTTGGCATCGTTATCCAACTTGATTATTTTAGTTTCATATACTTTTCGAGCATCTTTTGCCAGTTTTGATACGAAGTAACCTGTTCCAATATCTACGAGATAATTATCTTTTGCTTCCACCTTTCCTGGAAGATATAAAGAGCTTGTCAAAGGTACCAATAAGTCCTTCGAGTCAGATGCTTCCATTTTATTTATACTGGTAATACAGTCCTTCAATTTTGATTGGGCTGTTTGCAAAGCCTGTAACGAATTAGTGAAGTGATTGACCTCTTGTTCTGTCGATTTTCTTAACTCGAGAAGTTGTTGAGGCTGAAGCTGAGACAAATTAATTGCTCTTGGCAGATGAGAACTCATTACTTGTCTGATCTTAATGCTTAATTAATCAACAATGGACCCTTTCAAAGTAGAGGAAAAGAATCTTTGATCTTAAATTGAAAAGACTGTATAAAGCTAAAAATCAAAATTTTCCTCTATGAAAGTAAAAAGCGAACTTAAACATAGAGTATCGATTTTTTTCACTGCAAGTAACAAGACCAGAACGAAGATATCAACTCAAAACATTGACCCGTGATAAGTTCACATATTCAAAACTTTACCATCATTTACGAAGCGATAGAAACTTATTTGCTGGTCCTTCATTAATATAATTGTCAATCATCATAACGAAGGGGCTTCCCAATGGCATTGCGACAATTGCCCTTTAGCATAACATGTCGAAACTTTCTTTTCAATATCAAGCATTACAAACCCTTGAGGTGCCGACCCTCGTTTAGGGCGTCCAATCATCCCTTTTGCACGAATCGACAGCTCTTGGAAGCTTCTTATTCTCAATGGATTTTAAGAGCTACTCGAGATATAGCTCCGAAAATACTTAAAGAAGCAAGCAGAAACACCGATCTGCCTAGAAATGACAAAGGGATAGAAGATAACAGGTTTTTAAATGTGGTCGCCAGTGCAACTGGTGGTACCAACGTCCTATCACATGTACAAAATCCACAATCCTTACCTCTTGATGATTCCTTTTTTGAATGCAATGATGATCACAAAACTGGCAGCTCTGGGCGAAATATTTCAAGATTCGATCACACATCAGACCTCATTCGTGGAAAGAATATCGCGTCGATTGTAGAGGAATTAATTTTATCTAATAACAAAGAAGCAATAGCCCAATCTGATATACTCAATACAATTGTCAATGAAGTGCTACGACAGGCGCCTCCCAAGTCACTTATAGAGAACAATAATGAAATTGATGTTCCTTTTAATCAGTCGCATAAAAACCCGGAGCATTTATCATCATTCTACACCTACATCTACGGAAAGATTCCTCACTTGTATAATTTGTTTCATACATATGAGCCATATATGCGTAACAGCAAGACATTCCAAGAAAATTACATATGGCTTTGTTATCATATGAATGATATTGACTCTATCCAAGAGATAGCTTTTACTTATTTCGGAAACCAGAGCTATAACTCCAAGACTTTGAGTTACATCATGAGTGGATTTATTTTAAATTATGAAGTTGAGTTTTCAAAAAATTTATTCAGTAATTTAATATCATTAGGGCGGCCCATGGAGCCAGTCTTGTTAGACGTTGTGGTATCTCTGTTGGTGCAGGTAGATTCTTTGTTTGAAACTTTAACATTCGTCCTTTCGAAATGGAGGGACAGTAAAATTTGCTCACCTCCTTCTCCAAAGGCAATGGCATTACTAAGTACAGAATATGCAAAATATGGGACGGCAGAAGAAATTCATAACTTAAACGACGTGGTAGCGACCTCTGCTTCACCCGACCATTTTTTAATTAAGCTAGCGCAATTAAAAAATAATATCAAATCAAGAGATCCTAATAATTTCAAAAAGAGAATCTTGGATTCCGATTTATCCACGATCAATCTTATATCAGAGGACATAAATAACTC